ACAGCAAGCCAGGTGCCTTTCTGCTAGAAGAGCTCTGGGATTTGCGCTCTGCGTTCTCCTGGGTATCTTAGTTGTAAAGTGCCTCTGAGATCTGAAAAGGGAAAAATCAATAATTTCCATTCTAGAATACATTTTAGACACAGCCACAATTCGCCCCTGATGCATTTTCTACTTTGTAGAAAGCTTTTTATGTTCAAAGTAGGAATGTGTTGATAATAATGTGACATTGTAGAGCTGTGATATATGAACATTGAAGGAAATAACTGCTTATGCTTACCCATCAGACATTTATTCATAGGGTTACAGAAACCCAATAAAACACAGTCTATATCAGTAATACAGATAAACAAAATGAGGAGAAAGGCTGGAGATGTAACTCCACAGCTCTGGATACTGATGTCACCCATGGTGCACGTGGTGATGCTCATGGACACAGCAGGGGGCAGGGAGGAGGAGCAGGATCTGTGTGGGATCCCATGCACACCCAAAGCTGAGCAAAGGTTTTTGATGTGTTCAGAGGACGGATCACAGGAAAACATAGGAAGTCTCAAGGACCATAGTAACAGTAATAACTTCCTCAATAGCAACCATACCCTTAATATTAAGGAAGTTGTAATCCATACCAAGAGAGGAAGCTGCAGCACCATTAGGCTTCCTGAGTGCACATCTAGTGAGATGCGGAAGAAAGCTGTGGAAGAAGGATTTCAAAATGACCCGTGAAGGATTTTGGGAAAAACTTGTACAAGGTGCAGCATAAGGACACTCCCTTTTGTTTTCGTAATTACCAAGACAAAATGATGGGATGTGTTAGGATTACTAGCTGCTTGCATGTTTTCACCTGTCTTATTTTCAGAAAGTAAGCTTCTTCATGCATACAAGATTACTAATGCTGTTTGAAAACAGTTTTGGTAGAATTTTAGCAAGTCGCAGGTAAAGGCTTCTGACTTCTGCAAGCTAATTTCTGGACTTTCTGAAATCAGTGCTCATTTGTATAGGGCTCAATGCCTGCTTCCTCACAGAATAATCTTCATGAGAGAGGCCTGAATGGGATGCATGAGATTTTTTCTGTATATTTTACTAAACGACACCTGTCAAAAAAAAATACAAATTTTGTTTTCTGTATCTAAATAAATTATCTGTGTCTAAATAAATAACTAACTACATTATTTAGGAGAATATGGCAGTATATTATTTAAGTAAGGTAAATATTTTGGTACAGATCTCAATTAGGGATTTACTGAATAATAACTCAGTCCTTCTCCGTATGTCCTATACCCAAGTCAGATCACAGATCTGATGTGAACTCTTTGCATAGTGTGGAGGATTTCTTCCAACTCAGAGGGAATCTGTTTTGAAATCAGTTTTTGGGTACAACAGGAGACAAGCAACTTCCATTAAAGGACAGACAACTTTCACTGAAGCTACTTGGGGGAAGCTGCTCTGCAAGAAAAAGAAGATCCTGTGAGCACTCAAGGTCAAGTATGAAATAAATTAATTCTGTAATTGCTAACAAGCAACTTCCAGCTCTGGCAAATTATATACCTAATTCAAATGATTAATATGTGTTTGTTTTTGGAAGGACTGTCTGTGATTTTGTCCTCAGATGAAAAGAACAAAAGCGTTTAATATTTTGCCACTAAGCTAAAGCAAGGATGTTTCTGGGCCACTAGCTGCTGCTGGCTTTTGACTTATGCTATAGGAAACTTCTGCAGATATTCAGGATAAAGGAGTAGGATGTTTATTTTTATATACTTACGCCTAAACTCAGTGTTTGTTTTGAGTGCAGTTGGAATGAACTCATCCAGTAAACACTGATGTCATTTAGATATAGCGTAAACCAAGCAGTACTTCCGTTTGTACACTCACTGTTCTTCGAAGAGCTCACTAAAGCATAATTGGAGAGGGAAGGCAGTTCCATAAAGTGCAGTTCCTGCTTTTTCCCTGCTGCTCTTGGTCCAAGTGAATGAAGCCTAAGCTATGAGAAGTTTGCATCTGCAGTTTGGCAGCCTCCTGTACTACTGAGCACAGCATCAAGAAAACAATTTCCCAACCATATTGTTAGAGGATTGTCTGACAAAAGCTATTCAATCTGATCCTATGAAGGTTCCTTACAGTTTCCTGATTAAATGAATTGTCTCCTAAAGCAACTGATGACAACGAATCAGCTTCTAGGTCCTTGACTGTAGACATGTGCTCCTGCTTACCTTGCTGGCAGGAGACTTTTGCAGCCCCCTGATGCTTTTGGGAGTTTCAAGGTCCTGTCAGCTGAAGCAGTGACTGCTCACTTCCCCTGGAAACTGCAGTAGTATTCTGCTGCCTTTTAAAGGTAAATAGTAATCCAAGAAATGAGAATGAAAGTTTCCAATCACATTTTTGTTTTTATTAAATAGTGTCATGTGCCCAGAAGCTTCCAGTTTTGTATAAATTCTGGCAACCTCAAAATTAGCTTGACTTTGAACCTTGGAATGCATCAACCAAAGATAAAACATATAAATTAGTAGACATTGGTGCTTTTAGTACAATGTTCAGAGAGGTGTCTTTGGCTGCAAAACAGAGAGGTAAAAAATAATTCAAAGAAGTAGTTGAGTGCTTTCACTCCTCCTTCCAAAAAGCTGCTAAAACAAAAAAAGCCAAGCAACAACAGCAACAAAACAGACTAACAAAAAAAAACTTGGATAAAAATAAACACTGCATAAAAATAAAAACTCTGAGGCAAGCAGAAATGCCACTTCATTTAAAACAATGGTAGAAGACAGTGTTATAATTTTCCTCAACTTCAAGGTTATGTGGTGAAATAACATTTATTATCTCTTTCCATTTCCCAGGTTGATAATTGGAGATGCAACATCATATACTGCAAAGAATTAAGTATGGATGATTATAGATCGTGAAAAAATCTGGCCAAGTTTGAAAAGTTCTTCCCCAGGGACAGCATTCCAGCTGGGGCTGATGGTGCTTCATGTGTGCACATAATGCCATCACAAGCTGCCTGTTTCCCCAACAAAGTGAGTGAGATTCTGATACAACCCAGAGAGGACGTAAAGGATGTGGTGAAAGAACCCCCTGACCTTGCTCCCCTCCATTAAATTTGAGTCTAGATATGACAATCATCTTGTTATGCTACTTTTTAGATGTCTAATCATACTACAGTACATTGTATTTCATCTGTTAGCCTCAAGACACCTTGTGAATGGCTGGATGTCTCAGGAGAAACTCTTTTGTGCTTCAGATGTGAATCATTGACTGGATTGTAAAAGGCAATAATTAACTCCAATCTGAAAGTTGTTGTTCATGTGGGTAACATATCTTGAAGCTCTGATCATCTGCGTACCCTTCTAGAAATGATTTCTGCAAATAAATTTCAAATTTCAAATGCAAATACATTTCAAATAAATATTTCATCATTTAGCACCAGCATGTGGAAAGAAAAGTTGAAAGAAGCAATCCATGGTCAGTTCTTACTGGGAAGAAAAGGGAAAAATCCTTACAGAAGAAAGAGAAGAGAAAGGAAGCCACAGGAAAGTATTGCCAGCTGATTTGTGGACACTCCTCCAAAAGGTCATGGGAGGTAATGGAAGGAATGAAACTGGTGATGGAAATCAGCAACACAGACAAACATCCAAAAAAACGCAATCTTCAAGGAAGCAGCAGGCAATCAGGCAGGGGTTCTGTGAGAATCCACAAACCTCACGTCAGAGCTAAAATAGGACAGCCATCAGCTCTGCTCCACATCATGCTCACGTGCAAAAGAGCCCAGCACCCGGTGCTCCATCACAACCAGCTGCAGTTTGAACACGCTCAGCCCCAGGCTTCGACAAGAGTGCGTGAAAATCAGGATTATTTGGGCTGGGTTGGATGACGCTGGCAGAGAAGCATTCACCCCTCAGTGTGAAAGTGGAAGGAGCTGAACTTTGAGCTCTGAGACAGGCAAACTGAACATGAAATAAAACAGTGGCATGTTGGACTTAAGCTGGCCTTTGTATAAAAATACTGCACGGAATGACTTCTGTTCTTGATTTTATCTGTTCCACAAGTAGACTCTAAGACTTTTCCTTTGCTTTTCCTCCCAATCACTGGAGCTGTATTAAGGCCCAGCAATTTGGCCACCCTGGCTCTTCCATTTCAATCCTGATAATTTTAAATGGTGGTGTGACCCTAAGAACAAAACCAATCTCCCTCTCCACCATATTTTGGTTGTTCTGGGACACGTCCTGCCCTGTAATCAATAGAGTTTAAAAATAAATTTACATTGTGCTTTTCAAACACAGAAATATTTTCCTGAGGAGAAAGTACAAGTTTCTTTTACAGAGAAGGTAAATATTTGTGCCCTGTGTGAAACAAATAGGTTCAAAGCAGCAGAGGGATAAATATTATTCCTCAAGTGAACTCCACGCCGTCTTTTCTCTAGCCAGGAATGTATCAACGTCAAAGCTTTCCTTCCTCCCCTCGTGCCACACCAAGGCCCACCTTCCCCGGTGCTGCTGCTGACCCACAGGGCTGCCGGCAGCACACCGGCCCCATGGGGACAAAGCATTTGGCGGGGCCCCAAGAGCTCCCTGAGGCAGCGGGGGAGTTAGGCGGGAAGGTGACCCGGGTGATAAGAACCAGAGGCACGTGAACAATATTTTTCTTGCTATGCGCAGCGTGATAGGAATGCTGTGAGAAAACACAACGGGCACACACATAAGGCAAGGCCAGTCCCAGCGGGACTCCGCACGGTTGGGCCAAGGGCTCTGCCTGGCGCCTTCGGGCAGTGCAGGCCGGGCACAGGGACACGCACACACACAGCGGCGGCAGCTCCCGCCGCAGCTCGCTTTACCACACGCAACGCCCCCAACTCGCACCTTTAGCCCCGCCCACCAATCGCGCATGCGCAACACTTCTTCCCACGGGGAAGAGGAGCGCCCTTACACACGCACGCACTCAGACGCCGCGGCCCGCCTCTTGCGATTGGTGGTGGAGCGCCCTTTCTTCCCGCCCCCTCCGTGGGCCGCCTCTCTGCCATTGGCCCCGCTAACCAGCGGCGCTAGGCGATTGGCTGCGGGCGGGCGGCGCGGTGGGCGGGCCGGGCCGAGCCGGGCCGGGCCGGTGTCCGCCGTTAGGTGAGGTAGGGCCCGGGCTGTCGCCGCCGCTTCCGGGTTCCGTGTGGAGCCGCCGCGGACGGCGATGGCGTAAGTGCGGGGCGTCGCTGCGGGGCGTCGAGGGGGTTGCTGTAGTATCGCCGTCCCGGCCTCAGTACTAGCGGGGCGGCGGTGCCGGTGGTGCCCTGGGCTGGGCCGTCTCCTGTGCGGCGTTACGAGGCGGAGGCGGCCGCGGGAGCGGGGCGGGAGGGGGCAGTGGGGGCAGTGGAGGGGGCTGCCCGAAGCTGTGAGTGCCACACAAGTTGTAGTTGCGCGTTCTTTTCCGCATCTCTGCGTGCAGTGACCACTTGGGCCGGGAGCGTTTGCCGCTGGGAAGCACGGGGGGCTTTCACGAAAGCACGCCAAGAGGATGTTCGCAGAACCATAGGCAGCAGCGGGGTTTGAAGTCCCGCTTTGGAGCGAGGACTCTTGCCTCAGGGTGCGGCCTGCGTGTGTGCCATGCAGGTGTGCTTGTGGGCACATCAGTGCAAGTGAGGATTTTGGTCGTGGTGAACAGTGTTGGCTTGGCTGAGTGTGCATGTGTCCAGCACTTCTCTGTGGGAAGCCTTCGTCCTTTTGTGTGCTCTGCAGGAGCACATGTCTTATGGGAGGCAGCCGGGGGATCTGGAATGCTTTGGTGTGGAGAAGAGAAGGCTCAGGAGAGACCTTGTGACTCCAATTTCCTGGAAGGAGGTTGTGAAGGGGTGAGGGTCAGCCTCTTCTCCTGTGTAATTAATGATAAGATTAGAGGGAGCGACCTTAAGTTGCACCAGTGGAGGTTCAGGTTGGGTATTAGGAGAAATTTTTTCCCATGAAGAGTGGTGATGGGATGCACAGGCTGCCCAGGGAGGTGGTGGAGTTACTGTCCCTGGAGGTGTTCAAGGAAAGTGAAGATATGACACTGAGAGACACGGTCAGGGAGCATGACAGGGGTGGGTTGGCGGTTAGACTGGGTGATGTTAGTGGTGTTTTTCTGACCTTATGTTTCTGTGTTGAAGGAGGGCACTCTTTTTGGGTAAGCTGTTGGAGAACTCTGGCATGTGGAATGTGTGTCAGCTGCTCTTGGGTAACTGTCCCTTTACATAATTGTGTTGTTAGGGAAATAAGCTATGAGTTGACCGTTCGTTTTATGGACAGCTGTGGAGTTGTCCTGTGCTGAGATGCTGCCTTCTCCTATCAGCTGATATTATTCTATAACTTCATATAGTACTTGTTGCTGTGCCAAAACGTTTGGGTTGGCTGCAGGCTGGCACAGGTGCTACTGAACATCTGCATTTAGCTTATGGAAGGATGATGTGACAGTTGGTCATAAGATTCATTTTCAGTTTTGATTTCTAGCAGACTGCTCCCTTTTTCCCCATAATCTGACAATGTGTCAGAGGAGAAATTTAGAGGAAATGCTTTGGAAAAAATACATGAGAAGTAATTTCATAGAATATTTCAGAGGTACAGAGGTACAGTTCTGCTGTGCAGACCTAAAAAAGAGGAAGACAGTTGAGACTGCATCAAAGAAGGTATTTTTTTTTTCTAAATAGAGTGTACGTAAGGGAACTTCTTTAACATTAGAACTACACAAACCTTAAGGTTCTGTTCTGGTTTTGTTGTTTGTTTTTTTTTTTTTTCCTTTTTAAACACCATAAGCTGCTAACATTAGTAACCAAACAATTTTCCCATGGGGCAGTTTGGGAGGCATGCTTTCCCTCCCATCCCCCAGTTTAAAAGTAAATGAAAAATCATGCAAAGTTCAGTTGGGCACTGCTGAACCAGCAGTTGGGTGATGCAAAGAGTATTATCTGTTGGTTGCCACTGCAGGAGTTTCTTTAATTTCACATGTACTGTAACTGATGTCCTGTACTTTAAAATAAATAATAATAAGAAAATCTGTACTTCTGTTTGTTGTTTTTTTGTTTGTTTGTTTGTTTGTTTAAGAACAGAGGGGGTCATCTGTTACAGTATTTCATTTTGTTTTTTCTAAAGATAACTTTGGAGTACCAAAAACATCCGTGTTTCAAAAGGTTTGAAGTAAGAAATATATCACTTCTGACACTTTTGGATACCTAATCAGTAGATTTCTACTAAAAATCATCTTTTTCACTGCACTTTTTTGGATGTGATACATGTCTAAACCACTTAAACTTAATTTTTGTTTTGTTTTGTTTTTTTTCCTGCTTCTCTCAAGAGTGTTAATATTTAATGTATTTGCTTCTTTGGCGGTTGCTAGTTCCCTTCTAGATAAAGCAAATCTCATCAGGTAGACTGCTGTAAAAAATGATTTTTGTATCTTAGAGCTCTTCAATTCTGATTTAATTCATTTCTTAAGTAAACTTGTTTACTAATGTGGGCTACTGTAGTTTGAATAGGGTGTAGCTGGTACCATCCACACAGCAGTCTGACTAGGTGTGTCACCTGTTTCTATTTGAGGCTCTGGTGCAGCTTGTTTACAGTTTACTGCTCATTAGTCCAAGCACTCCAGCAACTTTTCTTTCTCTCTCTTTACTGTACTTGCTGGTTTAGGACAGCTGAGCTTCCTGAGCTGGCTGGTGACTGGTTGGAAATCACTGGACTCAGCTGGAATGTTTGGAGAGCAAGGTTGGCAGCTCTGTGTTCTGTGAGGCATGCCAAAGGTGCATCCAGATCTTGACAGCTTTGCTGTACCCTCTGCAGCAAGTTCACCTGAGTTCTGTTTACTTTGCAGGGCGAATGTAAACTCAGTTTACATTCAGTTATCTGAAGCTCTCACTTCATACCAGGTATTCCTGGAGGAAGGAATGGATGGATAGGGCACAAAAATGCCTTTTCCTTGCTTTTCTTTAAGGAACTATTTACTACAGATATGAATATCCATGCACGTTGTCTAAGTACATTCATTTAGATTAGCAGAATTTACTTCCTGTTGTTCAGCCTGGTGTTCTGAGTGTAATTGTAACTCCACCTTCCAGTAAATGCTGTAGAAATTGAGAGTTGAGTGTTTTCAGAGTGGAAATTAACTTTTAATAATGAGGAAACAAATGTGCACTTTATTTTAGAAAGCAGATTTTGCTTTTCTTTCCAGTTAACAAATACTCAGTAAGCACTTAATTTTTGTGAAAATGCAAGCAGTGCCCATGGTGAATTTAAATTCCTATTTTGTTTCCCCCATACATTTTAGTAATAATAAGGGTTTTGGTGGTGTTCTTGCCAGGGCGAAGTCAGAGTGTGATAAGGGATCTGAGTATCAAAGCCTTTGGATTTGGGCTTCTTTTTTTGTGTTTTTCTGTTTTTGCCTTACCAGTCCAGCTTTTGAGTGGGCTTCTGTCTCACTTTTTGGGAGTCAATTCTTATCTATGCGTGTTTTCTGTACATTTTTTAAATGATGTTGTTCAAGCAGAGGTTTGTCTTGGGGTTAAGTGTAAGCATGTCAGGCTGTGGTTAATCTAGTTCTGACTTGGTGTAACTGAAGTATGCTTATAGATAGTTGATGTGGCTGCTTTTGAGAGATTGGCTTCTTAGGAACAGTGTATTTGCTGTGGAAGTTCAATCAGGTTTGGAATACTGGATGTGGGCTGGAAATGAGGTGCATCCCTCAGGACTGCAAGATTACTTACCTCAATTTTTCTGTCACTTACATCTTTTTAGTACTGAGAAAAATTCAGTAATTTGTGACTTAAGTAATTAATTTTTTTAAGTCTATTAGGTACATGTTTCTCCTACAAATAATGCCCTTCTGACCAGGAGTAACAGGTCTGAAGTAACAGGGAAGCCTCACATCTGCAGCTGGATCTAAACATGCTCATGGGAAGCAGAGCCCAGTATTTCAGTGTGCCATTACAAGCTAAACTTTGGCTTTCTGTCTGCCCGTGTTCCACACATCTCATTTGTGGGCAGATGACTGCATGACACCTTACAGATCTGCTGTGACAATGAGTACTGTGATTCTTCCACTTCGGTGCCCCCAGACTCTGCCTCTTCTCCTTTCATCTTCTGAGGAGGAACTTAATAAACTTTTTGTATGTGTTAACATGGCATGCGGTCATGAAAGCTACTAGTGATGTACTGAATAGTAAAGATGTGTTTAAATTACATAAAAAAAAAAAAAGTGTGTTGTTGTGGTTCTGGAGCAGTCTTTGTTTATTGAGAGCATCACAAGACAGTGGACACCTTGATAAAATGCTGTAAATAAACGCAGAAGAGGTACATGTCTATTTCTGGGTCTTTCTTCCTTGCTGCTATTTTCTACCTGGTGCTGGCAGGCTGTAAGAGTTGCTACCCACCCAGCCTCGTGCCTCCCAGAGCTCTGGAAAGCACACTGCTCCTGCACAGTAGTGCCCTAGGAGTTCACATTTAAACTACAGGTACACCAAGATACTGGTCAGTGCTCCTGCGAAGTGCAGCAGTTGGGCTGTACTCTTGTTGGACTGCAATGTGACTTTGGCCTTAAGAATGTATGTAACAGCTGGACACTGAGAGTGGCTGCTATGTGTCCCCAAAAGACTGCACCACTTCCTATTGATGCTGCTGGTGATCCTCATTCCACCCATCTGTCCTCCTTTGCCATATAAGTGCACAAGGATGTGTTAAGCTAATCCACATAGGTGAAATTGCTTAGTAATCGAAATGAGCACCTGTGCCCCGGAGATCCACGTACATCCAATGAAGTGCTGCCTGTTCTTGGACACCAGCACTTCCACCACGATGCTGCTCCCTCCTCAAGGGTCTCAGATGAGGTCAGTGTGGTAATACATCAGCGTGCAGCTCCAAAACTTGCAACTGATATCTGACAGAGGATTACTGGGCTAAGTTGTGTGTGAACTGCAAATGTTATCCAGAAAACTTCCAAGGATATCTAGCTTATGGTTGGGGTAGTGATGACAAAAAATGATGAATGTGATCTCTGAATAGGTAGTATCAAATCCCACAGCTTCCAGTCTCTGACTTGTCTTGCTACGATCTTAGGGCCATAATTTTGAGTATCCTGTCTCTGTATCATGTATTGTTGGCTTTGTTTCTTTGGAAGTATTTTAGGAAACGTGTGATTTCCTGAATTGCTAGGAATTTCAATGGTAGTTTCTTAAAAATTCTTGGGAGCTTAGTGTTGTCTATTAAGATGGTCCTTATTATTTGGCGGTGCTTCTACTATGGTCTCGATCATAAGAGTAGAATTTGGTTATTTTTTGCAGTAAGGGAGGAAAAAAAGATTTTCTTTTGATTCCATGCAGTGTGTTCAGTGTTTCTCCAGTTCTTCTGCCATTCACAGACCCAAGGCTCCTGAAGGCAGCCTGCAGTGCATCCTCTACTATGATGGGGTTTTTATTAAGGTATTGTGAATGTCTTACAGCAAATCACAGTGCCATCATGTGATTTAATTAGCCATTGTAATGGCTTTTCTAAAACAAGGGCCTCTTTTTAAGAAATGTTTTTGAGTCATTCTGCTTATCTCTGTTTGTAAGGCAGCTAAGTTAGTGGCTTCTTTGTCACCACTCCTGCCAGCAGTGTCTGGTGGTGGAATTTCTTTTTTGCAGTGTGTTTTTTCCATATTATTTTCATGTTCTTTCCTCCCCATTCTGTTCCTTCTTATCAGAAGACATAGCAAACAAATTGCTAGTGCTTATTAGTGGGGCTGTACTTGTTCTTTACTTCAGACCATAGGCTCATATCACAGAATTGCAGGAATTAGAAGGGATCTTAAGAGATGATTGAGTCCAATTCCCCTTCAAAAACAGGTACCCTACAGTAGGTCCCACAAGTTAGATAGATGCCCAGATGGGTCTTGAATATCTCCATAGGGGAGACTCCACAATCTGTCAGGCTCTGTCAGCCTGTTCCAGTGCTCTGTCACCTGTATCGTAAAGAAAAACTTCTGCATGCTTGTATGGAGTTTCCTGAGTTCAAGTTTTAGGCCATTAGTCTTTGTCCTGTCTCTGTGCACCACTGGAAAGAGCCTGGCCTCATCCATTTGCCTCCCACCTTCTTTTTGATATTTATAAACATTTACCAGATCCCCCCTCGCTCTTCTTTTCCCCAGGCTGAACTGACCCAGGTTATTCAGCCTTTCCTCATGCAGCAGATGCTCCAGGCCTTTAACTTCTTTGTGGCTCCGTTGAACAACTTCTAGGAGATCCCTGTTTTTTTCTTGAGCCCTGGTCCCTTGCTGCAGAGTTCCTCACCAGCAGATCGTAGTTCCAAGGTACTGTATTTTTAGAACTAGGAGAGAAACAAAGGTGTTGAAGGCAAGTATTTCCAACTTCTCCTTCCATGCTTTGTTCTCAAATTATATTACTGAGAGATGGTATGGATACCACAGACAGACTGGATAAATATTAGTTCTTCTGCCTTTTCAAAGATGATATGCTACTTATGTTCTTTTGTTCTGGATGGAAGATGTAGGAGACTTCACATAACAGGAAATAAAATCTTTTTTTCTTGAAGGCTGAATACTGACAGCAAGACTGGCTGCCAGGAGCTGGAGGGCGTTTAAAAAAGGGAAGAATTATTTCTTTGTAAGAAGACTTGACAGCTTATGTCCAAGGGAGAGAACTTCAAATGAAACTAATGCAAGAAAAATACTGCCGTGTGATTACAAATGCTATTGAGTTGAGCTACTCCCTGTTAATCATGCTTAATTAATATAACCCAGTTGTGGGGTGATTTATGGGTGGCTTGAATAAAGGTGTAAGATCAGAAGGACTGGTTTTCTGTGCTCTGTGTAGCAGCAGTGCTGCATAGTCAGGTTTTACAGTGACTAATGCAAATCCATTGTGAAGCAGGGATTTAGTGGGCATGCTGGATTAATAGGCTGTGGAAAGTTTTGGTCACTCTTGATTTGTTGGGAGTGCAGCCTTGAGCCTTTCTTTTCTTCAGGGATGCAGAGTCTGCACCGCCAGCTGAGCGCACAGTGCAATGTTTGTAGGATGCCAAATGGCAGCTGCCTTGAGCTGTAGGCAGAGCTGTGTAGAGCTCTGTAGGCAGAGTACTGATACCTCTGTGCAATCATGTGCTGAATTGGTCTTCATCTCCACCTGAATTTTTGCATACACGTGGTTGCATATGTACTTGCCCAGGGAGAGGATATGTGGTTAGAGATCTGTGTGGCCTCTGCTTCTCAGAGGAGGTAGTTGTACTTCTTTGATGCCTCCTCAGGACAAGTGGTGAAATCTGTTGCTTTTCTGGATTAGATGTTGGCTTAATGCTGCTCACAAGAGGAATGAAAGCCTTATATCAAGCTCAGCTTTCAACCTTTGGGCTTGTACAGGTACCCATAAACAACCTGATGCATCCATATTCTGGCATAAACACATACTTCTTTCTTATATATAGAAGGAAATCAGCTTTCCCTGCTTAGTTATTGAAGGAAACAATCAGTAAGCAAATGCTTCAGTTGGTCTCCGTTTGCTCAGGAGCTGAAAACTGAACTTGTGAATCGTTGTCCTGGGCTATGACTTCTTTGCTGGTACAGGGAACTGCCTTCTTTTTTTTCCTGCGTCTCCCAGAAAAATCAGGAATAAGTTGATAAAATGCATGAGTACGTGAATAGAAATTTGAACTAAAATAACTTTTAGAGAGTGGTTCATCTCTTCCAGAAATAGCACATATCCTTTTTGTTTTCTAATAATCTGGTTTCCGTTCTGCATATAAAAGTAAGTACGAACTACAGGAGTTACTGGGGAGTCATGACTGAGAGTAATTCCCTTGAAATAAGCTGCAACTGCTGCCGCCCTGGAAGGAAAGTATTACTGAGCAAATTTCTACTGAGTGAATATCAAGTGTGTGCATTGTCTTGGTAGGTTGTTAGAATGTTTAAATGCTTAACACAGTCCTACTTTATTTGTATGTTCTGTTGCTGTTTGACAGTGCTGTGGTACAAGAGTTATACAAACTTGTTTCTATTATGTGCTGTAGGGGCAGTCAGGCTACTAAATTTAGAGAGCATAGTCTGGGATCTTGTTGATCTGTAATCTGGTTTAGGTAGGCACCTGTCTGGAAACTGTTTCAGCAGACAGACAGCAGTCTTCTGCTCTGTGTTTCTGATCTAGAGAAGAAGAAAGGATTTCACAAAGATGGCACTGAAGGAATAAAGCAAATTCATGTTTGTGTGAAGCGGGCCGTTAGGGACTGTCTAACATGGCAGGTACTTAGTCTTCTCCACAGTGTAATGTACTTAGAACTTTTTTTTTTTTTTTTTTTTTTTTTGCTTCCCCTTCAGTTCTATAGGTGCTGGCACAAAAACAATTTAGCAATGGATCAAAGAAAAAATGATAGCTTTGTCCCAAGTATCACACAGTTGGAAGACTTCTTAACAGAACATGACTCCAATGTTGTTTGGCTGCTAGTAGGTAAGGTGAATTTATGTTGTTATGGTTAAATGGTTGGTTGGGTGGGTTTTTTTGGTATACTTTTAAACACACTTCTCAAAATGTTGGTATTTGGCCAAAAGACATCAAAACATTGAAAATAGATACTTACTTGTCATATGACTATTAAGTGATGTACAGCATCATCCTGCTGAGACATATGGAAACTGAATCCAGTGTGTCCTGTGCACAGTGCTCAACAAGTGCTGGAAAATAAGAGCTCAGTGAGAATTCCTGTCCACAAAATAAGTTTTCTCTAACACCAGATTAAGCTGTTGATAATCTGTAACACAATAATGAGATTAATGTTGTAGCACAAATATGTACATAGCTGCTATTTGATACAGTATATATAGTTTGAATAAAGATATAAAGACTCTTGTGCTTAATGAAGTAACTTTTAGACTAAATTGCTTGTCACAGTAAGCATTTAAGCATCACATACTCAATTGTAGATTTTGGTTTTTGTTTTTTGTTTTTAAAGTTCCTGACTTAGGTATGTTAGTCTTCATTACACTTCTGCTATTGTTTTTATATTTGTGTGTAGCTACTCTTATTTTCTGAATCTATGAGAGAGTGGGTAGAGAGAGCAGAATAATGAGCTGTACTCAGATCAGGATGTGAATACTAGATGTGTAGGATGAATCTGAACTTCTCCAGAGGCAGATACTACCATCTTTTCAGCCCTTATTTTTGGACCTGTAGCGAAAAGCAGCAGAGGGAAAGATAGCTTTCCTTTTTTGACTTTTGAGAATTGGAAGTGTATCTGTTGGCTATTGATGCACTGGAATTATCTTTCAGTAGACCTAATTGAATGACTTGGACATAGGCAGATTAGCTGAGGATGCCTTCTGAACATTAATCATTTCTCTTTTAATACGCTGAAGTGGAAAGTTTCACCCAGTATAAAATTTTAAGTGTAATCAAGATGAAAATAGCAGAAGACAGCATGCTGACAGTTGCTTATGATAAAACAAGAGATGGATGTGGAACTGATTTGTAAAATTTGTCTCCAGAACCTTTGAATTAAACCTAGATAAGCTCAGGTTGTTCACCTAGTACAGAAATGTCAATGGCAGTCAGCAGAATGTTTTCTTTCTCTTATTTTTCACTCTTCACAGTGGATTCATAAAGCAAACTATTCTAGTAATACTACTTGGGAAATATGTAGAATATAAACAATTCTGTACATCAACTACAAATTAAACCAAAAGCTTTGTTTAGCTTTCTTGTTTGTATGTTTCAAAGAAGAGTGTGTGAAACTTCAAGAAATTGTCTAGTCTGCTCCCTTTTTCTAAGGCCAGATAGACCTGTGTGCAATTATATACTTTTGGGGGGCTGCTGATCTCTTAATTTCTAAGAAGCTGCCTAGTATTCTGAAAGCAATGACAGAAACAAAATCCTGGTAGCCTCCTGTTTGTATGAGGTTTGGATGCAAAGATATTAAAGTAATGTTTATTAACCAACCCAGCTGCAAACAGCCATCCTCTGTTTTTATATGCTGACCCATGGCATCTTGTTACAACAGAACAAAAAAAGATGTCAGTAATATATCTTCACTTGAATCCTGAAACAGTAAAAGAGGTGATAAATTCTAGAAATGAACATGTTCTTCAAAGAGTTGTTGCACAGTTCTAGAATAATTTTTTTTTAAAAAGTAAGATGTTCCAGATGTAATTTCCAAAATGTAACTTAAGCAAAGAGGCTTTTAAAATAAAGGAATATAATGATGAGAATAGCGAAGTTTATAGGGTCTGTCATTTAGTAGCAGAGACCAAATTTGTTGCGAGGAAAGAAAAGGGGTAAAGTCCAGAGCAGGTGTGAGGCTGGTGGTAAAGACTGTGGATTAGGACCATAGCACCTGGAAACTCTATTAGTTTACTGATTTTAATTTATTTATTTATTTTTTTCCAGAATGTCAACTTGACATTCTTGGCTTTAGTTTAAGTGTCTAGTTGAACTTTAATCTCAAATTAAATTTTATGACTGGAATGAGACCCTCTTGAGTGTGAGTCATGCCATCTTTCTCCCTGTACTGCTAAAGGAGCAGCAGTGAGCAGCTTACTCGTTTAAAAGCAAGGTGAGGTAAATGCTATCCAGAGTGTATGCCTTCACTGAATGCCAACAGTAGTTTCTTTTCAGTAATTTAGTTTTAACCCTTCATTCCATGTTTTCATGCAAGCATCTGTGCAAAATCTGAGATTCAACTTGCTCTGTATATCAAGCAGCTTACTTGCCTGGGTATATGAGCTACTTGAGTTTTGGTCATATTGGATCCATCTTCCAGTAAGGAAAAGACAAAGTCATACAAGTCTTTCTCTTCTGTCTTTTCCTCATTGTTCAACAAAGCACAGGAATTGTTACAAAGTAGTGGAGCATCCAGTTGCAAAAAATTAGAGGTGTTTTTCTAAATCTTTTTTGTTAACCACCTGAAGTCTCTTCAGAGTGAAGGCACACCCACATGTTTTTTTGCACTTCAGTTTTCCCATAAAAAGAACAATGAATCTGTGTTAAATATGAAGTACATACAAGTGGAAAACTTCTGTTATAAAGGTCAGTTAGTGTAATTAATAGAGGTACTTTAAACGCAAGTATTGCTCGTTTTGCTACTCTGCTTCAGATGAAGGAGATTGGTAATTATCAAGTGCAAGTTAGAAGTAGTTTGTTCTCTGGCAGCTGCATTCCTTTTGGGTTTGTCCTTCTGGAATCTTTGAGAACCCTCGGAGTTAGAAATAGGTTACCAGCTCTTAATCAACTAAAGTAAAAATTACTTTGGGGATTAACAGACCTAATTCTGTTCTTTTCTTTTTTTTTTATTTTAACATGTTTTTCACTTGACTGCTGTTTCTTTTTTTTTTTTTTTTTTAACCTCCTGTCACAGTTCATGTTTGAACTGTTGCCAGCTTTCTGCTAAGATGAAGACTAGTCTATTTTTCTCAGGCTACAAGAACTTAGGAAATAATTTTGGATTTGATGGTAAAATTTTCAGTGTTCAGGAAATTTAAGTTAGAGTTCATGGTCTGGAGAAGGACCATAGTATGGCTTCTGTGGGTCGTTTTGAAAATCTTAAAATAAGTGATTGTGTGGAATAATGCCAGTTAGTATTTGATCTATGAAATTTAACTTATTGGATGACAAGAAATGATAGTGAAATATCTTGTTCCTGTAGCAGACCCTCAATAGGCCAGTTTTTCAAACTAGGTAATGGAAGAGCAATGAAGAATCTATGCTTTTCTGAACTTCCTATTTCCCTATTTTTCCCCTTTTTACACCTTTCCTCTGGAAACACCCATCTAAATGTTCCATCAATATCAATTTATTTTTTTCTGAATTGTAGGAAGAACATTATGCTTTATAGTTTTAATAGGTAAGAGTTTTATAGTCTTAATAGGTAAGGCTTTTATCCAGGTCAGTATACTTTAAAAATAGTTTAATTCATTTAATCTTTCAACAGCGACAATATTGTCTTGTGGATGGATTATCTACCTAACTTACTATAATTCCCGGAACATTGGACTGATCCTAACATTGGTTCTTAACAGACTGTATAAACATGGCTACATCCATATTGGTAAGTTATGATTACATTAATGCTGTTGCGTGTTCATTTACTGCTTTTTATTATACTTTGATTTGCTAAAAACCAGCTGTAACTAAAATCAAAGCATTCCCATGTTAAGGATCAGCATGGATTTAATGTTTTTTTTTTTTCTAAAGTTCAATATTGTGCTTTAAGTATAGGTAGAAACCCCATGGCAGGGGGTCGGAATTTGAGCCTCCCGTAAGGTCCATTCCAACTTGAGCCGTTCTGTGAGAAACACCTAATTGTTCATGGACTTCTTATTTTATATTAACATTCACTTGATGAAGTTTTATTCTCTGTTTTAGTTTTTACACTTTTACGTACATAAAATCTGTACATTTTGTATTACCTTTTTCAAACCATAATAATCAGTTTCTCTGAAAGGAACAGGCTGGCATGAGCCCAGGATCTGCTTGAATTAGCCTGCTAGTTTGATTTTAAGGGGCAACAGTTTTCTGCTGTCCTATTTCTCTAGGGGTGGTTGTACAGCATCTGAAGCATGGGTAGCAGCTGCTAGGGGGGCTTGACGAAGCGCGCTCAAGCCTTGACTCCTTGTTATAGCAGTGTCCTTGCTTTCTGAAGAAACTATCAGAACAACTAATGATATTAATCTGTACTAGGAACACCGTATCTTGAGTTTATGCTAGCTAGAACATTCCCATCAAAATCCATTAACTTAAATAAATAAATAAAATTTAAAATACTTTTGAATAAGGTCAGTACAAATCACTTGGGCACTCACCCACATTTCAGAAATATCTGATTCTGAGACAAAGGGCTGTAGCCCACAACCTCACTCTTATTGCACTTTTAACTTCCTTTCATTTTTTTTTCCATGCCTTTCTCTCTTTGCTTTCTGGAATGATACTTTAGTTGTGGACTTTTAATACAGCTATTGATCATAAATATTATGAAAATTGAAAATAAAATGGGAGAAAACAGCCTTACACATACCCATCTGCCACAGAGGCTATCTCAAGACTTTAAGAACTGTAATCTGAACCATTTTCAAATCTGGGTTTTTTTAACAGCGGTACAGAAAATCTTACCGACTGCTATAAGAATTTATTAAAATTTATGTGTGAAATTACTATTAAGTAAAGATAGCTGGCAAAATATGGTGTTCTTCATGAACTTAATCTGAAGGAATAACATAACATTAAATTCCCATGATTAACAGCTTACCTTCAATCTATTAATGTAACGAAGTTTTTTGTTGTTTTTTTTTGTTTTGTTTTAAAAAGTCATGGTTTACTTAACTATGTGTGACTGGAGTGAAAAGTATTAGGAAAAATATAGGCTATTGCTTTGCCTTCTGGTCTTTTTTGTATTTATTAATCCTTTTCTGCTGTAAACACAATTTGTCACTACAATTGCACTGAAAACTTGATAGCCATTTTAAATACGAAAAATTCTTCAGGCAAGAATCTTTGTTTCCCTGTCTTGCATCCAGTGGCTTCATATTAAAAATGTTCAAAATATCTTCCTTAAATTGTCTCCTAAGCTTTTCAAGGCATGTAGGCATCCTCGAGTGACTGATGTCTCCTTGGTGGTCTGTTGTATTCGTGGATGGTGCCAAACCTGGCAGCTGTTAGAGCTGTGTACTTTTTTGTCATATATATTCTGAACTGCTGAATTCCCTTCTCCACTGAAAGTTGATGCCTTTTTGAAGGGAAGGCTTGAGATACCAAGCAAACACAATTCAGATAATTGAACACTGCATTTTTCTCGTACAGAATATAAAGTGTCAACAAGTTGAGGCTAATGCTTGTAATCTCTTTCACGTTAGGTTCCTTTTCGTTCTCTGTGCTGTCTGGAAAAGTCATGGTTCGCGAAATCTATTTCATCACAGAAGACATGTCTATCAGGTACAGATTTCCAAGGGAGTCATTGTTCTAATGTATGTCTAAGTATTGTAATGAAAATGCCATTTTACCAGTGAGTAATATGGATATTTATAAATTTTAAAAATAAACAGACTCTTTTGGTGATAGTATTTTGACATTGTTAGAGATAGACGTGTTGTTTGGTGATCTTCTATTTGAGTATTATCAGTTGAAACAGTGTGCTGGATAAGATTCTAGTTGTCCTTAATATTTGTAAATGAAAGTATTCTGGAGTTTGAAGAAAATTATTTTTTAATAATGTCTTTTCACTTCACGCTTCAGCTCTTATGTCTTGAAGATTCATTTTGGCCAAGTAGTTTGCCTTAATACTGGAACTGAGAATAATTGGTTTCATGAACTGCAAACTACTGAATAGTTCGTAATGTTTTTTTCTAATCATGAAAGTTGGAAAATATTCAGTAGACAGTGGCTGTAGAGTTTTCTGTACAAGTTCAACTAATAGGGTAATTGTGTAATATTATACTGTGAACATTAATTTCTTTATCCTTTAATATTGCTTGTTCACTATTGAAACTGCAAATCTCTGCAGTGCATAAGGCAGCATGTCAAGAAGCTGCTGAAAGAATTTTGGATGATTAATCTTTTAATTCCTGTTTTATCTACTTTAATTTAGAATCCAAGATGGATTTATCATATTTCGCTGGTGGAAGATGTACAACCCTAAACAGAAGCAGCATGGTGAGCATCTCAGAAAGGCTTCCAACTTTAAGTTCAGTTTACATATTGTCTTCATAAAAGTACTTCCTTTGCACAATTGCATGCAAGTTGTTGATTTGTTAATATGTCCTGGACTATGTTGAAACACCAGGAAGTTCTTTAAGCTGGTTCGTTGATATTAACACAATAAAATAAATACAGGATTTATAATCAAGGACTCAACCTTCTCAAGACAAACATGATTAATCTTAATAGTAGCCTTCATTAGCTGCAGTCTGAGCATAATTGACTCTATACTGAGGTTTATAACCATGATAAATAGAGACTGTTGTTCTGAACTGATTTTAGTTTTCAAGATTTGCTATTGTGTCAGTATTTTAGTAAAATATTACAATAAGGGATGCTCCGTAGTTGATAACTTGTCTTGCTGATATCTGTGGTCATAGAAGTAAGAAAGTGAGGAAAAACACATTTATTTTACTTTCTTGTCCACAAGTGAAGAGGGAGGAATAACACTGAGTAGAAGAGATTGATTCTACCTGCAGAATACACTTTGAGAAAACACAAACAACCCTGTGACGTGTTCTTAGATGTTTATAGGATTAGAATCTAGTTGGATGGATGTCTCAAGTGCTGCCTCCCTTGACTTTTGAAGCATCATATTTCTATTGCTAGTTCAAGGAGGTACAGAAATAGCATTTGTATACCACTGAAGAAGGCATTAATTGAGAAGATAACTGAACTTTGGAGGGCTTTTCTCCCCCTCTGCCTCTCTGCTTTGGAAGTGGCCTCTGATGGTGCGAATTCAAGCCTCTTAGATTTGCCAGGAAGTTTGTACAGCTGTTGCTTATTCAGTACCAGCTCAACAGTGATAAGAGTAGTGTGTGCATGTTATGCAAGTAAATTAGAGACACCTTTCAAAATACTGATATGAATTAGAGCAAGTTGCTCACTTTTTTTTTAATTGAGGCATAATTTGCATGATAAGATGCATGATTCAAGTTCTTTATACTGTAGGATGAGTAATTCAGAAAGGAGAACTAACCCTTCAAGTTAATTATGTTCTTGTAACTACAGGTTACTGTACAACAGGTATTCATAGAATTTTTTTTGTCTGAATGTTAGAACGTATTTCTCTAGTGGCTCAAAGAATGGAAAATAAATTGAACTTAGACACAGCTGTTCTTACTGTCTGTCTTTGGTGGTATTTTTGCTTGTCAGTTTTTGAATGCTTTAATCATTACTGCTGGTACTTAAGACTGCCTAATTAGCAGACAAATATTCCAAGTAATTGAGAAGGTCAGAGGACTATGTGTTTGACAACAAAAAAAATTACTCTCTTAAAGAAATACTGTTCCTCCTAGGAAAAATAACCTCACTTATTTTACATTGTAACTGCTTAGCAGAGATTATTTTATTTTTAAATGGAAAATTAAAATCATTGGTGACTCTTAGCCTATTGAAATATATTCTTTCCAATACTTTTTAATCTACTTAATCAAAGCCTAAATACTAAACCACATCGTTAAGGCTAAGAGGTGAAACATTCCTACAGGAAAATGCATAGTCTGAATCTGGGCTAATAAACATTTTGAAACCCCACTGTATTCTTACAAAAACACAAACTTGAAGTCTTTTAAGATTTTTGCCTGAAAAGTCTACGTCTCTTGAAAGCTTAGATATAAGCATTAATGATTAGTTTGTGTTTTTATATTGGGCTTTTTGTGTGTATGTGTGTGTGTGTTTTGTTGGTCTTGTTTACAATTGTTCTACAACAGAAGCATTGGGTAGTTCTAACAATTGCATGAAACAGGAATGGGAATTAGTTGTTAATAGCGATGATTGCCTTAAAGTCTTGTTATTATAGATTTGATGGGACCTCATTGTATTTTTATGCTGACGTATTTAAGGATGTTAGAAGATGTTTTCTTATTTTTTTTATTAAGGCAAGGCTAGTGAAGGATCATGAAGTACTTGGAGCTTTCACTAAGGCTTTTCAGCTGACTAGCTCCCAACATACACCAATATATTTGGGATCATTTGTCCCCAGATGTCTGACCTTACACTTCCCCGTGTGGAGCTTCATGAGGTTCCTGTTGCCCCGTTTCTCTTCATTTCTTGTTGAGGTTCCTCTGGATGGCAGCATGACCTGCTGATCCGGATTGCTAATGATGTTAAACAGGACTGGACCTAGTATTTGCCCCCGTGCTCTCTGATGGTTACTGGCCTCCAAGTAATCTTCTCACAACTGATTATCATACTCTGGGTCCAACCATTTTGGCAGTTTTCAGCCTACATTTTTGTCTGCTCATCCAGGCTATGTCTCAACAGCTTGTCACCAAGGGCGTTATGGGAGACCATGTCCAAGGCCTTAGTGAAGTCTAGGTAGACAAAATCCACTGCTACCCCCGTATTTGCCAGACCAAGAGGTGCTTTTCCCTCATGTTACTAAAGCAAAGGATGGATTGCTCTTATTGGGGCAGTTTGTTGTGTTGATACGTAACATAAGGATGCAGATATGTTTTATTAGTGAAGAGAATGCATTTAATGAAGTCAGTGTCTCTAAGCTTTAGCTCTTGGCACATACACTATGGACTGCAGTGTGTCTCCTCTAGACACCGACCACAGCAGCAGTGTTAGCTCTGACTTCTTCATTTCTAGTGTCTTGTGGGAAATATCACCTTCAGTTTCATGTGAATGCTGTAATAACCATTAATGCTTCTGTTTTCTTAGGTATGTTTGACTTACAAAGACCAGATCAGATTTTAGAGCAGCTCAGGTCTCTTGAGTAAATGTGTAATGGGCATTCTTTCAACTGGGTAATTAGGGGGAAATTGTGAGAGCTTTTTCCTCACATGAACTACATAACTAGGCCACACTAAGGCAAAAGTATGTCAAAGTATGTCACAAAAATCTCTGCGTGCAAGTGGCAGATGTTAAACTTACTTCTAAGTATTAAAGAGCCAAGCTGGTACTGCAGTTAACATTTTAAATTTGTGAAAATGTTGACTGATTGCACAAAATATACTGCTTCCTAGTTCTGTGTGCTTTTGCTTTCTGTTTCTAAATAAAAGAAAGCTTCTTTTCAATTTAGACCTTTTGTACTGCTGAGCTTTGTTAGGAAGTCTTTCAGTTTTGGGGATCGAATTGGTATTGAGTACTGCTGAAAGGAGAGTTCAGCAGTGAGGATGTAATGCTGCGAGTGATTTTTTTGTTTGTTTTCGATTTGTTTTTATATATGAGATCAAATAACCTGCATTTACTGTTCTGTTCAGCTCCTTTCTGGGTTTATTTTTGCATTTTGACCTGAGGATGAAAATGCCTTCAGATTTTATGTTTTGTATGCAACTATTATATTTGCCAAGTTTCACTGATTTGCTTGAAACGGCATAATTATTTTGTGCGGGTTTTACTGCTTATTCATATGTAGTTCAGTAGCTGTTCACTACCATGAAGATTGTTTTAGCAAAGTCTGTACATCTATAAAACTGGATATTGCAAGGGGATGTTGAGATGGAATGAAGAATTTTTTCCTACTCTTCATTTAGATCCAAAGGCAGAAACAAGACTGTATATTATGGTGAATGACTTTGAATTTCATGTGTACAACCGTTCTGAGCTTTATGGACAACTTCAAGAGCTATTTGGCTTGGATCCCACAATAATTCCAGCCAAGAAAGATGATGAAAAAGCACAAGTGAATGGAAGGCAGAGAACACATACCAATCTTGAAAGGTAAATTATTATTCATTTTGCTGTTTTGTTGATGCTTTGTTCTATGAAGTGCTGAACTAATTGGGTAATGTTTTCTTAACGTAAGCTCTGAAGGCCAAATGGCTGAAGCACAGTAGAGTGAGAAATTGCACTGACAAGCATGACAGTTTAAATCTTTTTCCTTTCCTCAGTCTTCCCACTACAATAATTTTTAAAAATGGCCAAACAAACCAAATACCCCTTGTTTAATGATCAGAGATGGGTTGAAAAATCTATTTGAAGCACTGTGGAAAGGGAGGATGTGTTGAAAAGGATTATGCTTGCAGAATAGTAACAGTGTTGCTCAGTAGAATTAGTAATCCCACAAGATATTGAATGTGAGGATCTGTGTAATGCTGGGAGGGCATACTGGTTTTTGAGTCTTACACTGAGTGATTTTTTGAATGGATTTCTTTTTTAGTGGTATGTGTCTGTGTGTAGTTACACAAACCTTAACTATTTCATTCCTCTTTTTGGGTACTCTATAAAACAAGGTGTGGGCATAGAGAGAGTTTTTCTGCATAACTTAACTTATTTGTAGTGGTGTTATGTATTCAACTGTAGGCCTAAAGTATGTAGTGGGCTGCTTGCAGTGTGCTGTGACAGTGCTGAGTCTTTGTAGGGGCTGCACCTCCAAACCAGTCTCTTCGTATTTTCTTGTTTACACATGCATGAAGGACTTCTGCCTTTGCTAAGTGACAGGTCACGCATCAAAGACTTAAAAGGATTATTTGAAGCATATTTGGAAAAAAACCCAAGTTCCTCAAGGACGATGTACTTGTTTTCTTGTTTTCTGCCTGTGTGAGCTCACAGTACACCAACACCTGAGGTCTAGGTGTACAAGCTTCATGTTACTCTTCCAGGCTCTGGTGGAGTCTGCAGTATGCTGCTAGCAGGTTTCTTAGAGGAGGTACCCTTGTGGGGAGAAGTGTTTTCAAAGAGCTGTGTATTAAAGATCCCTAGAATAAAAGCTTGGTTAGTTTATCCGCAGAAAAGACTGAATAAAAAACCGTTTTTTTCCACAGTGTAAAAGTAAAAACAGAATCTCAAGACCCTTCTTCTTCATGGAGATCACTCATTCCCGTTATTAAAGTCAATGTGAGCACGGTAAGTGGGAAAAATGTCCCTGCTAATGAAATTATTTAGTAGTACATGCATAAAAAATAGATTTGTAACTCAATTTTCTTGAATGTTCTTTTTTATTTTTTTGTTTTCCTTCATGCTTTGTGTAAGTTTTGGAATGACATCACCACCCCCCACCACCACTTTCCTTACACAGTCATAGATCTTGCTGGCACGCATAGAAACAAAGTTATATTTTCCATTTTGGGAAATAATGTGTTTCTTAGGCTAGTAATGATTTAAAAAATGTCAACAAAATAATTAAGCTAGGTAATGGGAGTTACGCATTTTTATTATTAATTTTTGTTTCTGTGCATCTTTTACTAGGGATATTTGAAAGACTGTTTAAAAGCTACTGCTGTTTCACAAAAAAACAGAGAAACTGTTATTGTTGTAATAGGAAATAAAACGTTTGGAGTTTGAATGTGCAAGGTAAAATTTTACTTATGCACAGATTATGGCTAAGGTTCAGATATCCAGACTTTATTTACTTAGGAATGGTTAAACTGTATTATTACGGGTGAATTATAAATAAATATATGTGAAAAAGCAGTGCATTAGAAGTAATTGGTTATCTTCTTAATTTAGGGTCGCTTGGCATTTGGGAATCATTATCAACCACAAACACTTTGCATTAACTTCGATGATGCTTTTTTGACATATACCACAAAGCCACCTTCCAGCCACCTTGATCAGTTTATGCATATTGTGAAAGGAAAATTGGAGAATGTTAGAGTCATGCTGGTTCCAAGTCCAAGATATGTTGGTCTTCAAAATGATGAGTAAGTTCTGTTGGAAGTTTTTGTTAAGATTCTTTATTATTTCTGAATTTATTATAAGAAAATCAAGTAAAGAAAGTTGAATGTGTTTCTGTGATTTCTCTTAATGTGTTGAGATGATTGGCATTTCTACCACACTGAAATTTTTAAATTTGAAACATTGAAACAATTTCATTTATGGGGAAAAGTACCGTTTTTCTATCTTGTTCTAGATGTTTTTTTAAGGTATTCTGCTTTAAGATAAATGCAGTAGTTGAGACGTTTTGTTCTGTAGATATAGTTTGCATATCGTTTGGAAAACATTTTTAAGAAATTTAAAAACAAAAGCAGGGAAAAGGTGCATGGTATCTGATGTAGAACAAATTGTGCTATCTTCTGAAGGCAGATCCTTCTACCTCTGTGTGTTCTTCTTCTAGACAGCCAGGATTATGCAGCTTTAACAAACTGGAAGATACTAAGGCAAAGAAAAAAATAGGTTGCTTGCATGAAAAGAATTGTTACCAGGGTTCAGGTTTTATTGCACTTCAACCAACTAGACATTTATGTGCATATTACATGAAAACCTATTGCTATGGTATGAATCTCATAGCCAGAGTTTTTCTGCATTATGTTATTCAGTGCTTGCAGTGCTGTATAGTCAACAGATAATTTGGACAAAGCTGAAGAATTTCAGTCATTATTTGAGTTACAGGCATTATTTGCTCAACAAAAGTAATACATGATATCCTTGGACAACTGCACATATGATTTTATGTTTAATGATAATATCAATCCATATAGCTCCTAAGCAATCGTATCCAGAGAATGAATTACTATACTTGGAAATAAACTGTACTTCATTAGTCTGTACCTTAATCAGCTTTATATCAGCCAGATACTGCCACCTATATAAAGTGCCTCTATGTATTTTCAACTTCAGATTGCACTCTGTGGGTGTATACAGAATATCTTGATGTTTGAACGTGACGACAAAGGAAACTTCTTCAATTAATATTGAAAGCAAGCTAACGAGATTAAAACAAAATAGGATTAAGATACTGGAACTATTAGCTTTTTATTCCTGCTTCCGCAAAGTGCTTTCCTTTTATGCAGTTGCCGTGCAGCTCCTGATAGCTGAAGGATAGCATGTGTGCAGAAAACATGTGCCCTAATTTACTGCGCAGATTCAATAAATGACCCAGTTCACTGCAAAATGGGAGTGCTTTTGAATCTTGAGAGCCTGCCCTCTTATGCTTTTTTGGCTTAAACATTAAGCAGTGTGTCTTAACATTCAGGCAGTGTATGAATAGAAAACAAGAGAGTGATGATTAAATTTGTAACAGACTGACTAATTCATGCAAACATCAAACATACAGACTCCTCAACACCTCCATCACTTTTTTTTGCAAGTAAACTCTCCAAAACCAAGGATTTAGAAAAAAAAAGAAAGAAAGAAAGAAAAGTGCTAGGAGAAGCCCTCCTTTTGAAGCCCTGTTGGTGGTATACTCAGTTGGAGAAGCTGATGCTACCTGCTTAGCCTACTTGTACAGAGATGCACTTTTCAGATACAGTGGCTCAAGTGTGTGTTTTGTGGTGTTAGCAGAATGATCTGAGCTCTCTCCATGAACTGCTGTTTAAATATATCTAAGTACTTTTCTTCCTACTTCTATTCACAGACTGCTAAATAATTTTTTTATTTCAGATCCTACTCTATTTGCATCTCACTAGGGAGGCCAATTCAATTTTAGACAGAAAGAAGAAATAATTGGAAAATTAAAGTGAATAGGAAGTATTTCATCTTTCACTGCTGCTATTACTCTCAAAGTAAAATTGATCTGAAATTTCCCACTAAGTTGCTTATGAAGGACTGGCAGCACATGGGCTCTTCGTCTGCTGCTTCTCATATATTCCAAGCTTTACTGTGTTTGAAATGAAGTGCAGTGCAATAAGCAGCATGCTTCTACCCCATTAGTCTTACACCATGTATTTTTGGATTTTCTTCTACTAAGAAGTGCAAACATACAGAAGTGGCTGAAAAGTGGAAAAGACATCTCTTGTGAAAATACAATGGTTACAATTATAAATTAATGTGAGATAATGTAAACAAATGATGAGTGTTAGGAGAAATGTTGCACGTATTTTGTATTTAGATCCTTTCAAGTGAAACATTATTAAGCAAGAAGAAGGCTTGCTTTTAGTGTTTTTGTTGTTTTTTGTTTTTTTTTTTTAAACTCATGGTCTAATTACTGAAGAGCTGAAGACGGCTGGTCCCTCTGGTTCAGAGTGCTATTTTAGTAAGAAATTATTAGCAGGTGAAAGAACATGATGTAGGACAAGGAGAAAGGAATTCTTGATAGAGAAGAAGCATTGAAAGTAGAACTTCAGTAGGTGTGACACGTGAGAAATGTCTTTGTGCCAAGAGAAAGCTTGTATCTTAGTGTGTGAGATAACTAAAGCCTTTAGCTATTTTATATAGAAGTAATGATGTAATGATCAAATAGTTTCTGCAATTCAGGGTTGACGCTGCCTAGCAATAAGACTTCTGCTTTTGATAAAGGGAGACAAGACCAGAGCATTCCTTGCTTATTTTCTTAAGCATGTTTAGCTTTAGGTAGAAGATAGACTAAGAAGCACAGCATGGTAAGGAGGGAACAAGACTGTTTGAAGTATTAACCTGTGCTTTTCACTTCAGAACAAACAAGATTGGGACAGAAGTGTGGTGTGTGCCTCGTGTGTGCATGTGCCTGGATCCCTCCATGTGTTCCCCCTGCCCTGCTTGTAACGTCATGGGACCAAAGGGCAGTAGATGAAATGGCCTCTGGCTCTTATGGTCAATATGAAGTTGAGCTGCCAGCAGCCATGGTATAGACAAATGGAGCTGCTGTCTTCAGACTGCATCAAGCTGGAGTTTTTCCCACAAAACCTTGGTCAGATGCCTCTTACAGCATATTTCCAGCGCTGCAGGTCTCTTTGTTCAGCAAAAACTTAATGGGCATCAAAGGTCAAACAATAACAGCAAATTGCACTTAAGGGACTTCTGGAAATGGGTTTTAATGTATCCATGTGGTTTCCTGCTCAGAACTGGCTTTTCTTCAACCTGCTTAAATGTGGACAAAACTGTATTAGTGCTTGTACTTGCTGTGTGGATATTGAGGAACTACACAAAGCATATCCTCTTCTGGTCTCTGTAAATTTATGATGAGCTTTCTTTTCAGTATGTTTTATGATCTCTTGGCATCTGCAGACTTTTCCAGGAGTATAATATGTTGCTTATGGGTTAGAACTGGCATTTGGTTTGTTCAAGGTCCAATACTTTTGGAATCTTCAAATGGGAGGGTTTTCATTGACCTTACTGAGATATGCAACTGCCTGCAATTCCTCTGAAATGGAAAACCCTGGAGTTTGGCACTAATCTCTGGGAGGCTTAAACAGATATCTTCAGTACAATACTTCTTTAGAACGGCTTGCTTGATAGAGTGTTATTGATGATTCTTTAGTACATACTATTTGTAAGCTATGAGTGAATCTGACCTATGTTACTCTTTCATTCTGCTTAACACATCTTTACACTTTTTTTTCCATTTCAGACCACCGAGGCTGATGGGTGAAGGATTTGTGGTAATGCAGTCCAATGATGTTGACATCTATTATTATATGGATGAACCAGGTACCTTGTGTTAAATATCAAGTTTTAAGGGATGGAAATGTTGATTGTATTTTTAATTGTCTGGGATTGTTAGATAATTTATTTTCATGCTGGAAAAATATAATATTTTGAAGTGGGAATAAAGGCATTCTTAAGTAGTAGAGTCACACCCTTATTTCTGAAAAATTAAAAAAAAAAATCCCCCCAAATGCCACAGAAACAAATTGGAAAGAGTTGATGAATATCATGTTTCAGAGAATGTGAGATTTTTTTGACCACTTTCTTTTATATGTTTCTGTTTTAAGTGTTTTAACCACTTTCTTTTTAACCACTTTCTTGTCAGTATTTAGATTTAGATTGGACTATCTAGAAGGCCTAGGGAATCCCAACGGTAGAATATCTGTACATGTAGAACTAAAAGTTTTATTGATGAGTATTAAATAGATGCAGGCAGTCAGTCAGCAGTGCCTTACTTGAGTTCACATGCAACGTGCATGCAACATGAACAAACCAATGAATATTGGTACTAAGATTATTTTTGAAGCTGTGAATTTAAATTATTTTGGTTTCCAAAGGTAGTTTGGGGATGGAGACAGTTTATGGTCAATATGTATGACTGATTTTTTTAGTTTTTATTGAAAGGTTATTTAACTGTTGATGTCTGAATACTGTAGTGTCTGTTCTTTTCACTTTAAATCCAGTGCATTTTACTACCATGTTATTTTGTTGGAGGTTTTTGTTGTTGTTGTTTGCAAAAGCTTTTATTTTGATTATACTTGAAGTGTAACCTCAATCTTTAATAAAGATAAGACAATAATTCAACAATCAACAACATAATTCAACAATGATGTGTGTTGGTGGAAGATTGATGGTTATTTTGGGTCGTTACTGAATGACTGCTTGAACTTTTGTTAGTAATCCTGGGTGTACTGTTGTAAGGTTTTCCTCTTTATTTGCTTGTGTTGTCTGTGGAGATTATATTTTTTCTTTTTTCATCTTTGTTTTAAAATTTATTCTAACTTTGTAAGTGGGATTGAGGGCTGAAGGTGGATGAATGAAGGCCTGAATTGGTAAGAAACAACAAGAACAACAACAACAAAAAAACATACTTAGCAGATAAAACTGCTTTTTTGCCAGCATTTCAGTGACATTAGAAACCAGTACTTGAGACTATCCCAAGGATTTTGGGTCATTTTCTTGCTCTTCTTATGAGAGTCTGTTCAAATTGTGGCTTGATACCTACATACTACAGTGGTCTCAAAAAAAAAAAAACCAAAAAAAAACCCCCAACCAACCAAACAAGGAAAACCCAATTTAATTGTATTGTGCTTTGTGGATGTTTTTCATGTTAATTTGAAGGAGCTTCCTTTGATAATCTCTTTATTATATTATGTAATATAGGTCTTGTACCAGAGGAGACAGAGGAAAGTAATGATGGAGAAGCTAACAACGAAGATAGCAAATTACAGGACCTGCCACCATGCTGGGGTTTGGACATTGTTTGTGGAAAAGGAACAGACTTCAACTATGGACCTTGGGCTGATAGGCAAAGGTATTATCATGATTTATGGTTTCAATTTTAATCTTTAATATATCTTCTTATTGTGCAAACATTATAGAGTCTCCAGTATGTGATTATTTTTCTTAAAATTTGTATGGATTAGACTAGTCTTGTAAGGAAAAAAGAATTCTGTCACAATTGGTTAGAGTTAGTAAATTCACTATTGTTTACTGTGTTGTCCTAAAGGTAGAATCTTTCTGTGACATTTTATTATTAGATTAATAGTTTTTGTTCCTAGTTTTTGAAACAACATAGTCATATTATATGTCAAGTGTTAAATACCTGAGGGTTTAATTTTTTTATTGCTTTTATTTAAACTTGTTGAGTTCTTATTGGCTTATTTCTCTGGAGCTTGTGGTTTGAAATACACTGCATGTTGGTGAGAAAATCCATGGAAGTACAAATCTGGCTTTGAAAATAATGAGGTGTTATCATTTATCACTGCTTAACAGAATCAACCACTTGATGCTGTCTGCGAAGTGTTTATAATCTAGATATTTTAGTGATTAAAATATTAGGCTAGAGCTCTATTACTGTTCTTCACTAAGCTCTCTGTATTTTGTGCTTGAATATTTCTGTTGGAGACAGTGGGATTGTTTAGAGAGCGAAGGGCTGTTAAGTAACAGGGACATAATCAGTACTTTCCCTTTTTTCTCTTGTTAATTACAAATTAATACTTTTCTTGGCCTCTGTTAATTCTCCTGTGAAACTGATGGGACTAACTGTCTCTTAAGAACGTGTGGATGGCAGATTAGTCATCAGATATACCAGTGTCTTGTAGAACTTGAGAGAAAATGCTGATTTCTAGAACAAAATGTGAAGTCAATGAATTATTAATGACATTTTTAATACTGTCAAGAAAAATAGAACTGTGATGGTATGCTTTTTATAATTTCAAGTGGCTAGCCAGCAGGTAGTCTGGTGCACAGTGTGTTCCAAGGTGCACAGTATGCACAAGGTTCGTAGGCATATGAACCATTCATACCTGGGAACACTTTCTCATCATGCCATGAATAGAAGATAGAATTTTGGAAAGTACCTGTATGTTTTCAAAGCACTGATCTGTGGAAATTCTTTGGACTTTGTACTCCTCAATTCATGTAAGAGCTTCCACAAATACTGATCTTAACTACTCCATGCAATAATGCTTTGGGTTTCCCCAGATCAGTGTCACTTTAGTGATTTTTGACTGTGTGCATGTGATTGGCTTTTTGTTTTGTTTTTTTTCTTATTGGGTTTATCTCTTTTTGTTGTTGTTTTTGTTTGTTTGTTTTCCCCTGCTGGTGCTAACTTTTAAGTTGTCTTAGTGGTCAGGTGCTTGATGCATGGGAACTGTTACTCAGCTTAAGGACTCACTTCCTCAACTAAATAAGCTCTGCTGTCTGTACTCCATCTCTGCGGTTTTCCTTCCATGTAACTAAATGTTCAGATATGAGTATTTAGAAATGTAGGTTTCATTTTATTTCCTTTCAGAAGTTGTAAACGTTTTGTACTTTGTTTCTTTCTGAACATTACAATGATCAGTTATGCACAAACTGAAGCATAGACAGATTCCTTCCTGTTATACTTTTCTGGTAGATTTTTAAGCTAAGATTAGGGGTAAGAAGAATACCATAGTTTGCAATCCGAGTTAGATTTTTAAAAATCCTTTATGGTCTATCTACTGTGGCTTTTATCCAATAGGCAATTCTTATTAACAGAAGTTTTGGAGTTTTGTATCGGTAGTGAGTTAGTTTTGTCATCAGGGAGCCTTCTAAATAAGCATCCCTTCCTAAAGCATGTGCTGGTTGTCTGAAAACTCAGCAATTGGAAAATCATTAAGTGAACCGAATACGTAAATAAACATGTTTATGTACATTTGTTCTGTAAATTAAAACAACTGTTTTGTCTTTCTTCCCTGCTAGGGATTGCTTGTGGAAGTTTTTCTTTCCGCCAGACTACCAAGTTATGAAAATCTCTGAAATTGCTCAGCCTGGGAAACCGAGACAGATTCTTGCATTTGAACTGCGGATGAATATTATTGCAGATGCCACCATTGATTTGCTTTTTACAAAAAATAGGGTAAATAATGAAATCTTGTATGTAAAATGCTTTTTCAGCTGTGATTCCACTCTGCTTTTTCAGTTTTACACGTTTTTACTTGTCTCAGGTGCTTATAAAAGCTACGAGAAATTGTATTTATTTTCTGTGACTATAGATGTGTATTAGGATAAAACTTGCCATGATGAAGACAGAATTTCTTCTGATATTGGATTAATATCTGGTATTACTGGAGAGATGATAGCAGGAGAAACAAAAGTTGCATATATGGAGGGGTTATAAATGGAGTGTAGCGTAAGTTCACTGAATGTCTAGTTTCCTTACATAAAGCTACTCCATCAGTAATTTTTCATCAGTCATTGAGTTTTTTTTAACCCAGGTGTATGGATAATAATAGCCAGATGCATGAAGTATACTGGTTGACACTGAGGGTCTAGAAATAATGCTTGTGGGTTGGTTGTTTTTTTTATTTTTTGTTTTTTAATCCATGCAGGAAACAAATGCTGTCCATGTAAATGTTGGTGCAGGATCATATTTGGAAGTAAATATTCCCATGACAGTTGGTGAAAATGGTGAGTTAAGGCTAGGATTAATTTGTTTTCTTAATTTTTTTTCCTGAACAGTTGTCTTAATACATATCAGGGTGACTATCTTGCAGTGTTTTCCCTTGAATGTGAGATAAACAAATATCCATATGTAGTATATAATATATATTCATATATATATACATATACATACATATATATATGCATACATGTATATACATACATATTTATATGTAAATACTCATGTATGCTTACACAAGGAAAGAAAAAGAGTTTCCTTATACATTTCACTGAAGTTATTAAAGCATTTATGTATTTAAATAATTAAGTTACCTCCATATTTTATTTGGGTTGAGAAACCTAAGTCAAAATTTCTAACTACTAGAAAGTGCATCATTTTTTTTTAAGCAAATGATGCGTTCATTGTCAACTCAAAGCAGGAAGTCATCTTCAGTAAGGTTAGTGTCACAGTTGAACTGTGCTGAGGAATACATTATGCAAAATAATTTAGTAATAGTTTTTTAAAATAAACTCTGAAGTCTGAGACAAATGTAAGAAGTTGAGATAAATGTAAAGTTACATTGTTTTATTTTGTTTGATTTACTCAGTTCGTTGAATTGTTTGAATCCTTTCTGCTGATTTGTTTGTTCTCTTGATTCTCCCTGGTATATTTGCATTTTCTTGTGCATTTCATGCTAAGATTTCTGAAACCTAAGCCATACCATCCCTCCAACAGAAGACAGTAAGCTGTTTGTTGACCAATAGGTGATGGAATTACAGAGTAGCAATTTTCACCACAACATTTCTTCACTGTTTGGGAACTGCCGAATTCACTGGTGATATTTTTTAAAATGTTTGTGTAACTATTATATTGGAACAGTGATTTTTGTATTTTTATCTACTAGGCTATTCACCTACAATTAAAGGCCAGCTTCTACATGTTGATGCCACCAGCAGTATGCAGTATCGGACTCTCTTAGAAGCTGAAATGCTAGCTGTAAGTTTGCATTATCAAGAACATAGCTTCATTCTTTAAAGAATTTTTAATAAAGAGCATATTTGTTTGCTTATAGAGTTGGTGTTGAGGATTGTAAACAGTGCAGAAGTACAACCTTTTAATGTTTTTTATAAGACATTGATATGTAGGGAAGGTTTTATGTGAATTGAAACCTGTGGGTGGGTTGCCTAGTTTACTTTGTAGCTGTGTGTTTGTATAGAGTTTACCGTAGTAAATCATTACACTTGTAGCTGTGCTGAAGAGTATCTGCTTGTGTAGGTATTTCAAAGTACTTAAACTTTTTGAAACGATATTGTGTTCTCATTTGCCTAACATTCAACTTCTGTCATTTGTCAACAACCTTTCTCACTAGTTTTTAAATGACCTTATTAGAGTGATGTTTTTAATGTCTAGTTTTTGAGCATCATATCAGTTGTTTAGTACATCTAGTGCAACGGACGTTACGTTTGTTGAGCCATATCAGAAGTTTGTAGTAATACCTTTCCAAATAAATGAATACACTAACACTTGACCTTCAAACTCAGAAAGACAAGGAGTGAGATTAAATTATTAAGGAACTGGAGAGGCCTTCTGTTCATCTCAGCAGGAAAAGAGTTTTAATTATTCAGCAGAGTACATATGTGAAAACTGCTGCGCTACAGGGTCAAACACTGTCATGTTTTCAAATAATTCTAATGCTTTAATATCTTGTTCACAGTTTCACATTAATGCCAGTTATCCCCGGATATGGAACATGCCACAGACATGGCAATGTGAACTTGAGGTTTATAAAGCAACATATCATTTTATCTTTGCTCAGAAAAGCTTCTTTACAGGTAACTGCTTTACTGAATAAGTTATGTATCAAATTAAATGTTCTTTATTTACCACTTCTTCAAACTTACAGTTGCAGATACAGTGATTTCACATCTTCAGGAAAACAAATTATTATTGAGGACCGAGTTCCCAATGCCTTCTGTGGGCTATTAGTGTCTAATTACATGATACTCTTATATTTCAGTAGATATACTGAATAATTTAGTTTTCTAACAGCTAAGTAAAATTTGATCTGCAGTTATGCTAAGCGATCTTAAATTTAAGATGTGGGTTTTTTTTGTTGTTGTTGTTGTTTGTTTTTTGTTGTTTTGTTTTGTTTGGTTGGTTTTGTTTTTTTTAAACCAGAGCTATTGATTCATTTAATAATTGTCACTAGGACGTTGATTTCTCTGATATTTCTCTTTGGCTGACTGATTTTTAGTTATTCAGGCTTAGGTCTTGTCTGTGTGGCTGACAGATGATGAGAGAAAGTAATTTGCTCCTTGGGATTTTGGGTTATGAGGAAGAACACGTGTACACAAGACAACCCTGCATCACCAAACTGTTGCTGAATGTTCCAGCTGCAGAAATAGAAAGAATATAGCCCTATCAGTGGGGCGCTACCTGCTCTAATTAGCCCTGCTGAGTGGAGGATTAATTAGTACAAGCATAGTGTGATGCTAATAAAGTTATCTCCTAGTGAGGCTAGAGTTATCATTTATAGAGCGCTGTTGTACACACTGTAATCTATCAATCTATGCAGAGTGAACTGGGAGCTTCTTCAGAAACACTGTTTTGCTGTATCAGACTTGGTGGTAGGAAATACAACTAGTAGATGCTCATAGTATTAGAATGGAAAACCAAAGGAAAACATTGATTAGTCCATTGTTTTTTGGATAAATGTGAAACCTTGTTACTGAATAAAACTAATCTAGAAAGTGTGAGTAAACCTATGGCATTACAGCTTAGGAAGCAAGGAGATGGATTCACAGGAAGTATTTGTGGAATAGCTGCTCGAGGAATGAATGCTACGTGTAGTTTTCCTCATTTTCCTTTTCCAAGGAACCAATATTGACGATTTACATTTTATTAAAAGCCAGGTTAGCTTGAAAGAGGAAATCTCTCACTCGATTGCTACTAACTCATCTTTTATTACTTTATGTAATTTTAGATTTGATCCAAGACTGGTCTAGTGATAGTGCACCTGATATTTATTCATTTGTTCCTTATATGTGGAACTTCAAAGTCATGTTTCATCAATTTGAAATGATTTGGGCAGCTAATCAACACAACTGGATTGACTGTTCCACCAAACAACAAGAAAATGGTAAAGTCAGTTTAAGATTTGAAACAGTGCACACAGTGACAAAAATTCTAGCATGTTTACTATGAAATGAAATGAATGATAACTACTCATTTTGCTACTGTTGTTATTCATAAGCCATCCTAAAACTGCTGCAAGTCCTCACTTGTTTTGTACATTTCATACAAATATGTACCTTCTCTTAGGAGTGTAGCTTCAGCTCACATTTTTAGCATTCATTTTTGAGGACCCTTTGAATGCTCAGAATAATTTGGTAGTTTATACTCTAAATGCATGATATTTTCCTTTGTCCTGAGTTCATGTCTTTTTCCTTAATTGTACCTATATATTTGATATTTGCCTAAGAACAAAATAGAGAGTCATTTTGACAGTGTTTTATTTGTTTACTTTTCCTATTCTCTCCCAGTTTATCTAGCAGCTTGTGGAGAAACATTAAACATTGTTTTCTCTCTGCCTTTCACTGACTTTGTTCCAACTACATGCAATACCAGATTCTCTTTAAAGGTAAGTTCTGTTCTCTCAGTGCCCCTCTCTTTTTTTTTTTTCTTTTTCTTTTTTTACATTGTTTTCTGAATGTGAAATATTTTACTTCCTTTTCTTCTTCAGTTAGGAACTTCAGAGTAAACTCCTTCCTGAAAGAAAAATATTCTCTTTCAATTCCTGATCATATAATTTTTCTTTAAATAAGTAAATAATTTCTCTTGATTACATAAAACATCCAATCATGGAGTGTTTCAGGTTTTTTTTTTTAGTTTTTAGATATATATACAGACATACAGACACACACGCATAAATATCTACACATTTGGAATGGGTAACCCAAACTGTTTTGGAAAGCGGTCTTCAGATTTTTGGTATTTTCTATAAAAATAACAAATGTATTTTTAATGTGCCAAACTAATTCTTTGGAACACTGTACTTCTTGTTTTGTCTTCTTTAAAATAGAGGTTGTGTAGTGTTATTAACATTAAAAACTGGTTGAAGGTGACGTTGGTAAGCTTGTGTAATTTGATAGCAAAATAAGCAAGGCTATATTTAAATTAAGAAAAAAAAAAAAGTGTGGTTAATTTTAGGAAGTTGGTAAGTTGTGGGCCAGTCACTGAATTTTTGCATTATGGATGGAACAGAAGAATAACTGCAATCCCCAAAAGCTGTGCACCTGTGTTTTGCAGCTTGCTATGATGTGTTCTTATATGCAAGTTACTGGATGCATAACTGCTAAGAACTGCAGAGATCTTGGGATATTATAACAAATTGGTGGGAGCTGTGGTCAGCAGTCATGTAAAGACTGAGACATGGTGCATCACATTGTCATCATCTTTGTGAAGATGGTTGTACATGTGAGCATGTAAATAAAATGAACATTATGCAGAAAATGAATGCAAATATACTTTTCATTATTGATCTTTGATTTTAGGGAGAAGATGTTGATCTTCATTTGTATCTACCAGATTGTCATCCTAGCAAATATTCTCTTTTTATGTTGGTGAAAGATTGTCAACCTAATAAAATAAATCCTGAATCTTGCATTTCTGGTGAATGTCCAAGTGGTCAGAAAACAGGCAAACCCAAGTGGAGGAACATTACTCAGGAAGAGTGAGTCTAGTTTTGGTTTATGTCTATGTATCTGTATTGACTTTTTATATTTACTTATTTTCTTTGTGGAAAAGCAACTTAGTATGTTAATGGAACATATATGATGAAATGTGTGATACAAATGTTTCTTTTTGAAAGGGCTGGATGGGTTGAATGCTGGACAGTCCCAAGTGTTGTGTTTACGATTGACTACTCGTGGCACCCAATTTATCCTCAAAAGGCAGATGAGCAGTTAAAACAATCCTGTAAGTGCAACTACGTTTTTCTTCTCAGTATGTTTCATTTCAGGAAGTGCTGTGACTGTGTTGGCTCTAACTTCTTAAATTTGCAGAAATTCATTTTAAACTGAACTGCTTTTATTTGTGGGGGTTTTTTTGTTTGTTTTTTTTTTTCTTTTTTTGGTCAAAGGTGGGACAGCTAATTTTCATTTCAAACCTGACAACATTTTTTTCAATTCACGATTTCAGAAAGTATCCGAATTCCCTATGGAAAAAAAGAGATATTGTTTATGGTTAATTTCTGCTTATCCATAACAGTAGATTTCTTTAATGGGTTGTTACCTGAAAAAAATTATCACTTAGTTTAATAAATGTGAAGTACAGCATTTTTGGCAGTACTGTGTTATGCAGCCTTTCTAAACCTTTTTCCTTGTGATATTGTGACTTTTTCCTATCATTTTAATGTTTAAATACATTGTATTTGTATGAGATACAGTGACATAGGCTTACCTTCATGCATTTGAAAGTCATGCTGGTAAAGTGAACCATGGCAGGTTGATAGGAATGTTAGACTAATAAGTGCAACAATATTTCTAACTAAGAATTTTCAAATTTTGAAGTTCTAAATGTGAAATCTATATATATAAAAGTTACAGAATACCCTAATTTTGTCTATGTGCTCAAGTATTTTTAGTACAGAGGGTGGTATGCGAGATGGTATGAGGTTATTTGGAAGTCTTTTGGGTTGAGGATAAAGAGAGGAACTGTGGAAGAAGTGGTAGTAGAGTAACAGTGAGGACTAATTTGTTTAAGCCTCAATGAACAGGTTTTTGAAGGCATGATTCTGAATAAGATTTTTAAGTTTTGAGTTCTAGAAGAAAAAAAATTTTTGAGTGTGAAACGGGATAAATAAGGTCCATTGTGCATATCCTCATTGAGTGTTGTTTTGAGACTCCATAAGTTTGTGTTAAATTTGCATACTTCAGATTTGAAAGCATTTACTTGTAATCATAACAGTTCAACCTGGATTTGGACATTTGTATATACACAGATAATTGCACCTACAGCTTCCTTTAATGGGGAATTCTTCAATTAACAAAGTTGAGTACACTTCCACAGTTGGATTTGAGCTGTGATGCTGACACAGTGTGTTTGTTATAGTAATAACCATTGGTATTTTCCTTTGAATCAATTGATAAAACACTTTAAATCTCTGAGAAACAAATACGGTGTATAATAGAGGTGCAATTTCCAAATAAGTGGTCTTCTCATTGTGACGTTTAGCTGATTGATGTAACATAAAGAAAACACTGAAGTGTTATAGGCAATAATGATAGGTTAAAGCCTTGAAGGTAGTTTGCTGGACACGTGTACTCACTGTAGCTCTGCATGCGCTGATTCTCCCAATTAAACTAGCACCTGAACTCTTACTCCATCTGGAAGAAAATTTTCTATGATTTCCCCATAAAGCTTTTTGCTTTTCAGCAATCACTTTACAACCCCAAATGATTTTGAGTTATTCACTTCCTTTTCCTGGTCTTTCCTCACTTAAAAAAGACAATAAGCTTCTCCTTAGCTTCACGTAAAAAGAAGAAATAGAATTTGGATTTCAGGACTGTTTTGTTACTAGAGTAATTGAGTTTGGGAGGAAATTGAAGCATACAGAGTCATTGGTTCAGAACAGATTTTTAATACATTTTTTGCAGTGTTTCTGTTTATTCACTTCTGTTTACTCTGCAGTAGCTATGTGGTTGTGGGAAATCTGCTACACTGAAATAATAGCAGGTTTTGTTTAACTTGAAAAACAAGATAAATAAATTGATCTTTTTTTGTAAGTTGTGGACTTGTTTTTCTCTTGCATAATTCATGCTGACAAAAACATTCTGTGTTTTACTGCATTCTCATGATTACTACATCTGAGAAATCTGTTCTGTAGCATAGGTGTGTTATCATAGTTACAGAATCCAAATCAGAAAGCTGCAAGAAGTTGTATGTTTATTATGCTTCCATATTTTTATAATTTTCTCTGGTTGAAACCTAACGTAATAAAAATTTGTTTTCATTTTCTCCCAAGTGTCAGAAATGGAAGAAACAATGCTATCTGTGCTAAGGCCGTCACAGAAGACATCTGAGAGTGTGATTTCATCTCCCACTGCTTCGACACGCCTTCCCCTTGACCCTGCAGAGCTGCCCCCAGATAAGCTCCATGTGGAACTGGAACTCTCTCCAGATTCCCAGATAACTCTGTATGGACCATTGCTTAAAGCCTTTCTATCTATAAAGGTAAGCACAGAAACACAGCTCACAGTGTTTATGGATGGCCACATGTTGGAAAGGGAAGTGATTTGTTTGAAATGGACAGAAGTCTGCAGAATATGTGAATTTAGTCCTTTCATAAGGACTAGTTTGGTATGGCTTGGTTTGATGATATGTCATGGCTGGGTTGAGTACAGTTGGCACAGGCTTATAAGAAGGCTTACAAAACAGAAGTAGACTTGTATCAGCATAGTTTTTCTTTTGTGATGTTGTGCATGTAAGTGTGTAGAAACATAAAAATGCATCTTTGACTGGAGTGTACATTAACAGCTACTTTTATGCAAAGATATATCAGAATTCATGCCTCTAGGGCATTTTAAGTTCTGCAGAGTATCCTGATTGTTTGTTTTTTGTTTTAATCAGGTTGTTGGAAATTTCTGCAGTTGGGGTCATAGAGGGAAAGGATGTGAGAATAAATTTAATTTAAAAAGCTACTTCAGGGAATATTTAGGAACAATTTTTTGTCTTGCCTTGATGTTACTCTATTACACTTCAGTATGCTGGCATCTGTTGCTTATCTCAAGTCGTCTTCTGTTAGTGGTCTTTAGAGTGGCTCACAGTGACTGAATTTCTTCCTACCTCCCTCACCTGGCCTTGTTATGACAAAGGCAGAGATGATTGAACATGTCACTTCTATTAGATAACTATGAAATGCTTGTACTTTGTTTAATTATTAGGTTGGTTTTTTTTTTTGTTCTTTTTTTTTAAGTTCTGTTTTAATCCTTTTCTGTATGTTTTCGTTTAGGGTTGGGATGAGGAATTTTCTGAGGCTAGTGATTACTTGTAAGGACTGGTACTGAAGAAGTCACTTTTAAGTTCTTACATAAAGATCCTGCATGTATGCAATGAATAGCAGAAAAGAAAGCTTTTGCAGAGTCCAGGAATTGCAAATATGCTCATATATTATTTCATGTTGACACTAAAAGAAATAGGAACAACATTAGGCCAATGGCAAATGTCTTGAGAAGACTTCATATATTGTGATACGGAAGTCCGCTCGTGTTTGACACAATTTATTGAATTGGTTATTCATCTCCTCTTGGAGTTGTGTGCTCTGTGGTGATGCTGTCTTTCCATGCAAGATTCTTCAATACTCATCTCCTCTGTAGAGATAAATAAACAGTGTTACGTTAGATCCTTTGATCCCATGGTGATTTGATTTTTGGTGTGCAGATTTTGTCTTCTGAATCTCAAAAGAAAATTTAGATAACTCATCTTTGAAAATGCAAATGTAATGTTCTTTTCAGCATTTTTGTCTGTGTTTACATCATTTTGTCCAGCTGATACTGGTACTGATAGCATCTTGTAGTAGATTACTGGTGATGTTTTTTAAATTTTATGCTCATTTTTCTGTCTAGTTGTTTTTAGTTCATTTTCATTGATCTTAAGTAAAATGTGGGAGAGATTTATGCAGTTTTCGTAAGTGTTCTGTTCTTTGGAGGTAGTTTTTTGGTATAGTGTCTTGTGCTCCCTAGGGATGTCCTACCTACTGGGAATGAATGATGTTCAAGTCCTGGTAGAAAGTACCAAGAATAAGTTACTGGAGTTTCTAGCACCCTCTGCTGGATATTCTTTATAGAACAACAGCAACAACAAAAGCTTCAAGATCTATATCCTCACAATGACTTCTATTTTTTCTCTTCGTTAAAAAGCAAAGCCAGTTACCTTTGCTCAACTTCTGTGAACTGAGCAGTATAGTTCATATATAGCGTTTTAACAGAAAGAATACTTTGGAAACTTAATGTGAGACGATAAAATTACATATCCATGTCAGATCTAATAATGTGCCTGTCTTTTCCTGCAGACCTTTTTCCAAGGACGTGAGCATTTTGCAATTGCTTGCTTTTTCTGTTTTGTACATTTCCTCTTTGCTTGCTTGCTCTACAGATTTGTGCTTAGAAAAGAATGAAGAAGTCTTAGCAGGCAGATGAATTTCAGGAAGGGGAAGAAGTTAGCGATAACCTCCGTAAAATTTTGTAAAATGTTTCCCTACAGTCATTGCAAATAATTGATTTTCCTAGGAAAATTATTTTGGAGAAGATGACATGTATACTGATTTTGAAGAAGTTATTTCAAGCCCTGTTTTGTCTCTGTCAACATCTTCGAGCTCTGGATGGACAGCTGTGGGAGTAGAAAATGAAAAGAAGGAAAATGAAAGCTCAGTCAAGCCAGTTCACCCTCTTACTCTACGTCCATGGGATATTACTGTCCTTGTTAATTTGTACAAAGTGCACGGGCGATTGCCAGTGGTAAGAGCTTCAGAATCTTGAAGTATCTTGTTGCTTTTTTTTTTCCAGCTGCATGATGTGGAGCTAAATGTAACTCCCTAGAATGTTAGGTTAGGCTGGGGAAGTGTTTTTAAAATGCATGGGTACTCTTCAGCAAAACTGTGGCTATCTAAAGTAGTTTGGAACATGTTTGGTTTTGCTTATCTGAAATGTGAACTGGATATCTTATAAATGATTTTTTATTCAAGAAAATAGGTTTTTGTGATCAGTAGTTCATGATTTTTGATTGACAATTATGATTTCTCTGCTAAATAGCAAAGCTATCTCCTGATGACACATCCTGCTCTTTGTAGCTGCATTGTGAGGGATTCCCAAGAATTTCAAAACTATTCCAGATAAAGGTTTGGGTTAGCTCAGATGGATTTGAATTGCTGTCTATATTAACTGTTAAAAGATTTTTGAAGTTGCACAGATTACTTTTTAATTATCAACTTGAAGGAAAGCTAGCATACTTACCGCTTACAGGTTTGCTTCTAATCTAACAACTTCAACAGTGTTGTACGTTTCATATTCTGAAATGGCTGTTTGATTTTATTTTATTTTTTTTCACTTTAGCATTGTAGTCCTGATGGTCCTGAGTGCCCTACAGCTTTCTTGGAGAGGTTGTGTTTTGAGATGAAGAAAGGATTTAGAGAAACAATGCTTCAGCTTGTGCTGTCTCCAGTGAATTTGTTTCTGAATGACAATTATCAGGTAGTTAGCCGATTTTATTTGGTTTTGTTTTATCTGGTTTGGGGGAATTGTAACCATTTTAATATGGATTCTTTTGATACATACAAAGCTTAAGGCTTTTGAATCATATGTGAAAGAAAATTTTGATGCATATATATATATTTTATTCTTTGTTTCTCCAGCATATGTTTGAAGTGAAAGGCACATAGAATATTGTATGTTTTCTTAATTTTACTTAAATCTTCCTTGAAAAGATTCTTTACGAAACTGAGAGTAATAGTCAGATTGGTCTTAGAACTGTTGAATCTTTTTTAAGATTTTTATCTTAAAATCTACTGTAGGTTGTGATTCAAGTAAATTTTGTGCAGTGCCTGGAGATGTTTCACTTTTTTAAGCAGCAAAAAGAAAAACGGTAGTAAATAGAATAACTACATCTTTCACATTTCTATGCATTTTGTTAGAATAAATCACAGAGCTGGATCTTTAGCTTACAATCAAGATACTGGCATGACCTGTAATTTTCCTCCGGTAGGGGTACAATGAAAATAATTAGAGACTAAATTAAGCATTACTTGTGGCTTGTCAGTTAGCTATGCACAATTTTACTGTAATTGTTAGTAAACTTCTCAAAAATTGCCCCATGCATAAATTTAGTTCAGTGAAGATTTTAGGTGGCAATTCATTAGCACAAGCAATTATCCTTACTCAGTGAAGTTTGTGACTATTTCAGTTCTTGTTTTATTTATGCACACACTGGTTGCATTAAAACCACAGTACTTGAACTGGGCCCTACAGATTACATTGTTTTTCAATGCCTGTATCCTGAAATATATTGCTGCCAAAAATAATAGTACAGTGTTTGAAAACCATGTACTGCTAACCATACACAGACAAAGACACATGTCCCCCTGTTCTCTGCTATGTCAGGAAGCTAATGAAACAAATTGGTTGATGCTTATTTAAACTTTCCAGATTTGGACCCGGTGCACAAGCACAAAAGTACCTTAAACATAACCTCTGGCTGTAAACTGACTAAAAGAGAAAGGAACTGCAAGAAATAATGTACTGTCCTGACAAGAAGTTAAATAGCATCTTAGGACGTGCCATGTTAGCCGTTGTATTTTGAGAGTGTTACCTTCTTAGGCTCTGATTAGCAAAGAAAATATCCCCGTAGAGAAAGTGGAATTGCAGCCTGCTGGGCTTTGGGTACAACGCTGCAATTATCTGTGATAGTAACCTGAGAAAAAATGGTGGTGTGGAGTTGCAAGAATTGCAAATGAATAATCTCAATAGGATTAATACCGTGGTCTTTGGGGACAGCTGCCTAAATTGGATATAAGGATATCACCAGGCAGGCAATTCTCTTTCCCTTGTAACTTTGTTTCTGGAGCAAAGTGTCTGCAGGACTTGTTTTTCACAGGTGCAGCTGAAGGCAATGGGAATTGCTCTTTGAAACTGTAATTAAACCTGTGTGTCAAAAAAGTCCTGAGAATTTTCAGTTGGGGTAACCATGTCTGCTGCAAGGTTTTCTTTGGTGTATTTTGTTGTTTGTTTTGGTCGGTTGTTTTGTTTTTATTTTGATGGGATGTGGAGTGGGGGGATAGTATTATTCTATGAGGAATCCAAGCCATGTATTTAAGCAAATAATCTATTTTGTGCACTCAGTGACTTCTTTAAGGTTTTTTTTTTTCTAACTGTAACTTAATCACAGTACATAAGATATGTACAAGGAAGTAGAGATGAGGTTGCAGCCATAACCTTAATTTTGAAGGGTTTTTTTTTTTTTTTTTTCCTCTTTGTGATTTAATTGCCCTGAGACTTTAAACCTTTCGCCCCCAGCCCCTGTGTGTATATATGCATATAAAAATAGGCTAGGCTTTCTATTACTGTCTTTCAGAATTCCAAATATCAGGGGGGACATACTGAATATAAAAGCCAGAATGATTTTAATCAAGTGAAAGCAAAAAGAGTTCCTTGGTGCAAAGGAGGGAGTACAGGGAATAAGGCTGCTTGCAGTGCTGCTATCTAGCAGCCAGTGCAGCACATTGCACCATATCTTGGCTATGAGAAATTTCAGCTTGCAGATATGTTTCTTCTTCACTAAGCAGCTCCAAAGGGTTTCCTGATGGTGGAAAACAAACTGTGCAATGCAGTATGTTGATACTGAGGGAAAGAAAAGTTTTGCTGTTGACTTATTGGATTTAAATCACAGCTTACCTCAGTGTTATCACAAGCTCCTAGAGTATGTCTGTGCAGCTTTTATCTTTTGGTTTCTTCTTTGGCCAGTGAAGTAATATTATTTTATCTGAGTTCTCGTATCTGCAGCTGAGGACCATTGCTTTAGGTAACCAAGAAATTCTTCAATGAAAAATGCAATTTAGAGGACACTCTCTGATTTTATTTATTGATATTTTTTTTTTCAGTTGTTGGCTGATTGTGGCAGACATTCATAAGTCATTTATTTTTTAACCTTGATCCTTTCCATTGTCAAATGTGGTATTTCATTCTTTGTATTTTACTGCAGTACTATTTAAGAGATGTTCCCAATGATGTCACAGAGTGGAAATCCCCTAGGGAAGGTAATTGACGTTGGTTGCCAGTGGTTAAAAGATAAGGCTTCTTTCCCCACATGAGATTTACGTATATGCTGTTGCATGTGTGATGCTGAGAAGTCTTGGGACTGTGTAACTGTATAAAAGTCAACAGGGTTAGGAAGTGAATATGAGTGTATATGAAATACCTGTGTTTTATTTTTGTTTTTTTTCACTTTCTAATTACACAATCTTTGCAGTTTACTTAAGTGTTATCTTGTCCTTGACAGAGACCGGCAGCTGATGAAGTCCTTCGAGAGGGCCACATTAGTCTATCAGGTCTGCAGTTGCGTGCCCACGCGATGTTTTCTGCAGAAGGTTTGCCTCTTGGAAGTGATACTTTAGAATATGCATGGCTAATAGATGTACAGGCTGGAAGTCTTACTGCCAAAGTTACAGCACCACAGGTATCATCTAGAAACTGTACGCTATGAAGTATCAACTTCCTTCTTTCTTGTAAAGCTGGTATAGCATGAACTTCAGAAAATTTGCCATCTCAGCCTTAAGTAACTTTAAGTATACAGGTTAGAAATCTAACCATTTACATGTTAAAAATAGGAGATTCCAGAAGAGCCAAATCTGATATTCACTTAGATATAACAGGATGTCTGGTGTTAAATGAGCATTTAAAAGAGTGATGTTTACCAAATATGAACAAATCAGCAGTGAATGCTGATGATAATATGTGTAAATGCATGTTATGTCTATGTATGTTAATATACTTGAATACTGATTAGAAAATCAACCATAGTAACTGCTTGTACTTCAAGTGGCTTGATTGTACAAAAAGTAATGCTTCTCTGTAAATAGATCCAGTGTTTTGGGACCTTTTCAGCCATACACTAAAGAATATAACAAAGAGCAGAAAGAAAAACTCTATTTAAAAAAATCAAGTGAGGAATTTTTAGTGAAATTGTGTCTGACTTCCTCTAAAATCACTTTCATTTTATGATGCTGAATTTTGGAGATTCAAATTCATTACTCCTACTGATTAACAATCTGGAAAGAACAAATTAAGTACCCATTTATGGGTACAGTTTGAAAGGCATCTCGTTGTCCCTCACGTGTAACGTTCATTCAGATACATAGGCATTTGCTTGCAGGAATGCTATCAGGAAGGAGGATAACAGGTTCAGCAACTGGCAAAAATTTTACCTTGCAGATAAAGTTTTGACATTCCTTAGAAACCTATTGACAAAGCCAAGTTTTAAAATAGGAGACAATTGGAATGATTTGTGCGAAAGTAGAATGAGCAGAGCTCTCAAACAGAGTAGCTGGTAGCTGCATAACTTCTAATGCTTGGCCCTACTGTTAGGTAGCTTGCTTTCACAGTGATCAGTCATTTTAGTCCTGCCATTTATGCTGCCTTCATTTTTCTATTATATAACAGCGACTCCAAGCGTGTGTTTTCTTCTTGTAGAAATTCTCAATTGAATACTTCTAGAGTATTTTAATTTCGCTTTTTTTGTTGTCAGCATTGATGTGAACCAGAACTTGAATTTGCTTCTTTCAGGGTCATTGGCTTTTTCGTTCCATACTGTGATGTATCGTAAGAATCTGTGAAGGTATACAGCTAAAGAGAGGATGAGAGATCTTGTGGAGGACAGTCATAGCTATATTAAATTCCAATTAAATTGCTCCTGATTTAAAGTCCCCTTTCCTTTGATTAGCCAAAGAAAACCCATTTCCCTCTCATAATAGAGCTAGACAGTCATGATTCATTTCCTTTATGAATAAGCTAACTATATAAAAGATTTAAATCAACAATTGGGTAATTACTAGGTCCAGCGAGATTCAGTAGTATTCTGTTTAGCCAGTTTACTTCTATGTTTTCTGAATGTAACTTTGTTACTTACATACAAGAAGGTATGACATTTAAATTCATAGGCTCATAGAATCATTTGAGTTGGAAGGGACCCTTAAGGTATTAGGGTATTTAGATGCATTTTTTTTTTGAGGAAAAATAAGATGGTCTCCATCTTTGCAATGAAATGCCTGTCTAACCCTAAAAGTAAAGCTGTTTCCTTAGATTAAGACGTAATTTAGGAATTGTTTAGGTTCATGTCACACTATTACACGTGCACCTTCTAGCACACACAAAAATAAATCTTGAGTAATGGGCAATAGGCTATGTTTGAACAAAGTAACAAAGACAGAATGTTATGATGAGGTTGTCTGTTTGGTTTTACTCCTTCCAACCTTTAGTGATGTTCTTTCAATAATCTGTTGAATACTATAAGTTTATTTTGCATACTTACTATTAGACAACATGTTATTTGCTTACAGCTTGCAAGTCTTCTGGAATGGGGGCAGACCTTTGTGTTTCATGTAGTGTGCCGTGAGTTTGAACTGGAAAGACCTAAATCTGTAATAATATGCCAGCATGGAATTGATCGTCGTTTTTGTGACTCTAAGGTAACCTTCTATCCATCTTAATTATTCACTATATTTGTATGGGGCTTTTTTAAAACTTTATAAGCCCAACCTTAAAGTTATCAAGATATATGGAGCATGTACTCAGATTGGCTGCTCCCTTTGATAAATTATAGCTAATTATGTTTTAGAAAGAAAAGCAATTTTATCTGAATTTTTCTGGGGATTTACACCATGTTTTTGTGCTACATTAATTATCTTGAGAGACAGTATCCAGAAGAGTCATGCATATTTTCTTACCTCTACAGTGACAGTTAAGAGACAAATGGCATACTTCAATTTCCCTTAAGAGACAAAGATCAGACTTCTCATCACGCTCCTGGCACATTGCCATCCTTTTATTCTCTGTTGTTGAAACAGTGCTTTGATGAGGGGCTTAAATTAACAGCTTATGGCTTCTATGGCTTTTACTATTGTGGCCTGAGCAAACAGATGTTATCGTGGATTCTGTATTTGATGTATGTCACTTGGAATCCATATGGACATTCACTTAAAGACCTAAGGAGTCTTGCAATATGTGAAGCGTGATTCGTGAATTTCATCTCTTGACCTCCTCCCCGTTTTAACATAGAGGTACCAGTTTTTGTGATGTTGTTTATGATGTTTTTTTTTCTTAGATGAACTGTGTCCCTGGGCCATGTCCAACATCTGATGATTTAAAGTACACAATGACACGCTTAGCCATGGATGGTGCAGATCTGTATGTGGTAGAACATGGCTGTGCCACCAACATAAAGGTAAAAGACTTTACTGGTAACAGCAATTAAAATATTTTTATCTATAGAGGTCTTTGCATTTTTTTGATGTAACAGTTGCCTGTTTTTATGGCTTGCTCACTGTATTGGAACTAAGTGATAAAAGGTTGGTGTTGAAATGGTTGGACTGAGTGAGAAGTAGATCAGTTTTGGTCATATTTAATACTTCCATTTGTGATCTTGGAAAATGGTCTATCTTGCAAAATTAAAAATGTGAGCTGCAAGATTGGCATAATAAATTAAAACACTATAGAAGCTATTGTCTACATTTGAGAGTTGTTAAGAACTTTTTCTATAAGTTAGTAACTCAGCAACTGGAAATGACTGAGAAAAAATGTATACAGCTCACTGCATGATAACTCACAGTCATGTTATGTGAGACAGCTATCTGAACTAAGATCATTGGCAGAGATGGGAGAAACACTACTGTTGCTACCTGACCAAATCTAAAACACTGGAGTGTTTCTGTTCAAAAAACAATATACAGAGAAGAGCTGACAATTCTCTCTCATTGTATGCAAGAGAAAAGTATGGCAAAATGAAAGTTAAGAGATGATATAGGAATGCATTAAAGTATTACACTGACTAGAATTACTAAGTGACTAGAAGTTGTGCTGTCCAGTAATAAATTTAGTTTTAAAATTGGACTTGATATCTAATATTTGGGGGTCAGCTTCATATTATGAGCAAGAATCTAACTGAAGGAAAGTGGCAATTATTTTAGACATTTTCTGTGATCTGAGATACAATATCTTGTCATTTGAGTGGCTGGGTACCTTGTGGCATTTAAAAAAGAGAAAAAGCATTTTCATCTATTAAATCTTTTGAGTCTAGTATTATAACACATCAGCACAAATATTAACTGTGTTTGCAGGCATAAATATGAATGACAGTATTTTCAAAAGCAGCTTAATAACCTGAACCACTATGGAAAATTATATTGCTAATGCCTTCCATTCATATTTAAAAAAGGATTTTCAGTGTTTCATTATGGCTTGTGACAGAGATGAGAAGTAAAAATTTAACTCTGTGAGTTGCTCTTCCATGGCTGAGCTCTTTTGCAGCTTTCCGTACTTTCCCTTTGAAAAGTTTGAATGTTTAGTTGGAAAGGTTGGGGTATTTCATGGAGACCTTTTGGAAACTACTGAAGCTGTGCAGAAAACTTCATCCACCTTCAGATTGTTTTAAGACATATGTGACAGGGCTGTATCATATTTTATTGTGGTTCAGTACTGCGGGGGAGGATTGGCTCTGTATGGACAGGTAGGCTGATTGTGAGGTGAGCAGTTTCCATAGCTGAGTGTGAAGATAAAGCAAGAACTTTTTCCAGATACAGAAGAATCAACAGAACTACTGGAGCTATACTAATAAAAAAAGTAGATCGTGATCATAAAAAGGCTGTTACAGCACAGTACATATGGATTTAATTAGAATTAAGAATTGAGAATTAAGGCTCAAGACTTAAAGGTTCTTCTGTTTTGAATTTTGCACTATTTAATGTGAATCTCTCACTGAAGGATTTACCAGGTGTGGCATTAAATGTCTGCATTCTGCAAGTTAATGCAGCTTTGTACTGGAAGTATGGAGTCAGTGTTTTAGACTAAGGTCATAGTGATGTCACGTTTCAGATTTCTTGGTTTTTTATGGTTAAGCAAATAAGTTGATAATGATTTAATTTTTTAAAGATTCGTTATAACATGTCTAAAGTTGGGAATTTTCTTTGAACACCTTTACAGCAAGATACTCCTAAGTCAAGAATTTGCTTTTGTTGTTCGAAAACTATCTGAAACCTTGCCTTCTTTTGTGTGTGTGTTTGTGTGTGTGTGTGTGCATGTGCGTGCACTTGCTTGTAGTTTATTAAAACTGGTTTTGGAGACAGTAGTTTACTGAGGCCTTCCTGGAATTAAATAGATTTTATGTTAATTGTATTAAGGCTAATTTTTCTTTGTTTAAGTTTTAAGTATTCAGAGTTCATGTTATTACTTATGTTTTCAGATGGGTACTATACGTATTGCAAACTGCAACCTCCACAACCAGTCTGTTGGAGAAGGTGTAAGCGCTGCTATTCAAGATCTTCAGTTGAGACAATATGTTGAGCAGGTGAACAACTGCAGAACTGGTCTTCAGCCAATCCTAAGGAGGGCATATTGGCTGGAAGCTGGATCTGTCAACTTGGGACTCATCACTGCTGACATTGCTTTAGCTGCAGATCATCCTTCTAAACATGAAGTACAGAGGCATTTCTTGGAAATGCATGATAACCGAACTAAAAGGTGAGAGTTGTAGTGTGAAGGAGATGCATTTGAATGTATTTTAGTGTATGTCTTTTTATCTTGTCTTAACTAATTTTAAATGTACTAAATGTAATGTGGTTGTGTTTCTGTTTTCTTTTTTTTTCTTTTCCTTCCTGCTCTTGTGTAGATTGTGGTTTTTGTGGCCTGATGACAATTTGAAGAATAAGAGAAGCAAGAACAAGTGTGGCTGCCTGGGTGGTTGTCGATTCTTCGGTGGCACGCTAACAGGACTGGACTTTTTCAAGCTGGAGGAACTGACACCTTCAAGCAGCTCTGCTTTCTCAAGTACAAGTGCAGAATCTGATATGTTTTATGGTCAGTCATTACTGCAGCCAGGAGAATGGATAATTACTAAAGAGATTCCTAAAATTTTAGATGGTGAGAATGCATTGTGCTGTAACATCATTCGATTTTGCCCAAAAGAATCATTTCCTAACTTCACATTGGTATTTATGGTCTTTCTAATTCTGGCTTGTAGTAGTTGAAAGGGGTTCTGTGGTGGTATGGAACCCTTTGAGAGAAGACAATGGATTGATAATAATGAGCAAATTTTCATATGCTGGATTTTTATATTAACATGCAGCTTCTTTGTGATTAAAAAGAAGCTTTATGACTTGCATCTATTTTACTTGCCTAGAAAGCAGTCTATTAAAAGAATTCAATGTTTCGCTGTTCTGATTTTATATTATTAGGAAACATGCTAGTATGTGTGTGCATTTTCAAAATGAGGGCTTTTTTTTTTTTTAATAAAACTTCTTATTTCAGTGAGCGAGGAAGAGACCACTGTAGTTGTGTAGTGGTATCAGATGTTCAGTTTTTCTTTCTTGTTTCCAATCCTAGGTAAAACAAATGGTGTAAAACGAAAGGATTGGGATTGTAGATCTGTAGGTATAGAAATAGAAAGAAAGGCACAGCATCTAAGCCTCCAAGTGCCACTGCGCTCCCACAGCTCCTCATCATCTTCAGAGGAAACGAGCAGTTCCAGTGCTGCCCTCCCATTGCTTGCAGGTGAGAAGGACAGCCCATCTTCAACTGCTGAGGATCACTTGGGACAGAAGGAGTTCTTGTCTGGTACAAAAAGAGAGGATGGTCATGGAAGGTTAGTAACATCAGTCCTGACTGAAAGACTCTTCAGCACTTCAGTACAGAACCTTATACACCTTATATTTTGCAATTGATTTAGTACTGGTTACTTGTAACAGCTCTGCTAAAATATGCTTCCTTGTTTCGATGCAAATTTGGATCCGCTGCTAGGGGATAAATGCCTGATCTGGGTAGAAACTCCAGCATGTGTGATAACAACACTTGCCATTACCAGTCACTTATATCTCTCTATATGTAAACAAGTAGACTAACAAGTCTCAGAATGTAATATGTAATCAGTGTTGTGAAAATAATTGCTATGCTAGCAGTAAATCACAAAAGCATTTGACAGATCCTGTAATGTAAAAAGAAGCATTAAGAATAAAATAAGTCCTGGAGGCATTCAAGGCCAGGCTGGAGGTAACTCTGGGCAGCTTGGTTTAGTGCTCGGCGACCATGCACATAGCAGGGAGGTTGAAACTAGATGGTCCTTTTCAACCCAGGCCATTTTATGATTCTATGATTTTATTTTATGTATTTTTCAGTGTCTCAGCTGATGGTGCGGAGGGAAGCCCTGCATCCCCTAGCAGCCAGGAAAGGCCTGTTGGTCAGTCTCCCATGAGGTCTCCTCTGAAACGACAGGCATCTGTGTGTTCCACCCGGCTTGGCAGCACCAAGAGCCTCACAGCAGCCTTTTATGGAGACAAGCAGCCTGTTGCAGTTGGCGTGCAGTTCAGTAGTGATGTGTCTCGCAGTGATGAGAACGTGTTAGACTCCCCAAAGCAGAGGAGGAGCTTTGGTTCTTTTCCTTATACTCCATCTGCAGATTCAAATTCATTTCACCAGTATCGCTCAATGGATTCCAGTATGTCAATGGCTGATAGCGAAGCTTATTTTTCTGCAGCAGAAGAGTTTGAGCCAATTAGTAGTGATGAAGGTCCAGGAACTTACCCAGGGAGAAAGAAGAGAAAAAAGCAAGCTCAGAAAATTGAATACAGCAGAGGGTCTATTTATCACAGTGTGGAAGGACCCTTAACAAGTTCTGTCCATGGGGAAATTAATCAGGATGTTAAAACGTTGCCAATTAAGACTCATCCTTCACAGACTTCGTTTGTTTCAGCTCTAGGAGGGGAGGATGAGCATATTGAGAACATTTATGTCATGGAATCTGGGAAGACTGTAGAAAGTGAACAAATAACTTCCCAGCAGCCTGTAATGGCATGTTACCAGAACTATCTTACACAGTTCCAGGTGATCAATTGGTCAGTAAAGCATCCAACTAACAAAAGAACTTCAAAATCCTCATTGCATCGCCCTTTAGACCTCGACACACCAACAAGTGAAGAAAGTTCATCGTCTTTTGAGCAACTTTCTATCCCTACTTTTAAGGTATGGAAGATACAGGAAGGAGAGAAAGGAATAAGAATTCAAAACAAGTTCAAACTGTTTAATACATATATTGTATGAAGTCATGATACACTTGAAGCTTGGCTGTTAGTCAAGGAATACCTTGGATTTCTGGCTTCAAATCTTAGGCTGTGTGGCTGGTATATCATGCTAAAGAAAACTGTTAGAATTGAGTGGGTAGGATATGTGCTGAACTGTCACTACATTAGAAATGCTACCTCTTGAGAGACGTGCAGCTGAAGGATATTTATGTGGGTTTTGTTTAACATATACATTACACAGAATTTTAGCAGCAGTACGTTCAGTACTGATAAAATATATGTTAGATAGTTAGTACTCCAGAGTAAATTTGAAATACCTAGATTTATATTGCTGTTTCTATGTTTGTTATTTTTTCTTTTATCCAGTGATATCTGTAAAAATGAGTATATGTGATTAAGGAAGGAGCTGAGATGAAATATGTGAAGCATAATGGAAATGACTTGATAGATAACAGGTGTCTAAGATCCATAAATTAATCTTGTTATCACTCTGTAGCAAAAGTTTTATCTGTTCATGCAAACCTTTAATAGATGATTATTTAAAGTCCTTCTTTTTAATCAATTATTTGCAAGAATTTTGTAATCTAATATCTCAAGTTATTTAGGAAGTGAAACTGAAGAAGTTTTTTTTACATTATTTTGGAGAATGTGCATGTAAGCAATTCTTTTAGAAAAACCTGGAAGAGTCGTAATTTGAAGATTCCTTGGGTATTTTTTCATATACAGAAGGAATATAATGTATTTTTTGTACTTTTCTCTTAGATTGTTAAGCAGGGTCTCACAGCTAATTCGTTACTGGACAGAGGCATGCAGCTTACAGGATCAACATCTAAGTAAGTTGAAATTGCGTAACATTATTAGTATATGTTTTGGTTTTGTTTTTTTCAAAGTAGGATTCGCCTGATACTCATTAAGTACTTTGGCCTTTTAAAATTTGATTTGTAGTTTCAGTACAGATCTCTTTTAGAGCAGAGTGTATTATTACAAGACATTTCGCTTGGGTCAAAATAAAATCATCAGATGATTTCACTTGCATATTTTCAAGACTATGAATTGGCAATTTACTTAGGTAATTTTGGGAAATGCTTATAGCAGTTATCGATTGCATTGCCCACAGCACAACTTGAATCTTGTTAACAGCTTTGCCCTGGAATTTTATCTGTGTCCTTTCTGAGCTGAGCAGAAAAATAAACTTCTTTTTATATGCACTTTATTATTAAAATCATACCAAGAGTGCCTCAGGAGAATTTTTGCAGGCTGAAGATCTGGTTGAACACTGTTCCTGACAATAATTTTTTTCTAGTTTGTGACTCTAACCTCACATCACTTTATTCTGAATAGTCTATTAATTATTGCATGAAGCAGTTGACTCTGCTAATGTCTGTAGACTCTTCCCTTGCTTTAGATGTATCTACCATCTAAGACCAATGATTTAGTACTGTTGGAATTCTATTACAGTATTAAAAAATATGTACAATAGACAGGTGTTTACTGATATTCACCTTGAAATTTTTTGCAAATCTAGTTTAATAATGTATATTTGACTTGTTTAGTACACCTTACACTCCTTTGGATAAGAAGTCTGCAGAAAATACTGATGATGAAACTATAACAGAAGAATGGACATTAGATCATCCAGTCTTCCAGACAAGGACAACAGCAATAGTAGAAGTAAAAGGAACTGTAGATGTAGTTCTGACTCCTCTTGTTGCAGAGGCATTGGACAGGTAATTAGATTTTTTTGCTACTTCAGTGTTGGTTGATTATTCTCAATGTTGTTTGAAATTAAAGTTGTTGAGTTGAGCAAAGGATTAGGTAGAAGAATTGAATAACACGTGAGTAATGACATGGCATTGCCTAGTGTACATTGAATATTATTCTGCATTTTCTGTAAAAAAAAAACTAGAAGGATGTTATGCTGACACGGGAAGTGCAGTTTCTGTCTGCCAGTACTTAATTTTTCTCTTTACAGTGTGCTTTTTTTCTCTTTACAGTTTATGCTTAATTAAGCATGATGCTTTATGCGAAAGTGGAAGTTTCAATATCCTTTGTGGGCTTGTTCTCTCTCACAGGTATATAGAAGCAATGGTGCACTGTGCTAGCTCTCGACATCCAGCAGCCATTGTTGATGATCTTCATTGCAAAGTTCTTCGAGATGCTGTACAGAACAGCAAAACAAGCTTCTCGGAAAATGTAAGGAAGGGAACAAGAAAATTATCCAAAGCTTTGGAAGATTTGGATGTTTTCTTTATTTTACATAGAAAAAGATTTAATTGAATTCAGTGTTTTGAGGTACAGGACCTAACTACTACATCAATTAGAAATACATTGTATCTTGTTCTTGATGTACATTTTCATAGTCAATGAGCAGAAAAGTCTCCTACTTCTGGGACTGAAGTGAAGTTTTTTTCCCCTTTGGATGATTTAGCCAGTAGCAATAATAATTTGCCTAAGATCATGTTCTGACATGATAACTGACATTCTTATGTATTGCTGACGTGAACGTAATACATAATTCATTTTTTAGAGCAGTCAGGAAGGGGAAGGGAGCCTTTGTGAGATAGAAGAAAGTTCGCAAAGAGCTGTGGGAGTCTGTGCTTTTCCTTGCAGTTCATCTGATAACTTATAAAATTAATTTAGCTTGAAAATAGTTGTATGGTAGCTTTACAAAGTTAAGAATTCTAAATGCCTAACATAATGAAAAGTTAATATTTTTTTAATTAGAGTTTCTTTGATTTCAAAGTGTGACTGGCACTACTTATTTTCTTCATGATGATTTTTTCGGTATAACTGATACATGTTGAATTCAAACTTTCAGCTGAGCTCTTGTCATCAGAAAGCCATTCTATGGGTACCATTGCTACCCTATGCCCTTAAACCTATCTCTTAAGTGCTACAGTCCTTGTTCTAGAAATCATGGCACTGTGCATTGACTGAAGTCAGAATCTCTTTGTAGCTCAGCGCTGATAAACTATACTGAAGTTCTTTAGCATAAGAGATTTGACTTTCAGTGAGAATAGATTATTAAGTGGTAAAACCTTTTTTCCCTTCCAAGCTATCTTCCAAGCAGGATATTAGAGGAACAAAAATAGATGCTACTACTACAGGCACAACAAACCAGGGACCAGCACAGACAAATCTCTCACTTAAGCAAGATAATGTGACAATTAAAGGCCTTCAGGCTAATGTTACTGTACCAAAGGTAAGAACTTTTCATTGAGCTTATTTAGTAGATGTATTCCTCATAAATTACCCTTATTTTTGAGTCCCTTTCAGTTCCTGGAAAGCTTAACTGAAACTATGTATTTTTGATAGGTAGCTAATGTTTTGAATAGTGTTTTGGACTGTTTTGGAGCTGCCTAATTTTATTATGTAGGTGTGTAAAGATATCAGTGATGTCTTCTATCTTTAAAAGCTTCATTTTACTTAGAAGTATAGGACTACTGATCTTGCTTATAAAGTAAGATTGATCAGAAGTTTGTGATGTCACATTTTTTTCTAAATTTATTTACTCTTTGGTGAAATTTTCCATTTAGGTGAACCTGTGTTTACTACAAGCATCTGTTGATGAATCCCCAGGGGTTTCTTCTGGCAAAACTGTGACTCATGTTTCATTAGTAGCTTTGTGCTTTGATCGAATTGCTACACAAGTTCGTATGAATAGGTAAGAATAAAATGTCACTATTTGTTGCTTTTTAATCAAAAGACTTAAAGTGATTACAATTCTTTTGAAATGTAGCTTGCAATTCTGAAAGGAAGTATTTAAAAATTTGTCATGAATGCGTTAAACAATAAAATGTGTCTTCCATGTGTTATAAATTAACATCTAATATCTGCAGTTTCTTTGAGAAGTAGAGAAACCCATCTATAATCATTTTGGAATGTAAGTTCTAACTCTTTCTCAATTATGTCATACAGAATAAAATTAATTTTTTATCGAAATGTAATTATCTTACGACCTTACAAAGAATTTCTAATGCTGCCATGCCAATGTGACTTAAAATTTAAAACAAAAATAATCCAGTGAACCATGTCCGTCAGAGATTTGCTTTATAGTCTTTTCTCCTCTATATTCAAAGGGGTATAGTTGAGGAGTCTTCAAACACTGCAGAGACTGGGAGGAATTCTGTCACATTTGATCGTTACATCCAAGCCAGTAAAATGCAGCCCCAGTCTTCTGGCTCACTGAGATCCAATGCTGGAGCAGAAAAAGGAAAAGAAATTGCTGCTAAACTGAATATCCATCGTGTTCATGGACAGCTTAGAGGCCTTGATACAACGGGTAAACATTATTATTATTTTTTTTTAATTGTGGAAATAACATTTTTCATAGAGGCAAGTAGTGATAGTTTGCCTTAATTTCATTTTTTGTCAACACAAATGAAAAGACACTTGAACCTGGAAATTTTGCAGGTAGTCTAAAAGGAATTTTGGGATAGGTTACTCTGACTTGTATTCAGTTATTTTACTGATACGCTGATTTCAGTGTAGGAAAACTGAAAGCTAAGAAGACAAATTTCTAAGCAGCTTGTGTGGTTACATGGTAAAGATGGACATATGCTGGTAAAATTGAATGCCTAGACTCTTTTCCTTCTAGCTCCTCTTTCCTTTTCATCTGCCCTTTTTTTGTCAGCTGATACTGGGAATGAATTATGCTCATCAGCTTCCTTAGTATTTTCTAGCACTTTGAAGATAGGTGTAACGTGCACGTTGTACTGTCAATTTCAGCTTGACGACTGGTAGATTTTTAACTGTACCTATAAAATGGAAAATGAAATCTACCTGATTGTGTTAATTCTTGTTTGTGTTAAAGTGGTTCCTTCAACAGATTATGAATTCAGTTCAGTTGCTATAACCTCTGATCCTGAAAGAAGTTAATCAGCTAGTAGAAAGAATCTCTAGGACATGGGAAAGGAGATGCTCTCAAACACAAGAATGATTAAAGGTCACTCAACAGAAAAAGCCTGCGTGAACACTAGTGAGCAAATGAAAATGAGGAAAACAAAATCAGTAGAAGAATATTAAAATGGCTAGCTCAAATTCATTTAGTTATGGATGAAATTTTGGCAATAATGTTATGTGGTAGGTATGCTGCAGATATTCGAGAAGGCCAGATAATTCTCGAGTTCTAACTAGAAAACCTCATCTTCTATTTAAAAGGTTTGAGAAATGTCTTTCTAGAGAGCTTAGCATTCCACGTATGCTATGAAAGCGATTGCTGTTATCAGTCAGAGGCAGAGAGTAAGAGTTCTGTGAGTGGAATATAAATTGACTTAGTATGGTTCTTTTCCCCAGATATCGGACATTTAACTCTGTGTGATAGGTAATACAAAGCAATTACAAAATTATTTAAAATGTTCTTTTAGAAATGTCACTATAAGAAAGGATTTATATTTAGGCTGTGTCCTAATATCAAAGAAATCAAGGTGGCATTGTCCTCTCCAGTATCTTAGACAGCAAGGATCATAAGGAATCAAAAACTGTTTGTGTTAAATATCTGTGAAGTGTCACTATTACATGTTGCTGTTAAACTTGAGGTATTTACAAGGAATTCTTTTTGCTTAAATAATTTCAAGCTGATTGCCACTTTTAGATAAAAATCTGAAGAGCTTGTTTGTATGCCTGTCTTTAGAACTATGATTATAAAAAGATGAAGAGGGCAGTTATGTTAGAATTGGGAATGTCTTGAAAGTTCAACTTGGTGTTATTCGCTCCATGCTTTTCCACACTTAGAAATTATCTTGTCCAAATAAACATTCTAGGAGAAATTTATTTAGACTTGAAGAAAGATACAGCTTTTTAAAAATCGCTTGTTGTGGATTTTTGCTTTTTTTTCCTTCTGATTTGATTTATAATAAACAAGCAACACTTTCAAAAACTGTAAACGTGATTGCTATTTGAGGATGAAAGGTTTTTCTTTCATTTAGTAATTGGTGTTAAACATGTTTGTTTCCAGATATTGGGACTTGTGCAATAACAGCAATTCCTTTTGGGAAATCGAAAGTTCTTTTTACTTTGGAAGAGTTGGATGAGTTTACTTTTGTGGATGAAACAGAGCAACAAGCTGTTCCAGATGTAACTCGAATTGGTCCTAGTCAAGAGAAGTGGGGTTGGATAATGTTCGAATGTGGAATTGAAAATTTAACTATAAAAGGTAAGGCTATGTGTGCTTTACATTCTTTGCTTTATGAAACTGATAACAGTTGTGCTGCTGGGTCTTCTGGTTGAGGAATTGTGGTTTAAAATTGCTGAATATAGATAATACTAAACAATACAGCTGTTGTACATAAATCGCGTAACACTGTAGATTCTATAATAAGTATATTTTTAGTTTTCAATGCTACTTATTGTAGTGCAGAAATTAATTCCATAGAAATTGGTTTCAATTTCTGAAATCTACAGAAAGCTAGAAATAGATTTTAAATTGTATGTAAATTGATAGTGCATCTTGTTTAATCAGAATCATTAATTTCTCTAATTAAGTACAACATAGGATGTAACAATAGAAGTATATGCATGGGAAACATTTGCAGTTTTGCTGTGTGTTCTTTTTTAGGAGGAAGACAATCTGGTGCAGTATTGTATAATACATTTGGAGTCATGGGTAAATCAAGTGCCACTGAGAGGGGTGGACTGCTTGCATCAAATAACTCTTCAGATTCTCCAACTGGTAGTGGTTATAATACTGATGTGTCTGATGATAACCTTCCTTGTGATAGAATAAGTCCCTCTTCAGATATTAATGGAAACTCAGTTTCAGATGAGCAGGTATGTATGTACTTAGATAAAAATGACTGGTTTTACTTCTTTAAAGTGATTATAATTTGTAGTCTAAAACTGAAAATTGATAGATTTGTTGTACCAACTGAATTCAAACTCCCATCTTGTGCATTAAATGTTTAGCTTTCTGCAAAGTGTCTTAGTAGGGTCTTGGAAGAGTTGGTGAAGAGCATCAGTTTTGTTTGCCTAAATGGATATGAAACTGTTCATTGCAAACAGTGCACTGTAGGATATGTTACTGCCTTTTAACGTTAACTGCTTTGGAAATGACTTTTGACTACATTTTGTATTTTAAGGATGAAGGGGTTGAATCTGATGATCTGAAAAAAGATATCCCTTTGATGCCTCCTCCGCCTGACTCTTGCAGCATGAAGTTAACAATCAAAGAAATTTGGTTTAGCTTTGCAGCCCCCACCAATGTACGATCTCCAGCCCATGTATTTTCAAGGTATGACTTCAACTGACTTGAAAGAAAATAACATCATTTCTGCTTTGGTAAATTACAGTTGTAGTTAATAGATTCTGAATTTAACTTCATAATTACTGACGCTTCTCTGGCAAAGATGGCTTTGGAATGTATGTATGTCACAGTAACTCTTGCTTCAGTTTGTAATTGCCATCATATATATGGAGGTGTTGATAGAAAATGTTTAGACATTATTTTAGAGATGATTAAAATGAAACATTTGCAGTGAGAATGAGATTTATGAAGGAGAAGAGGGGTGTAGACGAGAACACTGGTTTTGATTAAGAGAGATGAGAGAATGGAGAACCGCTTGTTAGTTTAGTCTTCAATCTCGTACTTAAACGGCGATTTTATTACCACTGCATCATTTCTAGAAGTTATTCATACAGTGTATGTGTGAGAACACTTGAACATTTATAGTGTTAGATACTCTATAGTAGATATTTAAGCATCTCTAAAGCTCAAAATGAACTTGGTAAAACTGTGTTTGCATGTATATAGAATAAGCAGAACATGAAAATATAATAGAACAAGCTATGTTGCTATACAGCAATGAACTAGAATATGTTTTGGAGTTTTTTTCTAAGAGTTTTTGCCTCAGTCTTTCAGCAAAAATTATCCATGATACGTTATATAAGAATTAATTTAGAATTCAATTAATTTTGATAATTTCAAACTTTATGATTGCAGTAGAGAGTGCAAGTAGGAAACCTGGGGAATAGTGACAGCAGGGGTGTATGGAATCGTGGAAGTGTCTGTAAAACAAAATCTGAATTATGTACTTATTGCCAGTTGCCATTTTCTGCATTATAAGTTTATGTTCATTGTTTTTTTAACATTGTTCTCTTGTATTCTACCTGTTTGAAAGTAATTCATAATAGTTGTAGTAAAACTTGCTTGTTACTGCTGCTGAATGTGAATGCCTACTTTTTTTTTTTTTTCCCCCCTCAATTAGGCAGCTGAACCTCCTGAGTACTGCAACTCCTGCAGTTGGTGCTTGGCTTGTTCCCATTGATCAAGTGAAATCATCTTTAAATAAACTAGAGACTGAAGGAACCCTGCGAATTTGTGCTGTTATGGGTTGCATTATGACAGAAGCATTAGAGGTAAATGAACTTTATAAAACCAATATGGAAATCAGAACAGTGTAATTCTTTATATATATTCATTTTGAGATCTGATTATTTTCACAGTAAGTTTCATACTGTGCCTTTTATGATGGTTTACTTACAAGAATTGGTTACAAGAATTTACTGCCTTTGCTTTTTGTACAGAATCTATCTTTAAGCAGGGGGAACAAAATCAGCTATTACTGGTGATGATGTCTTGTGCTTCTCACAGGAGCACATCTCCATGTAAAACTGGAGGTTCTCTCTCTTGAAAGATGTATGGCTATAGTATGGTATAATTTATGAAATTTGAAGGTTTGAATTATGAGTTATTCAGTTTATCTTCTGGGAGAAAAATGTGAACTTTTGTTCCTCTGCAGCGTATCAAATCATTGTGCATATCAGATTCATTTATTAAAAGAAAGCAGAACAAACTAACCAAGAGTGAAAAATTCTTGCGAGAAGAGCAAAATAGATGTTTTTGTTGTTGTTGAAAACTAGGATTCGTAAATCTCTTAAGGCAAATTGTGTCTTCTGTCATCAGATAAGGAGCTTCTGTGTGTGTAGGCAGTTTTCTGCTCTTGCTTTAATTCGCGCCATCTAGTGGGAAGACTTTGAGAGGTAATACCTGCTTAGATCCCATCTTGTGCAAGACTGAGACCTTAGAGTCAGACTAGTTTTGTGCTGGACTCAAAATCAACCTTTGCAGCAGTTCCCTATGTAAACTCACTGTATGTATTTTGCATTATGTATTTTTCTTGCTTATATATCCTTTAGTCCAGAAGTAACTTTGCCTTTTGCATTGTTACCGTAGAAATAAACTTCAAATGTTATATTTTTCAGATAGTGCTTTTTAAAATTATGCTAGATATCCATGTATCAAGATTTTATTGTAGAAGTTCAAAATGATATTGTGCTAAAAGTTACCTGAAATTGTTGTTCACATGCATGTTCTGTTTGCAAGTATATTAACATGTGAAAAACGGTTGCATTTTAATCTAGAATAAAAGTGTGCACTTTCCTCTGAGAAGCAAGTACAACAGGCTCACCAAAGTGGCTCGTTTCTTGCAAGAAAATCCTTCTTGTTTACTGTGTAATATATTGCACCATTACCTGCACCAAGCAAACTACTCAATTATTGAGGATGCCACCATGGTGAGTCTCTCTGTAAAAATGTAAATAACTCAGCATAGTTGTTTAAAATGTACCAATTCTAATGTTTCAAATTAGGTAACTATATAAGGAAAACTAAGAAACTGGGGAATAAAGCCCAAACTGCTGTATATCCTTATCATTTTCTTTTGGATCTGCTGTTTTTTTTGTGTGGCCTTTGTATATGCATTATTTTTTCTTAACTATATACAAAATCCTAGATAAAAAGGCATATACTTGAAATTGTTAATGGCCTTTTAATCAAATTTCATTTTGCTTAAATGACAAAGTAGTAAAAATTTGCATCTGTGGTTTTAAAAAGAAATAAATCTCAATTATTGATGCAAGTGCATGCAGTAATTAGATTATATTTCACATGTTCTCTTCAGAACTAGGCTTTTTGTCATTTAGAAATGCTTCAATAATGCAGACAGTTTAATGATTTTCACAAGGCTAGAATTGTAGAAACCTTTAAGACTGAAGGACGTTGTCTTTTTGTGGCTTTAGAATGTAAATATCTGAACTGTAATGGTAAATAATTGCTTAGACAAATGTGTTGGGCATAAGGAAGAGTGTTTTTCCCTGATTATGTGTTATTTTCATAATCCATTTACATGCTTGCCAGAGTTGAACACTGCTTTCCTGTGTATTCCAGTGATCAGAAATAGCTGTTTGGTTTGTGGTTAAAAATAAGAAGTATGCGGTGTTGGGGTTTATTTGGTTTGATTTGGTTTTTTTAGTGCAGTCAAAACAATCCTTATTTTTACCTCAAATTTATATTTTTGAATGACTGCTAATGAACAAAAAAAAAATCCAAAATTTCATTCTTTTAATTGTTTCTGCAATCACTCGAGGGCTGCTCTGATTTTCAGTCCATAGTTTAGAGTCTTATAATTGTTTGAATACTTTTCATTTCATATTTAATAATCCTGTTTCCTGTTGCTTATTCTTGTCCCCTTGGGCTCAATCCTCAGGTCATGTAAATTAATGTGTTTATTGTGTTTGGTGAAACTGCAGTTTTTATCTCTTAGTGCTTTGACTTTATATATTTAAATGGAAATGGTGTGGTGCCAGCACACTTCCATTATAGGCCTGCAGGAATGGAAGCATTCTGTCTTTGAAAAAATAATTCTGTAATGCTGACTTTTTTCCTACAGTTGAGTCTAAAACACAATGATATCTGTTTTTGTTAATTTTTTTAAGAGTGATGGCCTTCCTGCTTTAGTTACCTTAAAGAAAGGTCTGGTTGCCCTAGCGAGGCAGTGGATGAAGTTCATTGTAGTGACCCCAGCCTTTAAAGGAGTCAGCTTACACAGACCAACTCAGCCTGTGAAACTGCATACAAATGTTTGCCGTGAGCACGAGGACGGGCTTGGATTGGATGGAGGGGGTCTTCAGAGTGACACAAGTGCTGACGGAGCAGAGTTTGAATTTGATGCAGGTATTTTAGTGTTCTTCTCTCTTCCTAAAAGCTCATAGGGACAAATAACTTCCTCTCAAAGCATTTAATGCTTTGAAGATATTATATTCTTTCTTTAGAATCATGAAGCTTCTTTTATAAAATCTTCTTCATTTTGAAACCACTGGTTGTAGTGTTAATAGAATATTATTATTGTATGTCATTTGGGAAAAGGCAAAACAGGAAACTTCCTGTCTTACTTCATGTGCTTTGTCTTCTTCACAGCCCAAAATACATCAATTTGCTTGTTTGTTAGCTTGCAATTACAATTTTGTCATGCAGTTTCTTATCTTATTTTAAGATTGTAACACACAATTCTATGAACTCTCTGAGGAACAGCTTCAAATCTACCATCTTCCCTTATGAAGATGTATTTTCATAAATCCTGTTTTATTCCATTTTTACTACTTTGTCTGTGGTAGATTTCTACTGCCAACTTACACATTGCCAATGTAACAAAAAGTACTCATCTGTCTCTTCAGCTGATTTACAGCTGAGTTAATTAAGGACTACTGGAAGAAAGGGCATAAAATCTGTCAATTAGATTAGAATCTATTTAACTATCTTGAGTTGACTCCGTTATTTTGTGTTGTTAGCATCTACATTCAGTTTTTACTGTCCTCAGAAATAAAATAAGTTAATAGGAGTGCCGTGGAGGATGCTGTCCCCTGTGAGGACTCTTATAAATGGATTAGGAGAGGGAGATAAGCAGGAGTTTTGTAAGCAAGTGAGCTTACCTGCAGTATAGCACATTATTTTGTGCAGTACCGGTTGTAGGATGTTGGAAGGACAAAAAGATTTGTACTTGTGTCTGAGATTTTCTTGTGTCTTGGTATTTCCTAGGCAGCTATGTGTGGGTGTGTAACAGAACCTGGAAGTTCATGACTACTTATAATTAAGTGTCTAATAATAGATAATCTTGATTCCCTGTAATACATACAATTGAGAAAGAATTGTTTACTTGGTTCCAGCTACTGTCAGCGAGCATACAATGCTCTTGGAAGGAACAGCTAATCGACCTCCACCTACTAGTGGCTCTTCTGGGCCTGTTACTGGTGCTGAGATCATGAGGAAATTGTCCAAGACTCACACTCATAGTGATTCTGTTCTGAAAATAAAGGTAAGCTTATAGCATGATGCACAAAGGGAAAAAATTGTTTATAGTTGGTCTGTCAGAATCAGTTATGTAGGCTGCAGGTGAGTGAGTGCTAGTCTGAAAAGTAACTGATACATAGAGAATGTGCTTCTTGTGCTGTAAAAGAACTGTCTGATAAGTTGGTGTACATTCTATATCTGTTCTTTATTGTTTTTCTTGCCAGTGAACTTAAAAACATCTATATGTGTCACTTAAGGCTGCAAATCACTGGCTTTTAATCTGCTTATGGGAGCAGAAATGTCTCTCATTGTCTCAAATCTAAGATTGACAAAGCACTCCATTAGCTTGCAAAATTGTGTCATTGTTTTTATCTCCACAAACTGTTCAGAAAACTGGAAGATTTTGTTTTCATCTCTATTTTCTGAACAGAAAGAGTTGGGCATTTTAAGCCATTTTTTGTCTTCCAACTGGGGCTGCCTGCAGACAGCAAACCTCTCTAGATAAGAAGTCAGATCAGCAGATGCATGCCCCTGTCCCTGTAGCAAGCGGTCACCAAGCCCTGTGACTCACAGCTTCCTCCTGGTGGTCTTGCATGTTTTAGGGCTTGGTAGCCCAGATACTCTGCACGTTTGGCTGTTCTTCAGCTGTGAGGGCAGAGATCCTGCTTGTAAGTTGTAAGCACTTAAGTGGAGCAGGAGCCTTCCTCTTGTTGCCAAAGGTCCCCAGCTCCCATTCTTTGCCTTCCTTGAGGTTGGACTATATTTATACTACAAGTACAGGGGTTTGATCTTCAAATACTAAATCCAAATGAGATTTATAGTCAGTGTACTGTTCCTTCTACATATTTGTCTTAGATTAATTGTACACATCTGCAATTCCATTTGTTACATGTTTTGCTTTTGAAATTATTTTTACACCTTATTTTTCAAATATTGTAGCAACTTTAAAAGTAACTTAATGCCCAATAACTGTACAGTATATAACCTGGCCCAATCAAAATGCTTCTTGTCTAAAATTTCTAGGAGTGAGACTCCATAGTTATTGTGTTCCAATCTCATATTCAGAACAAATGCCCACTTCCTTTTTACAGTTTACACAATACTTCACTAGTTTCTTTATGTTTTGTCTACAAGGGTATACATCCGTATCATTCCTTAAGTTACACCAGTGGAGATACAGCTACGGATTCACCAGTGCATGTTGGCCGTTCTGGCATGGCAGTCAAAGAAAGTCCAAGAAAAGAAAGTCTGCTCAGCTATCTTACTGGAAGTTTTCCTAGCTTGCATAATCTTCTGGAAGGAACTCCTCAAAGAAGTACAACTGCAGTTAAAAGTAGTTCTTTAACAAGAACAGGTATGATGTAGCTGAAGGGGTTGAAGGGGTACAGTAGAAAAGGTACTATATTTTCACTGTCATTTTTGTTTAAGATCCCACCCTAAAATCAGAATCAGACTTCAGTTGCAGTTCTAGAGATCAATGCATCATGCAGCTCCTAGAAACAAACAGCAAGTGCTTTGGATTAGGAAAAAAAAAAGGCAACTAACAAACTAAGGTGTTTTCCTTTTATATAGCCTTGTTACTTTCTGAGGACATGTATGTAGATACATATGTTTTTTGAATGAAGAAGGAATAAGTGATCGTTCTGCATTTGTTAGGTGATTTTTTTTGTTGACCTTGTAAGTGGGTCAGTAAGTGGACTGAAATGAATCTCCAGTAACTTTGTAATTTGCAGGTTTTTATTATTGTATACAAATTAATGGTCCTTTGAACGTGTGTGCTTTGTAGAAGTTTGAATTACATGCACTGAAATTTTTGCATTCTGTGTTATTGTTGAGCGTGCCTTGTTGCAATTTATATAAACAGATAAGTTTGATGTTGCATTTTCTCTAAAACTTCTCTCCTTTGCTGTCAGAGGATGAAATATTTTACAGAAGAAAAGGTGCTTCAGTTTCTTAATGACTGCTTTCCCCCCAATTATGGTAGAAATGAACAAACACAAAAACATTTGTAGTGCAACATCTATTAATGTCCTTGTATAGTTTCTCTGGTAGTTTGTGTAGTTTGCAAGGCTGCTGCTTGACGCAGAATCCGTTGGAACAGACAGAGAACTAGACTTGCTGTTTTGATAGTAGATGTGTATTCTCAGTAAAATTATGCTGTGTTCCTGCTTTTTGCTGACATTGATACTTGAAATGTGAAATCTTCTGATCTATCTGTATAGGAAATACTGTGGCCACAGATATGTTATCTGAACATCCTTTGCTGTCTGAACCATCTTCAGTGAGTTTCTACAACTGGATGTCAAATGCTGTGGGCAACAGAGGGAGTGTAGTACAAGAAAGTCCAGCCACCAAATCTGGCCACAACAGTCTTCCAACAGGTATTGTTAGTAGCAACTGAGTTTAAGATGTGACTATGGGTTGGCTTTCCTGCATTTACTGTTTCTTCTGAAAAATGTCTTAATTTTCATTTTCTGCAACACTGAATTTGAATATTTCTTTGATTAACAGCCTTCTGGTCACAACATACTAATTGTGGTCAATAACTTCTTGTTTATTTTTAATATTGAACAAATAGTCTGATTCTCTGCCCCCCCAAAACATCTTCATTTTCTACATACTGCTTAACTGGTGTGGCCCTTCTATTAAATGTAATGTGGTTCTCTGCAAAAGGAATTACATGGTAGAAGTATAGCTTTCAATTTTGCTTTCAGAGAAAGGTATGTTATTTTTTTTTCCTGCTGAAATTGTAAAGGTTTGTTCACAAGCTTATGTTCCTTTAATTAGACTAAGTGATTCTGACTCAGATGCAGATATACCCAAATCATTCTTCTCTGAAAGCAGATAGTCATGGCTCTCGGGTAAGTGCTCTAACGTTGAGTTCTGAAGAATCAGGCTGAGCATGCATTGGCAGAACATCTCTGTCTCATAGCAAGCAAGTCCAATACAACTCAAGGTGCTAGGTGTGTTAGCTATCCAGTAGAATGCAATACAGGCTTTCAGAAGGAGTACAGAAAGGAGAGAAAATTTTTGTGCTTTTCAAATTTGAGCTGACCAGTATCATACTGCTTCTGAATGCCATTTTTGCAAGGTTATGGACTAGATTAGGAGGCTAACTTCCTAAGTTTATAATGTGTTATAAACCTTGCTGAGTTTATAGAGTTAATCATGTTAAAAAAAAATGCTGTGGTGTAAGTGTTCCAAGGGTATTTATTTTTCAGGTGTTGCACCCAATCTTCCTACCATACCCTCTGCTTCAGACTTCAACACAGTTCTGTCTAGTGACCAGAACACCCTGGATGGCACACATTCACAGCACAGCACCAGTCAGGATGACATTGCAGGTGTGGAAGAAGGTAACCAGGGATTTCCTGCTGTCCAGCTAGCGGATGCACAGGTAGGGGTGGCTTGCTGATTACTTACTTAATAAAATTCTATAGTAATTAGAATTTTATCCTGATTTTTGTACGTGCTTCTCTTATGCATCCTGTGCAAGGATGGAAGGCTCAAGTAACCTCTGAGATTTCTTTAGCAAATTTTATGAACGGTGATTAGAAAATTGTTTCATAACTTCAAAGAATGTTTGGAGCATTTATGACAATAGCCTAGATCTTCAGAGGATTTCTAATGGAGGGGAACATTCAACTGTACTGCATAAAGCTTGCTCCCAAAGCTAAGTATCCAATGTTAACTTGTTATGTAGTCAATCATAAGGCTTGTCATTTTTTTCCTTCTTCTGCTGTTTCTTAGCACAGTCAATAAAATCTTTTTTTTTTTTTTCTATATTACTGTAATGATAGATCAACAAATGATGGTGTAGGAAAATGAGAATATAGAAATAATCTAGGCAATGTGAAGTAAATCAGTGTTCTTTGTTCTGTAGGTTGTTTTCAAACCTCTTCTAAGTTACACAGGGATTCAGTCTCAGGATGCAATGCCACTCTGCTACAGAATGTACTTTGGAGAGTACCTATCATTCTCAGGAACTTTGGACTGCCTCAGAGCAGATATTGTTGATTCAGATACAGCAAAGGACAGAAAAAGCAAGCGAGCTCGAAGGTATTTTGTTAAATATTTAAAAATACATATACTGGCTAAAGAATGGAAATTAAGGCTTTCATTTGTGAGAAGACAAGTGCAATTCTAAAGCGCAGTTCTTTTGTTGTTGCTGTTTGTTGGTTGGTTGGCTTTTTTTGTTTTTGTTTTTTAAATCTGACTCATTTTATTTTTGTTTTATATTTCTCTTCCTATGTAAAGATTTGGAAATTTCAAGTACTTGAACCTCAGCTACTTCTGAAAATGGGAGACTGGAGAAGGGTAGTAGATAGGAATTCCTGTGGGAGAAATTTGAGATGTTCTGAATTGAGGTTTTGTAATTCACCTGCAATGAGATTGTTATTTTCAGTTAAATGCCTAATTATTTATTAATGTATGCTTTTTTCCTCTTCTCCTTCCCTTGAGTGTTTTGGGTGATGTTTTAGGATATAATAGAAAAATTGCATGCCAAACTAAGTTTTCAATGAACTGAATGGTTACTATGTTTTATGGAAGTACAAAGGTTCATATCCAATACTTTAAACTATAGTATGAATGCAATACCACGAGAGGAAAAGTTGAATTCAGTAAATCAGTTGTACTGTCATATACACTGTATTTGACTCTATGCCAGTTATAGAGAGAAATAAAGTGTAACTTGTATGTTTTCTTTCCTAGACAAGGAGCTGTCAACCTTCCTCCTCTTGAATTCAAACCAGCTTTGATGTTGGAAACTTTCAGTATTAGTGCAGTTGTAATGGAGAAATCCATGTGCACACCCCATCACTCTGCCAATGCCCTTTCTTTTCATGACTTGAATAAACGCTATTATAACACTTTTCACTGTAACTTCACCATATCTTGCCAGTCCATAAGCCAACACGTAGATATGGCACTGGTTCGTCTTATTCATCAGTTCAGTACAATGGTTGATGATATCAAAGCCACACAAACAGACATCAAACTTAGCAGATACACAGCTGGTTCTGCCTCTCCAACACCTACTTTTAAAACCCGAAAACACAGAGACTTTCGCTCCTCCGATTTTAGCCGAAGCTCTCGAGGAAGTCTTAATGGAGGTAACAGAGTGAACAACACTAAGAACAAACGAGCAAACAATGAGAACAATAAGAAGGAGTCTAGAAACAAGAATTCCTTGGGCAGGTCGGAAAGAAGAACTTCTAAAGTGTCCAGGAAAGGCTCAAAAGATGTGGTTGACATGACTATTCATATGGATGACTCTGACTCTATTACTGTGTCAGAACAGAGTGAACCTTCTGCTGAGTGTTGGCAAAATATGTATAAACTATTGAACTTCTATTCACTCATTTCTGATCCAACTGGGATTTTAGAAAAGTCTTCTGAAACCTTTGGGCCAACAGGTAAACCAGTTTTACTATTGTCCCTTTTGTGTCTAGGATTTGGTTTGGGTGCCAATTTTATTAAAATGGAATAAGTGGGGCTCAGATGATTTGCCTAAAAATGTACGAGACATACTATCCTTGGTTTCAAACACAAACGTTTGTACATCAGATACACTAAGGATTTCTTCTAAAATATCCTTTAATAACTTAGTAGTATTTTTGTAGGTGTTCGAAGCCCAACTGAACCTGCTTGCAGAGTGGTGTTTGAGAATGAACAGGATAATGGCAGAGATGTGCAGAGAAAGCGCAGTCTGGTGACTTCGGAGCCACAGCACGTGACTCTCATAGTGTTTGGGATAGGCATGGTGAATCGAACCCACCTGGAGGCAGATATTGGTGGTCTGACAATGGAATCGGAGCTGAAGAGAATCCATGGCAGTTTCACTTTGAAAGAAAAAATGAAAGGTGTGATAAGCTGAAGTGTATACTGTAATTAATTTCAGTAGTGGCTTTACATTGCATTTGTGTGTGCATACCTATACCGATGTATATGTATTTGGAGTATGTTTTATTTATAAATGGATGTATGTAGTGACTGAGTGAGGGTGATACAAGAACAGTTTTTAGAAGAACATACTGAATGTTACTGGGATGCTGAGATGTTTAAAAGGAAGCAAGATTTCCATAAAATGACTTATGAGGGAAATTCTTTCAGGAGATAAAGCTACTCCTTTCATTTTCAAAAATGTTTTCTTTGGTCAAAGTTTAAGTGTGATATATCATAATGTGATAATTAAAACTGTAATCTTTTCATTATGTCGTTGCTTCTACGTTTTTGAAAGTAGTAGGCTTACCTGGAAGTATTAGATGGAATGATGTGCTGTTAAGTGCTATCTTTTCTTAAAGATGTACTACATCAGAAGATGACCGAGACGTGTGCCACTGCTCACATAGGAGGTGTCAATATTGTCCTGCTGGAAGGAATTACCCCAAATATTCAGTAAGTATGATGCCTGATGATATAAAATATCTCAAGCAACATTGTGTAGTAGCAGTATCAGGTTCGTGACATTAATGGCATGTAGCTTATGGAGAAAGCCTTCCTTGATAATGTTATTCTAGGTAGAATCCATGAAGTTACAGTCTGATGGTGACTGTGCAGCTTTTGCAGAACTTGGCCTGAGTTTGACTCCTGAAGCTAATTGTGTGTTCCTGCTGACTGGAGGCTTTTCTATGAAAGGCATATCTTTGAATGAACTAAGGATTACAGTGTACAGATGGTTTCAGTCTAGGGCACTCAGTCATGTAAGTTTTAATTACAGTTCTGTGAACAAAATACTCCTGTTTCTTTCTATTTGAAATGACAAGTATTAGTGAGTTCTGAACTGATTGTAGGATCTCAGTGTAAATGGGTGACCTTACTGACAAATTGTAGGGAACAGATCCTTTGGTATAAATAAATAAGTCATACAATCAGACCTTTCTGCACCAGTTTTATTTGTTGTGATGTACTCATGGAAACAGTATTACATAGTATTTAATGTTTCTATTATGCTTCTAATTTTTATTTTTTTTTCTTGGAAACTTGTAGATTCCACTGAATAATACAAGATTTTATCTGTAATATTTAACTTAGTAATGCTGATTTATCCTATCTGAGATCTGTATCATTACTCTAATAGAAATCTTTCTGAGCTCCCTGTTGCATGACTCCTTTGTTATTTTTACCATTCTGATATCCATTCCCTGCTCTTTGTATAATTGATACAATTGAAAAAAGAAAAGAAAGAAAATCATATTTTGTGCATGAACATCTTGAATGACATTCTCAACATCCATATAATTTATTATTTTTTTTTTTTGCCAGATTCACAGACTCAGGAAAGGCATGCGTTATTTTTCTTTGTTTCTAGCTGAAATTTGTTGAGTTGCAAAACAACAGTTAATGTACAACTCTTTGTAACAGAACACCCTCATGCAGTTTGAATGTTAGCTGAGTAACCCTCAGTATGTGATCTGGTTTTAAAATATTAATAATTTTGTGGAAAAGGAGATAAATAACTTGACTTGAGTTACTCTTTCTTTTTTCCTTTTATTTATTTATTCCTGCTTAGTTTGGAAAATACTATAAGGGACTTAAAATTGAAAGAATTTTACTGATATTTACAGCTAAATTGTGCCTGATAAACATATTTCAGAAGGATAAATAGAAGTTCTGATCTGACAGCCATGCAATGTTTTTGAAGATGGCTGAGGTTCTTTGTGTCTTTTTTTATTCCATAATCTCACAGAACTTTAATATAGAAGTGGTGGAAAAAGGGGGAAAACATCGACTAAATCTTTTGAAAAAACAAGAAAAAATTAACAAACCCCAAACCTTAAAGTTATTAACTTTGAAAGTAAATGTCATATTGTGGGTTACAAATAATTAATTGACTAATTTTGCATGACTGTTTATTCTTTATTTGCTTTGTTTTTGTTTTTCTTGCTTTCTCTTCAATCTTCATCTATAGACTGGAGGATTTTCCTACATCTCCTACAAGCACAGCCAAACAAGAGTTTCTGTATGTCATATTATTATGTTTAATAGTCTTGCAACTAACTGTGTTATATAGCTAACGGCTGCATTCGTTGTGTGTGATTGTGTAGGAAGATGTTGCTTGAATACGTTTCAGTTTAACACCTAATAACAGCTAGGTAAGGTTTTAATGTGGCCTGCAAGTGTGTGTCCAAAAAAAGCCAACTTGTAAATTTTCTTTTAACAGTCTAGTTTTAGGGGCAGTTATTACATTATACTGTCAATACTGTAACGCTAGAGTGGTTTCACTGATTGAAGTTCTTTAGATGTGCTTCTGTGCTTGTTTTCATGAGTGAAAATAATGCTGATAAATGCAGAGGACAGAAAAAATAGATCGTTTTCAATTTGATAAGAAACTGCTGTGCTTGCTGTGGTGGTACCTGTTGTGATCTGAGTATGATGAGGGCTATTTCTTTTTTTGTATTTACTTCAGTGCTAGGTTACTAGCTTTGCTGACCAGGGTGTGCTAACATAGAATGTTTGCATTAAAACTCTGCTTGTGCATCTGCTACCAATGAAGGTGAACCCTTTCAGGTCTCTTAGTTCCCTTTGTGTGAAAGTAGTTTCTCGTTTGGTGGCCGTATGGCTATTTCTGTAGTGGGACAAAGCGTTTGTTCAAGACTCAGCTGGGAGAACTGTCATTTTTGGAATTGACATAAGAAGACAGAGTTACTTCTGGATGAGTTACTTGGATGTAACTTAGATGTTAATTAATTATTTTAACAGTATTCAACCAGTCCTGTTGTAGATTTTTTTGCTTGCACACTGTACAGCTACAGATGCGTAGTGTGCAGTGATCATTCAGAATAAGTGTATAGCCACCCAGTTGTTCTGAATTCCACTTTGTCATGGAAGTAGGCTTTCTGTAGACCAAACAAATGACAGTGAAATTCATTGGTTACATAAAATATGCAAAAATATATGCAGAGATGCACAGTTTATCTTGCTTGGCACTTGGGAGGTCCACACTAAGAATATTATTTCCAATCTAATTCTTCCATGAGGGCTGTATTTGTGCGTTTGTTTTTTTTTAAATTAAGGAATCGCTTCAAGTTGTATGAATTAACGTGTGCTCAGATTTGATTATAAACTCAAACAGACTTCAACTCCAACTCTGTTTTTGCTTTTAAAGCAAGTCTAGATTAAGATTATACTGCCTATATGGTGCACACCAGGAAAAGATCTTGCAGCTTCCCTTGAGTGTTATTCTTGTCCATCAAGCCCTGACTCCCTGAACAGTCAATGTAGTAGTATTTTGCATTATTGAAGGAAGAAAAATATATTTTTGATTGGCGTTGTAGTAGTTCAGTCAGAAAGCTTAGCTGGTGGAGCTGAGCAAAAAACATGGAAATTCAACAGAGAGAGAATCACAGAATCATAGGATGGCTTAGGTTGGAACGGATCTTAAAGATCACCTAATTCTGTTCTCCATGCCATGTGGAGTCAAATCTGCCCTTTTCTTATGTAGTATGTGTTTGTATAAATGTTTTCTTCCTGAAAATACTTGCAAATTAAGATTTGTTTCCTTCTTCATATTGAGCTTGTACTCAAAAATTTTAATCTGTAACTGCTTTAGGTCTTTTGTAGCCCTTGCATGACTGTGAAACTGTTTCTGGAATCCACTGTAGATAGGCCTGTGACTGTGCAGTAGTGCTGCAGACTTGTTTGTTACAAGCAGAGGGATGATGGTGTTTTTGTTTCTACACCAAGGATGTTTTAGGCCAATCAGTGTTTAACAATGTGTTAGAGCCTCACAGAATAAATGTTACTTAGGGAGTAATCATTTTTGCACGTTTTAGCTGATGTACTGAGTATTCCAAACTATTTTTCTTTCACTCTGATGCTGAAAAGCTCTTTGCTGGCTACATAATAAATTCTCCCTGGGTAACCCACCAGTAATTAACCTGAAATTAGAAACATAAATGTGCATCCTTTTTAACAGGAGCTTAGTGAATTCTGATATGCCAAAATTTCATTTTACAATCTACAACTGTCATCTTTGTGCTTTTCTATTTTTATCTTATATAATCATTGTGAACCATATCCTTATTAAATTAATATTAAATTAATATTAAAATAATTTTTTGGCTCATACTAGTCCAAATTACCAAGTCTAGTAAACATCAGTGTTAACTGATCAACCCATTTATCACTTTCTATGTATTCATTGCTTATCGAGTATTCCTTCCATGGACCTTTTTGGATGCTGAAATCAGATTTCACTAAGTCATCTTATGAAAAGGATGATTCAAGTATATTCCTGAGAAGGAATTGAAATGGAAGGCTCTTGTTTATGAGTGTGAAAATTTGTCTCTGGATGTGCAGCCTAGTGTGTGTAAATTCAAATGATCTTAGATTATGCCAGAATAACAGTTTAGCAGGTATTGGTATTTTTGCAATGCATGCCTTGTGGGTTTCTTAAATATAGCATAGTTGTCTGTGGCATGTAGTGCATCTGTGTGTGTAAGTGAACAAAAAATTAATGTGTACGTAGTTTATAAACAAACACTTATCTGAATACCAGGAAATTAAGCTAATCCTTAAAACCCATTTTAACATAAAGTTTTAACTATTTTGAAAGATTTGCAAATAAATCCTATTTCGCTTTCTGTTAGAACTGTAGTGAAATGCAGTGTTGCCAAATCCCAAGCCTTGTATAGTGCCCAGAGAGGGCTGAAAACAAACAACGCTGCTGTGGTCAAAGTTGGAGCCATCAGCATCAACATTCCACAGCACCCTGCCACGCTGCACAGCATGATGGTGCGCAGTTCTCACCAGCTGTCCAAGCAGATTTCAGATCTCATCAGGCAGCCATCAACTGCGTAAGTGTTCGTATGGCACGTCAGCATGCCACTCACTGAATGCCATCCGTTTATGGCATGGTGCTACTTTAAGCATATGAAAGTGCATTGTGTTAGAATGATATTTTCTTATCTTCATTGTGCATATAGCTCTCAGCCCACAAAAGAAGATGTTGCAACTCCATTGCCCTCTGAAAAGACTCCAACAAGTATTAATCAAACACCTGTTGAAACAAATGAATTTCCACAGCTGCCAGAAGGCTTAGAAAAGAAGCCTATAGTTCTTAAATTCAGTGCCATGATAGATGGCATAGCTATTGGAGCAGCACTCTTGCCCTCTCTAAAGGCAGAATATAAGATGGGAAGAATGCGGAGTCATGGAATGACAGGTAAGAATTCTCTGAAACTTTAAACATTACGGCTTTTAGTTTGGTCTTGACAAAAGAAACCAAGAGGACTGGATATTTCTGTAGTCACTGTGAGAGGTCTGGCTGTTGCTCTTGGCTTTTTTTTTTTTTTTTTTTTTAATCTGAACTTCAATCAGATAGGGCCGTAAAGAGGATTTATGCTTTTATTACGTGATTGCCAAATGCAGAATACAAAAATAGACTAAGAAATAAATACATCGATAGGTACAGCTTTCTCCCACTATTAAAATCAGTTTATACTTGATTAATTGAATTTTGATTGCTAAGGCTACTCAGGAATACTCTTATAAGACCTCAGTGCTGATGAGCTAGTTTGACCCTCTGCTTCATCAAATTATAAAGTTGTCTTTGTTTTCTTTAAGAATTAAGATAATTCATATTCATGTGGGTGGATATGTATAGCTCTATAGACATACCCCTTTCAATAACATTTTAAGATTTTTTTTAATTCTAAAAGTGTTCTTAAATTTAAGCATAAATATGTTTTTTTTTTTCCAGCTGATATTTTTCCCCATTTTTCTTTAACAGGTGCCCAGACAAGATTTAATTTTGAGCTTCCAAGTCATAGATTGCGCTTCACTTCAAAAGTCTCTGCCACTGATATGTCAACCATTCCTCCTTCTGCAAGTCTCAACCTTCCTCCTGTCACTATGTCAGGCAAATATATCATGGAAGAACATGATACTTACTCAGACCAAATATGGAGCATAGATGAACTGCCTGCTAAACAAGGCTATTACCTACAGGGGAACTACTTACGTTGTGTGGCTGAAGTAGGTGCTGAAAACAATAGACATCTTTGATAACTGTTCTTTTGTATTTCTGTTTGTGCATCTTCATCTTAGTTTAATTATCTGCTTTCTCCAGAATTCTCAAATTTACAAGTTGATCCAAATGCAACATCTGTAATTGCATGAAATAGAAACTGAACATTCTCAGTGTTTAGTTTGATGAGCAGCCAACATATTAAGCAAAGACACTATGTTTGGAAGGTTTTGAATATGTTATTTTGTGTAAACAAATAAGAAAGATATACATAAACTTTCCTTTTGTTTTTCTTTTTGGAATGAATATTTCTCATCAGTCAAGTTAAGTAAAAGCATATCATGCTGATAATTCAAGTGTTATTTTAAACTGATAGCTTATGCTTCCGTATCAGATAATTGCTATACATTTTGCAAAAATGTGTATTTTTTAAAATCTAAAAATAAATATTTGAATGATTAGGTAGCTGCATAGGTGTAAGGAGCAACTAAATGTGACTTCAGCAAATCATTTAAAGTTTTATTTGTGTGATATTCTACTCACATGTTCTATTTGCATACCAGTTTCCACACTGTTGTTTTTTTTAAGACAAGAATGATTGGTCCTGAAAATATATATGCATAAGAGTTAAAAATATATTGTTTTAAAAACGTAGGTGTGACAACTGTTCTGAAGTTGTGGTTGTTTTTTTTTTTATTTCTGTAGGTTGGTTCCTTTGAACATAATCTCACAACTGATCTCTTGAATCATTTAGTATTTGTACAAAAAGTGTTCATGAAGGAGGTAAATGAAGTGATACAGAAAGTTTCAGGTAAGGAGAAGCACTTAAAATGAACTTTTATTAAACTTTGTTTGATGGCAACATTATGTAGTTCTCTGAATTTAATTCAAACACCATCATTTTGTGTCTAACACTGCATAGAAGGAAGCAGCAGAGTTTGAGTTTCAGGTAAGAACAGAGACTCTGGAAAATCTTGCAGCTGTTCCAGAGGCAGAATGTTTTACAGGGAAACATGATAGTTTTGACATGTTAATCCAAAGCTGCAAGATCTTGGTGCTGTCTCATTTCAGTGTGCAACGGAAATATCTGTGTTTATCTGTTTAGGCACAATCAGAGTTACAAAGCATTTATTTTCTAACAAACTAATGGACAAAAGGTTTTTTTTAGTTTATAGGCTGAATCAGAATTTGCACAGCATTTAATAATAGGTCCAATCACTTCCAGCTCTTCCTGTTAGAGACTTCATCTTCTCAGTCTGAAAGAGAATCAGAACTCTTTACTGATATGGGACTACTCTGGAGGGGAAAGTATGGACTGGAAATTTTGTTTTACAACTTAGATGTCCTTTGGTAGTTAAAAAAAAATACACAGTATTTACTGTGGGTATTATACAGTAAATGAGGAGGTGAACAGAAAAGCAAAGAAGTAAACTGTAGAAATGTTTTGGTGTTCTTTAGGTCAAAATAAGAATTCATAGGTGGGGACAAACAAATGAATATTAAAAAAGGAAAGCAATAACTAATATAAGCAATAACTAATATGTAAAATATATAGACTGTTTATTAATCAATTTCAAAAATAAAGAAAAATAGGCAAAATAACTGTGAGAAATAAAGGAAATATGATTTTTATTACTTAAGGTTTTAAAGGCAGAAGGATATAGGAGAAAGGATGTTACTGATTAACAAACATGAATACATATTCAAGTGGGTGGAATTTCAAGTAGTTGGATTTTAATATGTTTCTAGTTATCTGAAAAGGCTATTATAGAAATAAAGTGACTACTTAGTGGAAAAATTCATTAATAATTGGAAACATTGGAAAGGTAATTTAGCAAGTGGTGTGTAAGTGAAAGGAGTGTTTGTGTGTGTGTGTTTACACATTCAAACACACAGACATAAATGTACATAATACAGCTCTGCAAGTCCAGATACACTCCAAAGATGCAGTGAAGGAAACTGAACATGTTCGAATTGCTGAATGCTAGGAAGAAACAAGTTCTATACTACCTTATGTTTGTTCCAGGCAAAATACATCAGCATTGCATAATAAGAGAACAGAACACTTGGGGAAAGAAAAAAACTTTAACATCTATCATTATTCCATTCTTCTTCTTTTTTTTTTTTTTTGAAAGAGCATAAAGTAGCAAAATAGGAAAGGTGTATTATATATATTATATCTTTTACAGCATTTCACAGTTTCATATATTCAGTCTCTTCTCTGTTTTTATGTGAGAGATTTATTATCATTTTTCAGACCATAAATTTGGGAGTAGTAGCCTGATGTTCTTTTGGATGTGATTGCTGCCTTCTGTACTGTGCTAATTCAGCAGGAGTGTGGTCAGGCACCAGCAATCCAGACCTGGGGCCTGGGTGCTGAATGTGGAGCAATGGGGAAAAAAAAGACAGCTTTGTCCTTTGGATTTACAACAAAATAATTTACATGGCTTGAGCTTCCCAATTAGCCTAGTAGACTGAAGTGGATTTCCTAAATATGATTTCTGTTTCAATAAAATACCAGTGGCTAGTTTTTACGCAAGGATAAACAACATAAGTTGGAGTTTCACAGATCACAATCTAATTAATGAACAGAGCACTGTAAAAACAGCTTCTACTATCTATGTGGATAATATATGGAAAAATCGTAACTCCGCATGCATCTCAGAGCCCTCAAGATCCTATTGCAGCTTTGCATGATCATAGTTGAGAATATTTAAGGGTGGTTAAAAAAGCGGAATCATATATTTGGGTTCGAGGGGACCTTTATGTTCATCTAGTTCCACTCCCCTGCTATAGGCAGGGAGATCTCCTTCTGGACCAGGTTGCTCAAAGCCCATCCAGCCCATGCCACGAATGCTTCCAGGGAAGAGACATTCACAGCATTGCCGCAGAGAGGAAAGACACTCAAATAAATATTGGGTGATAAAAACTTACTGTATGTAACATTTTAAAAATCCATGATTTAACTACCAGTTCTTACTACCAAATAACTAATTAGAAGAGTTGGCATTTTTCAAGAGAATTAATGGCATTAGCCTTTCCCAGTAACAACCTGTTCCTGTAAAGTAGGATGGAATGTAGATCAGATCTTAAAGGGTAGCTAAGACAGAATTGCTGCTTGAACTTAGGGATGTATAACTTGGCATGAAATGTGCCAGGATGAGGAATTAAGTGCTAAATTAAATTGCCACAGAATACCTTCTTCTCCATTATTGAAAGATATTGATACGATTTCAGTGCCTCTTTCCGTGCATTTGGTTGGCGTTTACTTTGTACTATCAAATAATTTGAAAATATGTGTTTTTTTTTTTCCTGCACTAATATATTTTGAAAATGAGATTTTTAAGTTGCCTCACAGGCTTCAAGTCCTCTTGCAGAAAGTCTGATGAGTCTCTTTGTCTCCATTTCTAGAAGGGGACTATTAGCTACATTTAACAAGCTGAACCTACACTTTTGTATGTTGTGTCTTCAACCTATATCTGTTTTTATAAAACTTTAGCAAATTACTGATAGAAATGAGGCTTAATTCAATGTCACTTTCTTAAAACCTATTTGTTTTACAGTGTTTTCTGTGTTAAAACTCTGACTGTGTGTATTTATTGTGTATAGGAGGTGAGCAGCCAATACCTCTTTGGAATGAACATGATGGCACAAGTGATGGAGAAAAACCAAAAATTCTTCTTTATTCATTGAGCCTGCAGTTTAAGGTAACCTTATAATGATAAAACAATGGCTCTAGATGCTATTAATGGTGGAATAGTTTGGTTTACACCTGAAAGCTAACTGAATCAAGAATACTCTGCATGAAGAATCTCGAGTTTGGTTGCAGTAATTTTATAGCTTATTAAGGTTTTGCTGTGAAAAATCATTATGCCTTTTTTTTTTCTTCTTTTTTTAGATGCAAGGTGAAAAAGATTTCTTGTTTTATTCCTCCCACTTCTCTTTTTGCCTTTGAGCCACATTTTAATTTCCTCCTGTTTTCCTTATTCATTAGGGAATTCAAGTGACGGCTACAACACCCTCGATGCGAGCTGTAAGATTTGAAACTGGATTGATAGAACTTGAACTCTCAAACAGACTTCAAACCAAAGCAATGCCTGGAAGTAGCAGCTACCTCAAACTGTTTGGGAAATGCCAAGTGGATTTAAATCTGGCACTAGGACAGATTGTTAAACATCAGGTTGGTGTTCACCATCTTTCCATATGCTGTTCAGACTTAGTAGAGCATGATTTAGAAACGCAGAACTGAACCAACTGATGGTTTTGTTTTCTTTGTTCTGATGAAACAATGGAGTAGGTATCACCTGGAATCACTAATTCTATGATACAGAAATATTTTGTGTTGCCTAGACACAAATAAAAGTTTTAGAATCTAGACGTGGTATCACAACAAATAATCTGAATTTAACATTTTATGATAAATAAGAAAAATCACACTGTGATTAGAAACTAATGGGAGGAAATTGATTATCCTCAAAGAAGATTTGGATCAAAAAAGAAAAGGGGAAAGGAGAGATTTTTACTTCTTGTTGTAATTCTACATTTTGTCAAAAATACTAACTTATTTCTTCCCTTCCCTGACCTCCTCCCTGCTATGAACTTCTCCTCCTCTCCATTTCTGATCATTCTAAGGTTTATGAAGAAGCTGGCTCAGACTTTCATCAAGTCGCCTATTTTAAGACAAGAATTGGATTAAGAAATGCTCTCCGAGAAGAAATCAGTGGCTCATCGGATAGAGAAGCTGTCCTTATTACTTTGAACAGACCAATTGTTTTTGCTCAGCCTGTGGCCTTTGATAGAGGTATGGAAGAGACAATTGCTGCAAAATTTCTTTTCATAGAAAGCAAGCTACTTTATTTTTACTTTTAGTGGTGTTTTTTTTTTCACAAATAGGCTTGCATATTCGAGATTCAGTTTATTTCATGCCAAACAAATGTTTAATGAAATATAATAGCTGGGATATTTATAGGAGATCGGCTGCTTGCCAACAGATTAAAAATTCCTCATGTCAAAAATCTGATTTAGTGAGATGATTAATTCTCAGGTAGTTTGGAGGAATATGCTTTTGTAAGTCTTTCTGAAACTGAGAACAGCATTGTTTTCTATATTTTAGTGCATTAACCAACTTTTGCTGGTTTTGTCTTTTGCCCCATGAATCTCAAGTACATCCTGAGTATGTGTATGTGTGTATGTGCACTCATGCCCATTGCTAAGCATTCACAGCATAAACATAATGGAGAAACAATACAAATAAAAAGAACAGATGTGTTTGGGTTTTTTTGTATGAGTTCATTTCAACCAAGCATTCTGGTTTCTTCCTAAAGCTGTGCTATTCTGGCTGAACTACAAGGCTGCATATGACAACTGGAATGAGCAGAGAATGGCTTTGCATAAAGATATTCATATGGCCACAAAAGAAGTAGTAGACATGCTGCCTGGAATCCAGCAAACCTCTGCACAGGCTTTTGGGACTCTATTTCTTCAGCTGACTGTAAATGACTTAGGAATTTGCCTACCCATCACAAACACACCTCAGGTAATCAAAATATCTGAAGTAGTGTGGCTGTTGAGTCTGTTGAAGTACCCATTTTTATGTGGTATATGGCTTTTATGTACAGAAATGTAATTTTTTGTTACACCAATGAAAAAGTTGTAGGATGTTGATAATTGCAGTGGTGATAGCGTTCATTATGGAAATGGTGTTCTAACTTATGACAAGACAAAGTTATGCATGCTCCAGCTGGTCCCTCTGTTTTGGGGAAATGTAGTGGATTCTCATTTATGCCATATACCTTTGAAAAGTACATGGAAATGTTCATGTGGCTCGTATTTCCTTGCATCAGAAATTTCAATTGATCTTTTTCGTATGATTAAAATAGAAAGCCTTTTTAAAATGCTCAAATGAACTATTTGTTGTTTAATCAAAAGAAGGAATGACAGTATGAATTACTACTTGATATTTGTTTTTCAAGCAGATACTTTCATTTAAGAATTCAGACTAGGTTATAGAAAGAGATGTAACTGTAGTCGCTGGCATGAAGTATATCATAGGGCAGGGAAATTCTAATATGTTATACATGATAATGTATTTTTTCATGTGCTGTTAACTAGTTCATGTGTTAAAGTAATGCATAGTGCATCGTGCAGTGTGTTAATGCAACTCATTCTGTAAGGAAATGTATGTTGTATTATGTTTCTGGTTTCCCCTGCTGTCTTAAGTTTAATGAGAAACAGCTCAGTGGAGCATCCGAAGGGTTGTGCTTTGTGGCCTCACAGCAATCCTTTCACAGGCTGTGCAGGTTTCTCAGTTTCTGGGCAACCAGTACAGCATGTTGCAGGACATTTCCTCAGTTCTGACACGCAAATCTGAATACTGATTCTTTCTTCAGATAAATAGGAAGGCAGCTAAATCAGTGGTCCTCGTTTTCTTAGAAGTATGAAGCTTTATTCTCAGTTATGGAGCAATTATTTGTAATCTATATTCCTTTTATTCGTCCTGCCTTAGAAATAACTGCAATTCTGTCTGTCTCTTCATATGTCAAAGTACAATCAGCACCTCCTAACCACAAAATAGAAAACACTACATTGCCTGTTGACAACAGTTTAAAAAATAAAATACATATAACAGTGGAGCATTATAAGGATAGATAGTGCAATATAGCTTCAAGAGAAAACCTTGAATTCAGAGACTGTTCCAATGTCGAATAGGGAATATTCTTAAAGGGAAATAATTCCAGAACAGAAATGACTAATTTTAATGACTTAGAAAAGAATATTCATAATACATTTAAATATACAGGAGTAATGAGGCAATAACCAAGAACTCATAATGACATAGTATTGTGATACTTAATGTTGTATCTGGCAGCTGCAGACAAAGCAGCTGGTATTTTATGCTTTTATGTTTAAAAAAAAAAAAAAAAAAAGAGAGTAAATTCTTTAAAAAAATCTGGTTAATAAAGCTGTATATAAAACAGTATGTTTGCAATATATATGTTGTATAAAAAGAAGTATAGCTTTAGAAAAGGGAGTATGTGGGCTTTTTTTTTTTTGCCATGGGACAAAATGATAGACTATCGTATACAAAGAGCTGGAAATTAATCAGAAATCTGTGTATTCAGTACTCTATATCATTGTAGATAACAAAATAAACACCAAAAAATCTTTCAAGTCTTGAAGCTGCTTTTCATCATCACTTGATCAATTTACAGCCTTTTCTTTTTTTACAGACTAAAGCCCTGAAATTTTGTTCTGTGCTTAGGAGGTCAAATGGTTCATAGCACTTGAGTATCTAGTCCATGATCAAATATGGATTTTCTTTCTTTTTCCAGATGAGGTCAACTTCCATTGCCCTAATGTGATTGCAACGTAGGCATGTTTGCTAGAAAACAGCAATTCAAGACATTATATGGAAGGATGTGATACTTTTGAAACTTTGTGCAGAGAAGGGAAAATACAAAAAGATATGAGAAAGGGATCAGTTTTCTGATAGGAAAAGATGAACACTAAGCGTGTAGTCAGTATTCAACTTCTCAATTTTGAGTGAATTCTCTCTGATATTATTTTCTAGTCTAACCATACAGCTGATCTTGATACCGGCTCTGCTTTAGTCCTGACCATTGAGAGCACATTAATCACTGCCTGCTCCTCAGAGTCTTTAGTAAGCAAAGGTCACTTTAAAAACTTCTGTATCCGCTTTGCTGATGGCTTTGAGACAAGTTGGGATGACTGGAAACCAGAAATAAGAGGAGATCTAGTCATGAATGCATGTAAGTAAGATTTCATACTGCACAACAGAATTGCAGATATAAATCTCTGTTTACCCTTTGTTGCTCCTTTTTAAACTACTGAGCATTCCCCACAAAGAAAAACTTTTGGCTTTTTGAAAGGAAAATAATTTGAATCTAGAAGGTCGTCTTACTGTTAAAACACGTTGCTTTCCCTTATTAAGGGACTCTGTCTTACTGTAAGAATTTATTTTAAGTTTTGTCTGATAAATGTTCGAAGAATTAGGTGTATTGCATTTATATGATGTCATAAGGTCCCAGAAAGTTTTTAGTGTTTTAATACAGATGATTTTCATTTATATCAGACTGAAGGTTCTAGACTTCATGTGAAATTTCAAGTTGATATGAACTTGGATGTTATCTTGTAAATTCACTTTACCAAATATGAACAAAGGAATTCAGTGGGAATTAAAACTAAAAATCCAGTCCGCTATGCTTAAGCCTTGATTATGGAGCACAAGAGACTTGAGGGGGAATCTGGAAAGGCTGGTCTAAAGCAATTTTCAAACTGTCTGCCTAACCTACTCATGTGCTTTATATGCAGGTGTTGTGCCAGATGGTACGTATGAAGTATGTTCTAGGACAACAGGACAAGCTGCAGCAGGTAATATACTTTTTAATAATTAAATTCAGATATAAATAAAAGATTCATAAAACAGGAAAAATAAATGCTTTGATAGCTGTGTGGTAACTTAATTGATGTGGGCTTTTCTGTGTTTTTAAGTTGGTTCCTTGATTGGATAGTAGTTCATTGTAACAGCTGTGTTGTCCTAGTTCTTCCTGATACAGTTCCTGCTATTCCCATGCTTTCTCCTCCCAGCCACACCTGCTGAGTTCTGACACACTTCAAAAATAAGTAACACTGTCTGTCTTAGTCATTATACCTGCAGCTTGATGATTCTCATCTATTTGCCCAAATGTTGCATCTGCAGTGTCCCTTATATACATAGTTTTACTCACAATGGTTCCTCACTTGTTTTTCAGTGTTGAGGAGATTTAGGAATAAAATATGTGCTGCAGTTAATAAAAATTTATCTTGGGTGGAATTCTGAATTGAGAGAAACTTAGTGAATTCATTTAGAAGGAAAAAAATACATTCTGTAGTTCTGCTTTTCACAAGTTCTGGATTTCGGTGATACAAGGTGTGGCACTCATTAGAAAAATCCTGGGAAGACATGGTATTCAGCTGACATGCTATACCTACATCATCCTCCGGCCTCACTGTTCAAGGACTTGACACTTTTAAAAGAGAAAAAAAATGGGGGAAGAGGGGGAAGGGGATTAAAGAAGTCTGCATTCTTTTCATGCAGATGAACATCCTTTAGACTTCCTGCTATTAGAAATCCTGTTTTCGTTGTTATCTTTGCTGAAGGGTATTTAATTTCATTAGATTTGTCTATGTACATAATTTTTTGAAGAAATAATAACTTAGTAGCTGCAAAGTTGTAGCAACAAGATGTGGGATAGATTTTCCTCAAAGTTGTTCCCAAGTGGACAGTAAAGACATTTCTTCATAACTGATAAATGCTGTCTTATCTAACTGGTTAAACATACTTTTTTTCTTTTAATAAATTCAGAAAGTAGTAGTGCTGGAACCTGGACACTGAATGTATTATGGAAGATGTGTGGTATTGATGTTCATATGGATCCTAACATTGGGAAAAGACTGAATGCTTTAGGCAACACCCTCACAACGCTGACAGGAGAAGAAGATATTGATGATATTGCTGACCTCAACTCTGTAAACATAGCTGACTTGTCAGATGAGGATGAAGTTGACACTATGTCTCCTACTATACATGCAGTAAGTGAATCAACCAAAATACGTATTATTGATTGCAATGAGCTTGACAAAGTTTTCAGTCAGAAGGAAAGGTCTTAGTCTTGAGTTTTTTGAGTTCAACTTGCTAGTCTCATAGCTTGTGTGATTCATGTTTCAAACAAACAAAAAAATCTGTTAGTTTTCTAATGCCATATTTCAAACACAGGAAGTCACAGATCATATTTCCACTGGTGTTATCTAGAATTTGAATTTGGAAACACGGAGATAACTAACTTCAGGTGCCTGAACTGGAAAAGCTGTAGCTATATTTATGTTCTCCTACATTTTCTTATAGATGTATAGGGTATACTACTAAGATAAACAAACGAAAGAAACTTCTTCTGGTACATCTACCTAATAATCTACTGATCTTGTTTTTCAATTTCACATAGAACTATTTTAATAGGTATTCCATTGTAAATGTCTCTTGCCTGCCACCGGTGAACATTTCATCTCAGAACACTAATGTTCCTGTTTGTTGTTTAGAAATCAGGTGGAGGTTCATTTTGTGGAGATGCACGCAAGCTAACATTTGGGCAGCGGATTGTAAATCACCTGCTGGGTTTGAGTCCCACAAACCAACGATACTCTGTTCCTGTAGAATATCTGTTGGGGTCAGCGAACTGTGATTCTCTTCAGTCTAGCAGATCACATATGAAAGCAGGCAGATCCTGCTCATGGGGACATGTATGTAGTAGCTAAATTGTGTCTAACTGAATGATGGGGTTTGGATCACTGGAAGAATTCCAATCGGCTGCCTTTTGAGTTGAAAGTGATTCTTTTGCATGCTGTAGTCCAAATTCTAAGGTGTAAAATTCACTTTTTTTGTTAAATCGTATTCATGTCCAGTTTTTGATGAGGGCATTGATACATCTTTATTTTAAATAGGAAATTGTTGATCACCGGCGGCAGGGAGCTTCTAGCATTCAAACTGGAGAACAGCGAGGAAGAAAATTTGTGAAACGTTTAGTTGATATCAGAGAACTCAATGAGCAAGCTAAAGTTATTGATGACTTAAAGTAAGTTGGATTTTGGTTTAACTCACACAAAGTTTGGGGATAACAGACTGCAGCTGACTTATTTCTTTCCCTTCCTTATCATATACCTTGCAGCACTGTGATGGTCAAAAGGGAATTGCTGTTTAACTATTAAAAAAAAGAGTGAGAAAAAAAGTCTTTTCTGATTCTCCATGAAAAAAAAAATAAATAAATGCAAGTGTCTTATAAATTTTCTCACATTCTTTCCCAAGTGTCAAATTAATCTCTTTGGCTCTCCATTACAATGGCAATCATTATCAATTTCTTGCTGATCCAAAGTTATAATTCTCTTTTGACTTATTATTATGGTGACTACTTAAACAAAGTAGTAAACTTAGTCTTGTTCACTGGAAGAACAAATTGATTCTTTTTCCATGTTGTATGTGGTATTTTAAAAGTAAATCTCACATGATGTACTTCACAGATCATTGAAAGAATTGTTTAAAATTTCAGAAATTTCATCTTTGAGTTTTATTATTTTTCACAGATATGGTTTGATGGTTTGTTGGGCTTTTGGTTTTTTTTTTTTTCACCTAAGGCAGATTAAGAGTTATTTATGAATCAGTCATGGAGAGGAATATAGAGGTTGGTAATTAGGTGTTAAATAGCAGAGTGGAGACACTTGTACTTGGAATAAAATTTCTGTCAGTGTTAACAGGCCAATTGTATCTGAATTTGGATTTTAGGCTTAATATTTCTTTAATGTGGGTTCAAGAATCGAAATATGCTATGGGTCTCCTCTCACTGTAAGAAGTAAACTGATTCTTTCAAAATAGCAGATACTTTATGGATTTGTCTAAGTTATTTAGTTATGTGTTTTTCTGCAGAAGATAATCTTCTGTGGAAAACTGTCTTTGATTTTGGCAGAACTTTGGACTGCTAAAACAGAAGGATTTTTCTTCATCCAATGGAGGATTCTGAGATTTTCCCATTATGTTTGTTCTTGACTAAATGACTGTCATGTGATTGAAGGTGTATAGGGCATTCTTAAACCTAGTGTTACAACTTTGAAAGAAGAGTTACATAGCCAAACTTATTCTCCACATTAGTTAGCCCTGTGTTAGTACTGCTGTTTGGTGTCTTCTTGCATACTAGTTTGTTCTGCATTCACTATCTGCTTTGCTAATTGATTTGGACAATAAAACCTTAAAATCAAAGAGTCCTCTTCAAGGAAAAAACGCTCAACTAGAAGTTGCAATATGAAACAAGGAGAAATCTTCTGAAGCTATATTTGGCGCTCATAAAACTGCTGGGGAACATCCCTTTTTTTTTTTTTTTTGTGTTGCAGTGATGCAGAACATCACTGCAACACCGATTTTGAGACAGTGGAAATAGTGCTATCTCATTCTAAGATAACTCAACTGTAATTTATCTCCAGAAAATTAGGTGCAAGTGAAGGAACTATAAATCAAGAAATTCAGCGCTATCAGCAACTGGAGTCGGTGGCTGTGAATGACATCCGCCGAGATGTTCGAAAAAAGCTACGTCGATCCAGTATGAGGGTGAGCAGTATGAAGTTACTTTTAAACATGGTTACACTTGCATGTGTATTTCTTTTCTGATTGTTAGGTAAAACAGTGAAAATGCTTTATTTTATTTTTTTTAAGAAAAGGAAGTAATAAAAAAGACTAAGAATATCAAGTAATTTAGGTTCCCCCTTAGTTATAATAACAGTGATAGAAAAATTGAAATTTCATAGTTGCTATAACGTAGATGTACTTATTTGCACATTCACGAGATCAGAAATACATGTCAGAAAATGTGTGTATGACGATGTAGTTCACTCTTTGTGGGGGATTTTTAAATGATTCTTAACTGGACTGAAGAATGAAGATGCCAGCATGTTAACTGCCTGGGCAAGCAATTAGATACCTGTTGTATTCCATTTGGCATATGTATTTTCTATAAGTTTGTTCTCCATATAGATAAACTGTGTGTTTCCAAAATTAACTGAAGTAAAAATAAAAACAAGCTACTAAAGAGAGAGTAGAAGAAACTGGACATAAACACACACACACAAAAAAAACAAGTCTTGCAGCTAATCCACAAATATGTGGCTGTTATCCCAGAACCTGGTAATAAAACTGGCAAAATGTTATTTTCAGTGTGCGCTAGTGCATGAGCTTCAAGTATGATGCTTCATTTATGAGGAAGTCAAATATTACTATTGTGTGCAGCTCTGTCTTCTAGCTCATTTTCCTGTGTTGCAGTAGTGGAAGGATACGTGTCAGAGTGATTGGATTTTAGCTTTTGGCAACAGGGCACTACAAATTCCAGCAAGTGTGAATGTTTATTCAGAGGTAAAGATGAAGGTGCTGGCAAATGCTGATAAAGAGATGCATTTTCATTCCTGTTCTATTTAAATATTCTTTTTGGTTTAGGCTGCTTCCTTGAAAGACAAATGGGGTCTCAGCTACAAGCCTAGCTACAGCCGATCAAAGAGTATTTCAGCGTCAGGAAGACCACCTCTGAAGAGAATGGACAGAACAAGGTAAATGGTGATGGTAACAACAGCATATTTGAAGAGGGAAACACTGGATTTGGGCTCTTGGGCTGCTTCTTCTTAGACATCTAACTAATGTCCCCTATTTATTTAACAGCTATAAAAAGCACAGTAACACTATTTAATAGAGCAAATTCTCAGCTCCAAAGCACTACTTTTCAACACAGTCACTGTCATTAACTATGCATTAGAGCCTGCATACTGCACTCATTAAAGGAAAAAAAAAGTGCACCAGTGGAGGTGACCCACAGTTTAACAGCTGCTATGATGGCATCAGATGTTGCCCATGCAGTCCATCTTTCATCGACCCAAACAGATGGAAGTCAGAAGGTACAAATCCAGACTGTAGGGTAGATGCAATAGGACAGTCCAGCCAAGACTGGCAATGTGCTCCATGGTCTTCAAACTTGTATGGGGCCTGGCATTCATGTGTTTCGGGAGAAAGATTTTCTTCTCTGGCCTGATTCTGAAAGTTTGAGCCTTAAGTTTAATCAGTGTTGCAGTGTAGCAGTCAGTGTTGATGGTTTGTCTGGATTCCGGGAAATCTAGAAGGATCGCTTCTTTCCTATCCCAAAAGTCAGCGTACATCACTTTACCTGCTGAGGGATGCATCAAAACTTTCTCATTGGTTAGGAAATCACATGTTGCCACTCCATGGACTGCTGTTTTGACTCTGACTCACAGTGCCAACACCATGTCTTGTCATCTGTAATGATGTGATCAAGGAAACTGTCACCTTCAGGCTTGTATTGGTTCATTATGCCCTGACAAACTTATATATAGTATTCTTTCTGTTCCTGTGTGAGCATTCATGGGAATGACCTAGTGCAAACTTCACAGTATTCCAACGTTGCCACTATCATTTCCAGTGCATTCAAGCCAATACTTAGCTCCATACACAGTTCCTTGGTCATAATCCACCAATTTGTGTAGGTGAGCTGACTAAGACACTCTTCATTTAGTGGTATGACAGGCGTGCCTGGCTATCCAGAACATGGCTTGTCTTTTACATCACGTCTCCTGAAATGCGCCACCCACCTCTTCACTGTGCTCACATCAATTGTCTGGTCTCCATAAACCATGGATATCTAACATGGCTTGCTTGGACCTCACTGAGTGAAAAAGAGTAGTCTAGGGCTGCATCTGCAAAAAAAGTTGCTCCAAAAGTTGCCTCCTAATTATTTCCACAGAAATTACAACTGATACAGAGAGCACAGTAACTCTGTTTGATAGATCAAAAGCTCAGCTACAAAACACTTTTTTTTCAATACACTATCATTAGCTATGCATTTTTACCAGCAATAAATAAGAGCCTGCATACCATGCTTGTAACAGTCTGCATCAGAGGAGGTGACGCACTCTTGCCACCACTCACTGTACTCACATCTACTGGTTGGTCTCTATAAATACTCACAAGCATGGATGAGTGTCAGTAGGGTAGTGTTTTTTCCATGTGGACGAATTCAGGGACACACTTTTGCTTCTCACATGCTTTCATGATCATTTTGGAAGATGGATATATCTATTCCAAAAAGTAATTTTTTGTCTTTTATCAAACTTCTTTTTTTCCTAGTAGCATGTCAAGTGAGAATTTTTTTTCTTACACACACACAAAAACTCCAGGGTTTTTATAGAATCCTGCTGTTAAGACGTACGAGAAACTTGCATAAAAGGATAGTAGGCATAGTGTAAATCATTCTGATTTCTACTTTTCTCTCAGTCATCTGCTTCTTGGCTTAAGATTGAAGAATTTAAATAAATAAAGCAAAGAATGCTTAGTGATAGACTACTGGATGAGTAATGTGCAACTTCCTTCTCTTCTCCCCTTGATTTTCCTTTCCATGTACTCTAAATGCACTTGTTATGATCCAATACTTGCATCCATATCAAAATCTTAAGTACTGAATGTACGTTTGTATTACATTCTATTTGTGTAGTTAAATATTTGTATGAACACAAAATCATGTAATAAAACTAAATAAGTTGTTATGTTTTGTTTTTGTTTATAGTTCTCGACTAGGAGACAGTGAAGATCTCCCAGATATCCGGGTAGATGCTGCATCTCCTGGGCCAAGAGTGACTTTCAACATACAGGATTCTGTAAGAATGACTTTATATTCTTTAGCATCATATGTCCCATACCACTTGGTCACAAGTTCACAAGATGGGTATGCCTAGGCAGACCTGAGTTGCTGATAGGTTTCATCTGTGTGCCTCACATTACTGATGTTTGGAACACAGGTTTGTTCTGACATAAGATAGATATGTTTTGAGTTCCTAACATAGAAATTAATTGAGTATAATGCTAGAATTATTTTGGTGTGTTGTTTTTTTCATAGAAATTAATTGAGTATATTAGAATTATTTTAGTGTGGTGTTGGTTTTTTTTAGGCTGACTTAATAATACTATAATTCTTCTGATGTGTGCAAAAATCACAAACATCATCTTGTGTGTATACACCATTAGACTTTTAGAAATGGGCATTAGTAAGTTTGCTGTAGCCCTACGGATCTATCATTTTGTGTGTTTGAAACTGGCTTTTGGGTTTTTTTTTTTAATAATCACTATGTTTTGTCATTTTAAAAATGTTCCTGTTATGTTGTTTTTTTCATGGCTGAGATTACTGCAATTGTTTTAATTTTTATTTTTCTTTTTCATTTCTAATTAAGTTGAATAAAACGGTTTTGGGGATTGCACAACAATCCAGCTCTCCAGGGGAAGGGTATTTTCAGGTATTTCTGAGAAGAAACAGTCTTTGCCAGAGAACTAATTCTTCTCTCAGGGAGCTGCTTTTCACTATTTCATCTCTTTAGCATGCAGCTAAACAGAATGTATATAAAACCTAAACATATTTAAATTGGAATATGTAAAGTAAACTGAAGAATATGATAAGCTGTTGATGAACTCCCCAGGTATGTTTTCCTATAGCTCTAAAACTTAGTGGCCTTTTCAAAATTATTTAATGGAATTTTGTTCATATCCTTGTGAAGTCTGATCAAAGCTGGTGTGAAGTGACCTAACTTTGGACTTATGAATTTGCTTTAGAAGAGGACTTTAGTCTGTGCAGTTGTCCTCATCTGTTGTGTTCCAAGATTATAAATATCAACATCAGTACAAAGTATTGCTGGGTAGGAGGATGTCTGCTCATTCTTTCTGTTGGAATTCCTATATTTAATGCAGAGAGATGTTTTCAAATAAACGTATCTTTCAAAACTTAGTATGCAGACAATTTTTAAAAAATGCTTTAAAAAAAAAAAAAACATGTTTAAGGGTAATAGCAAAGATTTTGTTAGCTTGTTTTAGTTTTTTTAATTATTTATTTTAAATAAACATACACACATGCACAAAAAAAAAAAAAAAAAAAAAATCAAACAACTCCAGTTATAGTAACATACCCTTTCTATATTCCAACTCACCTCACCCTTCTGGGAATAAATCCTTATTTCTGAGGGGAAGGGGAAATGAAACAAAAATATGTTTTGTACATTTAAATACTTCATTATCTTGCCTTTTGTTTTTTTTCTGTTTCATAAAAGCAGTAGGCTATATAAAATACAAAATGTGTACATACATGCATGTGTGTATATATACAAAAGCCCAGTTAGGTTTTGTTGGCGTAGCAAAATTTTATCAAATACTTTGAACTGTTAGATTTTGAACATTCCTCCCACTCCACCCCCCCCACATTCTTATAATGCCAGTTCTTAATTTCAGCACATCTCATTTTAATTTGCAGTGCTTGTAGCGTGCTGTGTGGGAGAAATCAGTGGCCTTTTTCAGAAATGTAGCCTGGAGTTTATTTCATGTTTAATCACTTGTCCAACATGTTGTCCAGGATCTCAGCCTAGAATTGCAAAACAAGATTGTACATTCTGTGTTAGCATTCTGCATGCACACTTCATTAATGCTTCCAACTACTTCACCTCTTTACAAGGTTCATGACAATTTTTGCTTTTGCTCTTTTCTCTCAAAATATTTTAAAATATGTATGAAATATTTCCATTCCTTCTGATTGAATGAATTGATCAGAGCATGATAAACCTTTATCTAACAGATTGAGCTCGATCAACAGGTAATGGCAAGTGTCTCCATACCAAGCTTTCAATTCTTTCTTTTTCGTAATCCACCTTGTGATTTCTGTACCTCATATGGCTGTATTATGAAGAGCTTGGGACTGCAAATTTCTCATAACACTCTTGATCTTTTTTTCCAGAGCTATCTAATGATTCTTGATTGAAATATCTCTATCTATTTAATATGTATTTTTTTCTTTTTACAATCAGTTTCCAGAGGAGACAGAAATGGACCTTTTGTCTGTAATTATTGATGGTCCCTCCCATTACTCATCTCCTAGTGAAGGCTCATGCTCAGTATTTGGTTCACCTAAAACTCCAGCAGTCTTCTCACCTGGCATTCCCTTCCAGCCTGAAGAAGGACGTCGGGACGACAGCTTATCATCAAGCAGTGAAGATTCCGAGAAGGAAGATGATCATGAACGAGAGCGAACGTATTTTTATAGGAAACCACCGTAAGTAATAGTCCCAAGGAAGAACACAAAAATAAGGAAAATGCATTTGAAATGTTGATTTTAAGTCTATAAATAATGTTTTGGAGAAATACAATAAAAAACTATTAGAGAGCATCCAAAGAAGGGCTATGAAGATGGAGATGGACAAGACGTACGAGGAGCGTCAAAGGGGAGGCCTCATGACGGCCTCACAGGGAGTGGAGGGACAGCACTGAGTTTTGCTCTCTGGTGACAGCAACAGGGCCCAGGGGAAAGGTTCTTCACCAGAACCCCTTGGTGGGCATAGAACAGGCTCCCCAGAGCAGTGGTCATGGCCCCAACCCTGCCAGAGTTCAAGTAGCATTCAGTGGGTTTGAATTTGGGTGATCCTGTGTGGAGTCTGGAGTTGCACTGGATGATCCTTGTAGGTCCCTTCCAACTTGGGATATTCTCTGATTCTGTGAAAATCTGTTATTGGTGAAAGATTGAATTTCTCTTAAGCGTTTACTTGGAAGAGTCAGGAATTGTGTTCATGAAAAGGTCATTGTGAGGGAAGGAGGAATTCTGAACAGAAAAGGTGGCTGCTTTTTATAAAGATGAAGCTGTTAGAAATTTCAGGGCTACGAAGAGAATAAAACTTAAAGTGAGATTTTTTGAGGCACAGAATAGGTTTTAGCTTTTAGGGAACAGATGACAGATGTTAAAATTTGGCATAACTTTGTCTTTTCCAGGATTATACCTCCACAAAGTGAATTTATTAGTGTCTAAGAATGTCTCCTACCATCTGTTCAAATAAATGCTGTGCAATTATCTAATCTATTATTGTGCTGGTGCAGGAGTACATCTCGCAAGAAAGCAACAGGCTTTGCTGCTGTCCACCAACTCTTCACTGAGCGCTGGCCAACAACACCTACAAACAGAAGTATGACTGGCACAACCACTGAGAGAAATATTGACTTTGAACTTGATATCAGGGTTGAAATTGATTGTGGAAAATGTGTATTGCACCCCACAACACTTCAGCAAGAACACGATGACATTAGTTTAAGAAGGTAAGAAATGTGTTATGCAATTGCTTTATGAAGAACGAAATCAGCATATGCCTCTCTTCTGTTTATTATTTTATTTTTAAATCATATTTTATCTTCTGTAAACAAAATTTAAGAATTTCAAAGTGCATGGATTCTTTTTTTATTTCAGCCTTCAAAGAAATACCATGACAACTTAATAAATCAACACAATGATTTGACTAATACTGGACTACTGTATTTCCCTATTATTCTGCATGCTGCCATTATTTCCTGAGTGTAAAAGCATGTTAACATTCTCATGTTGCTTTGCGTAGTTAAGTGGATTTTTTGTTTTACCAGCTAAGGTGAAGCTTTGCATCTGATCTTAATGAGTTTTGATCTCATCTTCAGGTTTACAATTTTCCTGCTACTTTTCATTTGTATATGGCTGAGTATTGAGCGGCAGCATTACATTTCTTTGATAGGATATTAACTTTGACAGGATATTAACAGTATCATGATTAAGAAATTCATTATTTGTCAGCATAATTAACTCGTAATAACATATGAAATTAATTTATGTGTTTCAATTCTGAGAAATAGAGACAACTGAGAAATTATTTTTCTCACTGAGAGGTATGCATCAGAAATTAGCAATTAGAAAGCAGGTTGGTTTTTGTTCTCCCACAACATTTTTTTTCCTATAGTACACAAGGAAAAATAATCTCATATGAATTTATATGAAGACAGGTTTTACAGCAGAAATGTAGAATTGGTAAGCATGCCCTCTACATCAAGAATTGTTCTTAGGTAATGCAGGGTAAAATAGGTGAAGTTGACTGTAAGAGTAAAGGGCGTTGGATGTCTTTTCTCTAATTTATTCAAAAAAACTCTCAATTTTAACAATTTTGTAGATTATACTGCTTGAAATAATAATAATAATAATCTTATAATAAAAATGGTAAAACCAGAGTGGGCAGACAGAAGAGTAGAGATCGTATAAATTAAAGAAGGAAGCAGATGTTGATAAGCTTCCTTATATAATTGATGCTACACATTTGCTTTTGATATCTCTAAGTTCTTTTTTTTTTTTAATCAGAAAATACACTCTGTTTAATAAAAGTATTAAGTTTGTATAATAGCATGCAGCATATTTATTTTAGGAGTTATGATCGGAGTTCCAGAAGCTTGGATCGAGAGTCTCCTTCAAAAAAGAAGAAATTCCAGACAAATTATGCATCTACCAGTCACTTACTAGCTGGCAAGAAAGTGCCATCATCTCTACAAACAAAATCTAGCGAAGTGGAAACAACAGTTTTTTATATTCCTGGGGTGGATGTAAAGGTAAAAGCAATGTATAAACTGAGCATGGAAATGCACTTTTTTCTCTGCTCAAATATGATTTCAAAGCACATCTGTTTTTGTGTTATAAGCAAGTTTATATATTTCATAGCACCTCGTGGAAGTCTTTTCAAATCTGTAGGTCTTGCTATCATAGTATTACAGGAATTGTTATTCCTATACTGAAAACTGAAATTGGACGTTTATCTTGATATTTTTTTCTCTGACAAGGAATTTCTACTGTATGTCCTTTTAAATGTATAAATCAAATGCTCTTCAGTTGAACTAGCCTGTTTTTTCTAATTTTCAATGTGGCGATGCTTTGTATGTTCATCCAATGCTTTGTATTCCAGGCTATCTTCAGAGATAAGTTATTCCTCAGGTCCTGCCTGCGGCTTTGAGTCTTAAGTTAGAAATTAATATATATTATCTACAGCTTTTATTATACTCTGTACTTCCATTGGTAGTGTGTTATTCACATATATTAGGTTGGAATGCTCTGAATTTTTTTAAACCAGTTTTATAAATGCAGATATCTAATAGTGAAATATTTTCACCATGCAGTAATACAGAAAAAGGCTGCGTGGACAGGAAGAAATAGCTGGTGACACAGGAATTAGAAGGTGTTATAGAGAAGATGAGCAAGCATTAGGCATTATTTTTGAATAGTTAATTATTTCTAAATAGTTAATTTTCTCTGTTTTGTTTTATAATTTACATGTGTGGGTTTGTTTGTTTGTTTGGACAAAGATTTCAGGTCTTTCTGTGCATTGGCTTTATCTGTAGAACGTAAATTGGAATGTAACATATCTTACAACAATATTTTTGTAAATAATGCATTAAAAAAATTAGAATGGAAAGACTGACACACAACTTCTGTGCAGAAATTGAGCCAATTTTATGAAGCAAATTAATCTTTTTTTCTTTCTTTCAGTTACACTACAACTCTAAGACTTTAAAGACTGAATCGCCAAATACTTCTCGAGGATCATCTTTGCCAAGAACCCTTTCCAAAGAGTCCAAACTGTATGGTATGAAAGATACTGCCACATCTCTTTTATCTAGCACTATCCACAGCAAGACTAACACCTTACTTCCTCCCCAACCCCCACCCATCCCATCAGGTACTTATAGACAAGAACCTTCTAAAACTATCATGGATATATTTTTTCCTTCATTTAATCTACCAGCTTTAGATCTGCCTGCTTATTTGTTGAAGAATTATATTTATCAAATCTTGACTTTATCTGCAGATACCTGAATGTGGTTCATAAAGCTGAATTTTTAGAAATTTGTTGACAAATCAGTCTCAGTAATATTTGCCATAGACACCATATCACAGTGATAAGCTATGACTGCCTTCTCCCAGTTTTCATTTAACAAACTGAAGCGTAATACTGGAAAGCAAAACTTACATATCTGGCTAAAAAGTGAGTGCTGATTACTTTGTTCTTCATAATAATTATATATATCTCAGATGAATCCTTGCTTCCATACATTACACTATTTGAAGAATTCTTGAAACTTTCCAGTATTTTTTGCTGAGCAAGCACTGTATAAATACTGCTTTCTGGAATTTAGAGTGTTGTCAATACTACATGGAATACCCAGTTCCAGAAAGTAGTATTTGTATTAATGAAAATACCAGTGTTTTCAGCACTTGCAGTCCCTTAAATAACCATGATTTGGAAGAACCTAACTTAGGTTGTCTTATCTCAAATGTTTTCAAGCAGGAGCCCATTGCAAAATCATGTCAGATCTAGAGGTATGTAGATTGCACTTCCAACTTCTGAGACATTTACTGTTCTCTCCTTCAGCATTTGAACATCAGTTTGAAAAGGAAACAAAGACTATGTAAAAATCTGTTGAGTAGGAAAAATTAATAGCTGAAGAGAGTTGTTTGTTTGCTTTATGTAAGAGCAGCTGAGATGCTGAGAGAGAACATGGAAATGTATCACCTTTTTCAGTTACCCGTGCTGTTCAGCCATTAGCTCTTACTCCTGTAAATGTGCATTTTCTTTATGATTACAGTATTTTGTACAATCTTCCTTTATATTGCTTTTCTTTGTTTTTTATTTACCTATTCTCTTTCCAGTCTTTGCATTTTAATTTCTACCATATTGTGTCCAATTACTGAATCATGTTTTTTTATATCTGTAACCTCTACATCTGGGAGGACTTCTGGACATCACGCTTGTAGGAAGATGTATGAATGTCATCCAGTAGGGCCCAATAGAGGTTGCAATTAGTTTGCTTCTCTCTATATTGTATTTTTATAAATACTTACTAGTTTTGATTTGTTTTAATATGTTATCACAGAATCATAGAGGTTGGAAAGGGAGCTCTGGAGATCATCTAGTCTAATCCCCTACTAAAGCAGGTTCTCAAAAGTATTATTTATTATTATTAATTTTCATGTTGAATGTAAACCCCTTCTCTTACTGTCTGTGGTCTACAGTAAGAGCAAGAAAAAACAATCTAAATAGTTAGAGAGACTGGACAGAATAGCTGTTCTCATGATGAGCATGGATCCAAGTGCTACTCTTTTCCAAAAATTAGAAGACAACAGTTTTTGCATTTACACTTTTTCTATCTCCAGGCTTTTAAAAACACTGTTTTATATCTTCTGTTATTCTTAACATAGTAGGACATGCCATTTACAGTTTTAATTTGTTGGTTTTTTTATTGTCTAATTATTGTTGGTTTGTTTTTTGTCTAAGCTGATATTCTTCCCAAGCTCTTTCACTTTTCCAATTCCTCATCATTTTCAATTATTTCCACTTAAGAGAAGAATTGTGTGGCTAATTTAGAAAATTATTTTTTTAAAATAAAAAAAAGCAAAGTGATGAAAATGATCTAATAGTGCTTTGTGAGAAGCAAGCACAATGCAACTACAATCAAGCATGCCAAACTAATAGTCACTCTGACATACTTTTCTTAGCTCAACATTATGGTTTATATTTTTCTAAATGATCAGATGTATGCCTTTTCAGATACCATTACAGAAAATTAGGGAATGCAGCTGTTAGTTATGAATTATCTTACACTTACCAATTACAGTTGAATGGCATTCAGTGGTATTATTATGGTGTTATTATTAGACAAATTTATCTTTCAAATGTTGCAGCCAAAGGAAAAGGAAGTGGTGGAGTGAAAACTGCGAAACTGTATGCATGGGTTGCACTTCAGTCGCTGCCAGAGGAAATGGTGATTAGCCCATGCTTACTGGATTTCCTAGAGAAAGCTCTTGAAACCATTCCAATTACACCAATTGAAAGGAATTACACAGGTAAGTTGCATCTTTGTATTCTGGTATGCTTTTCTCTTTTTGTCTTCTGATGGCACTGAGCTGTATCTTCTTTAAATTCCACTTTCTAATGAGTTCTTGTGCTTGTTAAAAGCTGTTAGCTCACAAGATGAAGACATGGGACAATTTGATATACAAGACCAATTAGAAGAGTCCACAACATCATTAGTATCATCATCGACGTCAGCATATTCATCCTTCCCTGTAGATGTGGTGGTTTATGTACGGGTTCAGGTGAGGTTCTAACTTTTAGCATAAGTGATTTCAATCACTATCTTTGAAACAGTCTATGCTATGGTTTTTAGAAATAAAAAGATATTTTCAAGTGCCCATTTTGAGATACTGATGTTTGGTATGATAGTAAATAAGACTTCTTCAAGCAGAAGTTCTGACATCTTTCAGTCCTGTGGAGACCATCAGAAATCAATCATTTTGAGAAATGATAAAAATTCTATACTTTGTTTCTTTTGCCTTGTCTGTTTTGAAAATGCATTTTTGAAAATATTATTCATAACGATTATTTGCATTCATTATTTATGGGGTACCATTACAAAACAAAAATAATAATTAGAAATTTTCTCAGTTTGTGGGGTAGTGTGAAAATACAGGAATATGCAGTTCTCATCTGCATATATATTCATTCTGCTTCATATTGGATGTGTCTGGCCTTTTTGTGTCAGAGAGAAAGGTGCGCCTGCAGATTTGCTCAAACGTTTTTTCATGGTACAGATTTGATTATGTTCCTAAATTGAACAGCATACTCTAAAAAATGTTTGGTTTTTTAATGCCTGTGAAAATTAAGTACAACAGTCTGTAGCTAATAAGCATTTTTTGTAATCTCATCTAGCCGAGCTAAAGAGTCAATTGATTCTGTGTAGTTCTTGTATAAGATGCACGAAACTGTGAATTGACTTGGGGAGGAGGAAGAGAGTTCATGTCATCTGCATGCAAGATTTCTGTACTTCTTTTCTTAAAATTGTTTCCAAATAATAGTTCCAGCTTTGGAGGGATTCCCTAAATTAATGTATCTTTATGAACTGGTATAGAGTTACCTTCTAATTATAGAACCAGTCTGAAGAAGTTGTAATTTTCTTAGATTTTTAAGTCAAAATTGGGATAGCTTAAGTGTTTTATATATGTTTGTTGAAAGCTTTATTTTCTTTCTGTGTTTTAGCCTTCTCAAATCAAGTTTAGTTGTTTGCCAGTATCAAGAGTTGAATGTATGCTGAAATTGCCTTCCCTGGATCTTGTTTTCTCTTCAAACCGAGGAGAATTGGAAACTTTAGGTACAATGTACCCATCAGAAAATGTGTCTGTTGGTGGCAGTACTCCACAGACCAGCTCAAAGAATTCAGTTAGTAAATCTGGAGCACCAGGTAAAATCTACATGAATGACTATCCTGTATTACAGCTTATAGCATAAATAAGCAGTGTTCTGTGTAAAATTAGAATAAAATATATGCTTTTATAGAGCTTAGGGTTATTCATATGGACTACATTTATTTTTACTATTTATTCTCACTACGTTTATCTTATGCAGTGACTTCAGTAAGATTGCTTCATATTATGTCAGTTCTTTATCTTTTGTAGAAGATTGCACATATTCTGTATATTGGAGTTTTTCTTCCCCTGGTTAAACATTTGTTATAAAATGCCCTACACAGAATATTTAAGCTATATTTCTGCTACAAGGGACTAATTTGATATGCATTTGGTCTGTTCAGTATGTATTCTTGTTATTAATATTATTTCATATTTGAAGATGGTTTCATATTAAAACTGACTTCTGAAAACATTTTCCCTTCAGGTTCATCACCTGGACTAGGCAGTCCTCTTGGCAGAACACGCCACAGCAGCAGCCAGTCAGACTTGACCACTTCTAGCAGCAGCTCTTCAGGCCTGAGCTTTACTGCCTGCATGTCTGACTTTTCCCTTTATGTGTTCCATCCGTATGGAGCTGGAAAACAAAAGACTGCTGTTACTGTTTTAACTCCTGGATCAGGAGCCTTAGGTACAGAACAAATTTTTGCTTTGTGAACACACAATGAGTTGGGAAAGCCAAGCCAAACTAAGATGTGGAAGTGTTTGGAAGATTAAACTCTCTCTATTTCTAGGGAATGTGGATGAGGAACCGACTTCGGTCACTGGTCGGAAGGATTCCTTGAGCATTAACCTTGAGTTTGTGAAAGTCAGCCTGTCAAGAATAAGGCGTTCAGGAGGCTCCTCATTTTTTGAGAGTCAGTCTGCAAGCAAAACTGCAAGCAAGATAGATACGACTTTGATAAACATCTCTGGTAAATCTTTTTTTTTTTCATTCTAATCCCTGTCTTTAGTTACTTACACAACTGCTGTTCCAATTATATACTCAAGCTCAGTAGCTTTTGTAGATATTAGGAAAGTTATTGTTAGTTTTGAATGAAGAAGGGATTGATACATTATTTAAACTGTGTACTTGGAATACCTATTTGCAGATGCACCTTTTTATCTTCCTGATTCATTAAATGTAAACAAATGGGCTTGCTCAAGCTCATCTCTGATAGCAGTCCAAGTGACTATAAACGATCTTGACAATTTTGAGATTGTACTGGCTCTGGTTAGGATGGAGTTAACTTTTGTCACAGTAGTTCATAAGCTGGGCTTTGGATTTGTAGCTGATTCATCTCTTCACACATTCTATAACGTAACTGAACTTAATGCTAAATTGGTTCCCAGAGTTGGTTTTCCATTGGTCCTCATTGGCTAACCCCTAACCTCCTGTTTTCATAGTCCCCTCTTTAGAAGAAGGTCTTTCAGAGCACTGTTTTGTTACCTGAATAAGTCAAAATCTTTTACAGATGCTCATCTTTTTTTTTCCTTTATGAGAATTAGAAATATTCAAACTACTTTCCCATACAGAAAAATCAAAGTGAACTATATAATGCAATTAAGTGTAGTATTACAGAGATGGTACACCATGCACTTTAAATATGACAGCAAAGTCGATCTCCTGTATCACAAGCTGCCTTCTTCATGATTTTGTTTTACTATAATGTTTGCCATGTGTGGTTATCTTAATTCTGACTGCAGGGCTACACATCAATGTGGTGATGTAGTTCTGCAGTCTCTGTTCATTTGCTGGCAGTGAAATATCACCACCTTGCCCGTTAGTGCCTACAAAGCTGCAGTGAGACCTGAATACCTAAAAATTCAAAAGAATCTTGATGTTTTCATGATTTTATTTTTCCCCACTGCACACAGGATCCTTAGTGGTCAGACACAGTGCTGTGGTTGTGATTAATCTGCTATTAAAGCCCTCAGATGTGGAGTCTCAGAGGCAAATGCAACACAAGTAGGACCTAACTACATTTATATACGTAGGCTTCATCTTCTCTTTAAGAAATATGTGTGTATCTAATGTTGTACTAGGATATATCACAATGCCTCAAGAAAACTGCAGGTTTTAGTAACTGCTTTTTATTACAGCACAAGCTATACTGCTGGGGTAGAGAGGTATTTGATGATTTTGCAGACCTGTTAATTAATTAGATGTGGTTACCAAAACCTGTTACTAATGAGATTTTACAGTGTTGTATGCATGCCTTATTTTTCAGCTGTCTGTGACATAGGATCTGCATCTTTTAAATATGATATGCGTCGACTCAGTGAGATTTTAGCCTTCCCAAGGGCGTGGTACAGGAGAAGCATTGCTAGACGACTTTTCCTGGGTGATCAAACCATAAATCTGCCAGGTAGGATACTGCTGCCTATCACAGAAAACCTTCTTGTGCAAGAGGTTAGGAAGTGTATAAGCATATATTACATGTTTTTACTATTACATATGTGACGAGATACAAATGTAGAAATAGAAATGTATTGTAACTCACTCTGTATGCAGGCACTCCAGAAAAATTTAATTAAAAGATTCTAGAAATAAAAAAATTGAGAGTTTCAAAGTATTAATTTAATTTGGAGCTAATAATAGTTAAAACATTAAGTAAGCTTTAGTTATGAGAAATGAAGCTTTTTTTTAAAACTCTGCGAACGCTACTTAGTATGTGGGAGAATATTGTTCAAAAAAAACCAAAATAATTTTGTTGCCATTCATGTACTCCTTTTTTTTTTTTTTTTTTTTTTTCCAGTAGCATCAGGTCCTGGAACACCAGATTCAATTGAAGGAGTCAGCCAACATCTTTCTCCTGAATCATCACGGAAAGCGTACTGCAGGACATGGGAGCAACCCTGCCAGTCTGCTTCATTTACACACATGGCACAGTCACCTAATGTTTTTAATGAACATAATGCAAACAGTAGCATGTCACCAGGGACAGCAGCTCATAACTTAAAGTCTCCAGCTGTTACAAGATCCAGGAGTGTGTCTGATTCTTCAGTGCCTCAGAGAGGTTAGTAGACTATATTTTCTTCACTGCTTTTTGTTTCGTTTTTCAAGTATTTTCATTAGTTGAATTAAAAAGATATTGTTAAAACAGCGCAGAAAATAGTGATACTCTTTTCTACTGTGCCCAGGAGTGAAAGGTCGATGGCTTACAGCAAGGAAAATGTCTGAAACAGATGACAGTACTCTGAGAAACTGTGTTATGATTTGATACATTTGCTATTGCTTTTACTAGGGCAGAAGTTATCATCGTTATTAGATGAGTTTTCCAGCTTAGTTTGATTGCATTGTCATCTTGGCCCTTTCTTCTCATCCAAGCAATAACCCCAGAGGTCTAATAGGGTTTTTATATAGGAAATAAAGTAACTTTTAATTTCTTTTACTACAGATTTTGTTGTGTCTTACTGCAGTGTTACCACTGCCTGCCAGGAATGTTTATGGAATTAGAGACAAGAGATTTAGAAGTACAGTGGTTATTGTATTCCAGGAAAAGTGTCTGTGAGAAGAGATGACAGATTTTTTTTTTTTTTTTCCTATTTAGAAGAGAAGATATTAGTTTTTAAGGTAAAACAGCTGAAAAAACAATATAAGACTGATCAAATGGCTTGTTCAAAAGAAATTTTGCAGGAAACTGTTGTCTATTTAAGAGTATCTTTAGATTTTTGTGAGAAGAGTGAGAACCCTAATTCTTGAAATCCTAAGTTGACATTGTACCAATGAGCACTACATGAATATTCTAATACTAATAATTTCTTTAAAAAAAAACACAACAATTAAAGAGTGAAAAACATACTCTTGCATGCCTGATGGCAAATTTAAAATCTTTTCTCTTAAGGTTATTAGTAAAACTAAATGTATAAAATACTTTCATTTCTCTGACAGCTAAAACAATGTGTAATGCAGATCCTCAAGTTCTCACTTATCCTCATTTGTAGTTTTGTGGTGCCCCTTAAGTGTGGCGTTTGTCTGTCTTTTTGTAATATCTTTCAATGTTTATATTCTGCCACTTTTTGTGACTTAAGTTTTGCTTACTTTCTTATTTAGATGCACTCTCAAAAACATCAACTCCATTTAATAAATCAAATAAGGCTGGAAGCCCCCAAGGAACACCATGGGAAACACTGGTTGTATTTGCTATGAACCTGAAGCAATTAAATGTCCAAATGAATATGAGCAACGTAATGGGCAATACCACGTGAGTATAAAACAAGATATAAGTGTGATTTAGCAGACAGTGTTGTTTTAGGGACACACACGCACACAAAAAAAAGAAAAAAAAAACACCACTGACCACTAAGAGCCTGTTGTTTTCTGACTTTAATTCCCTAACTTTTTCAGTTTTGAAAGGTGAAGCAACCCCTTGTGAATGCTGGTAGAGTAGATACTTAATCATGAAGATGCATTTGCTTAATCCATGTTATTTACTTCTTTGCAGTAAATCATATTCCATTTTTCTTTTGACAGAGAAAGTTGTTGTCTGTTTTCTGGAAAACTGTTGTCTATTTATACTTCTGTTCTAGGTGGACCACGAGTGGTTTGAAAAGCCAAGGTCGTTTGTCTGTGGGCAGTAGCAGAGATCGAGAAATTAGCATGTCTGTTGGTTTGGGAAGATCACAGCTGGATTCTAGAGGTGGAGTTGTTGGTGGTACCATAGATGTTAATACCCTGGAGATGGTGGGTAAGTTGGAAAGCTGCCTGATACTAGTATACGCTCTGAACAACAGTCCTGTAAAGCTAAAACAGTTCCCCTTTTTTGTAAACTTAGCAGCATATTACAACTTTGCATTCTTATTTGTGTCTTCTCATTATGAAAAACACTTTGAACTGAAGGAATAGCTTCCTAATTGGGGGTGGATTTGCTATTAGTGTTGCCCTAAAGTTATACTAAGGAGGTGTGCAATTCTTTAGCCTCCTTCAGCTGTCTGGACAGATGGCAACCAAAAAGATTTGACAGCATTTCAGCTCTTCCTAGAGTTTCCCAAGCACTTACAATCTAGGAAATGGAAAAGTGGTTTGGAAAGAGTCTGTGTGTTCTAGGTCTCCCAGTGCATCAGGAAGAAACCAGTGTTTTCTCAGTCTCACTGTATCATGAGGATTGCATAAGGGTGGTATTGCTAGAAAAACAAATCTTCTTACCTTTAATGCTGTGTTTCTGTGCTGCTTTCATTCTATTGTAGCTCATATTTCTGAGCACCCAAACCAACAGCCCAGTCATAAAATTCAGATTACCATGGGTTCTACTGAAGCACGTGTTGACTATATGGGTTCCAGTATCCTAATGGGAATCTTCAGTAATGCAGATCTTAAACTACAGGATGAATGGAAAATTAACCTATATAATGCTTTGGACTCAAGCATCTCTGATAAAAGGTAATACTGCTTGCTGATTTTCAAGTTTATAATACTTGATAATGTCAAATTCTCTCTCTATAGATTCTGTCCAGTATTGGTAACTAAAATCATAAGTTTGCTAGAAATCAAAGAATCCTATTTTTTATTTTCAGTAGGAAATTGGTTAACTGTACATGTTCTTGCTGTTTTTAATACCTAGTGAGATATTTGTCCATGGGGACTTGAAATGGGATATCTTCCAAGTGATGATTTCAAGATCGACTACTCCAGATCTAATAAAAATAGGAATGAAACTCCAGGAGTTCTTCACTCAACAGTTTGACACAAGCAAACGAGCACTGTCTACCTGGGGACCCGTTCCTTATCTGCCTCCCAAGACAGTGGTCAACAACTTGGAGAGAAGCTCACATGAGCAATGTAAGTAGTACCAAAAAGTAGTGTACTTTATAACTTGGATGTTTTAATTGTGAGAATCAATCTGAGAAACTTCATGTGTACAAGTATATCTACTTGACTTAAAATAATATCTTCAGTAGATTTGTCCTATAAATGGAGGCTTGCAATAACCTTTCAATGAAGCACATAAATATCTGAAGAATCCTAATATACATGGGGTACAAGAATGAACTAAACTATGTTATTTTCAGGATTTTCTTAAAAATGTGTATTTTTTGTTAAAAATATTTTTGCAGTTTGAAAACTGCAAGCTTACGAAGACTACTTCATAAGAAAGAATTCTACTTTCAGTAGCTGTGGAAGTGTGGTGCTATTCTTTTCTATTAATCTTGAGCTGAAGCCATTTTTTATCTGAACACAAGTATGCTTGTTCTGGTATTCATAAGCTACAACCATCTCAGATGGCGAAGATGATACAATGTGCTAATTGAAATTACCCATGGTGTCTCTATTTTGAATAAAATATGTAACTATGGCAGCAAATTTCCTGTGTCTTTCTCTTTATTGAAGTTTGTTTTTGTTATTGCATTTTTTGTTTTTAGTATTAGATGCAGCCCATCATCGTCATTGGCCAGGAGTTCTGAAGGTGGTGTCTGGATGCCATATATCCTTATTTCAGATGCCATTGCCAGAAGATGGAATGCAGTTTGGAGGATCCATGAGCTTGCATGGAAACCATATGACTCTGGCTTGTTTCCATGGGCCGAATTTCCGTTCAAAATCTTGGGCCTTATTTCACCTTGAAGAACCCAATATTGCATTTTGGACGGAAGCACAGAAAGTTTGGGAAGATGGTAATTTAAACCATTTCCTCATCTCTTCATATCTTTTAAATGAACTTTTGAAGAATATACTGACGTGTCAGAATAAATTAAAAAAAACAAACCCAAGTATATTATTATTATGTAATCAAAGTGTATGAGTGTGCATAGGAAGGGGACTGATTGTCTTGTTAATTGCATGTCTGCACTGATGCAGCCTTTCATTTCTACATAATGAATTTTGAATATCTTACTATTTATTTGTCTTCATGTTGGGGAATTTTTACTATCTGTAGATAAGGAGGATTTAAATCTTCTTGTCGTTTGTAAGCGTAGCACAGATTTTTGATGCAATTGGATTAGTAATTATTTCTGGTAGATACCTGTGCAAGGGAGAGGAAAAATCCCACTACCCTTACTAAGTTGGTGTGTTTTTCTTTTCCATTTCTCTTTTCCCTCCTGTTCTGTATCCATCACACCTTTGATGCAGGTACTAGTGAACATTCTACATACATCGTGCAAACCCTAGACTTTCATTTAGGCCATAACACTATGGTCACCAAGCCATGTGGAGCACTCGAAAGCCCCATGGCGACAATCACAAAAATAACAAGGCGCCGCCATGAAAACCCTCCACATGGAGTTGCCAGTGTGAAAGAGTGGTTCAATTATGTTACAGCCACAAGGAATGAAGGTAAGATTCATATCAATTACATTTTGGGATTGGTTTGCTTGTCAGTCAATGCAGATTGTGTTAAATTTCAAGGGATCTAAGGAGAAGAGAGCTTGAATGGAAGCTTTTCTTCTACAGACTGTTAAAGCAAAGTGTGGAATAACAGATTATGCTTTATAGTCAGAAATACCAGTTTATAGTTTCTTAAAAAATACTTTAAAGTTATTGAAAATATATTGTTAATTGTTTTTACATAGCCCTATTTTGCTACATCCAGACTATTTAAGTACATCAACAGTGACTTTAGATTGTTTGATTTTTCTGGGGGGCTGGTTAATGAATAATATGAACAACAGTTTTAATGTGAAGTAGTAACCTTTCTTAACATTTTGTCTTGTCACAAATTTTAATAACTGAAAAAATAACCAATATAATTAATGTTGCATGTATGCTATAATGAAAGTATCATGACAAAGTTGGATACCTGTTTTGATAGTGGTTTTTATATCAGTGCTGCTTCAGTGAATTTAGGTGTCACTTGCATCCATAAGAAACATTTATTTTCAGGGTAAGCCCTGTCTTATTTTCTAACACAGATGGCATGCTTTGAATCCATTGTCTGTATTTCACTTAACTGAAAATTCATTGTTAGAACAGAGTTGTGATAAGGTGGTCAGATGAATAAAACTTGGACTTTAACCATCCAAATAAATGTTTCTATGTTACAGTACTGACATAAGTTTCCTCCCCTCTTCTTTATTAGAACTTGTTGGTTTTTTTTTTTTCAGTATATGAAATTGCCAGTATTAAATTTTGTGAAATTTTGCCATTATTTGCATTGACAGAACTGGTTTGTTTTTGTTTTTTTTAATGTTACTGAATTAAGGTATTTGCCATTGTCCTTGTAGAGTTAAACTTACTTCGAAATGTTGACGCTAATAACCCAGAGAGCAGCACAACTGTGAAAAGCTCAAGCTTGCTGAGTGGTTTCAGAGGTGGTTCTAGTTACAATCATGAAACTGAAACCATCTTTGCACTGCCAAGGATGCAGCTGGATTTTAAATCTATTCATGTCCAAGAGCCCCAAGAGCCTTCATTACAAGGTATATTAAAAACAATTTGCCTTCCTTGATCTAAAGCTGTTTCTCATAAATAAGGGGTTAAATACAAAAATACTGTGCTGATAAGAGGATTTTTTCTAGAAATTACAGCAGATATATGCAGTAAAGGACACGTTTTTGTAATGAAATGCAGAGGGAATTCTGATGAGGAAGTGAAAACCTAGTCCTGATACTGGTTGCTTTTAAAACAAAGAAACAAACAAGCAGAAAAAACCCATTTGCTAAGAAATGAATATGAACATTACAGCTAGGCTGGCTGTTCTGAGGAAGTTGGTTTATAAGTTAGAAAAGGCCTTTACTGAAAAAGGAAATAGGAGAGAGGAACCTAAATGTCATGCTCCTATTTTCAAAATATTGTTTGCAGACTACAAATGGAATAGGGGGAAATGCCTGCTCAGTATGGGATCATTTGTACTAAAATTCAGTATACTTTTATGCAGTATGTACTTAAAATGTATTAATGTTATTTCAATCTGATTGTAGATACAAGCGTTAAACCAAAGGTGGAATGCAGTGTGGTAACTGAATTTACAGACCACATCTGTGTAACTATGGATGCTGAATTGATCATGTTTCTGCATGACTTGGTGTCGGCTTATCTAAAAGAAAAAGAAAAAGGTAAGCTGTTGGTATCTGAGGTAACACTAGTCAGACAATTACATACTGATTGACAGTAAATATTTTTGAGATCTGAAATCTGGGCTTAGTGCTATGAGATGATAGCTACTTCTTTCAATTGCTCATAAATGAAATTTAACTTTACATTAACCAAATTCTTTTGTTCTGTTTTTTGGGAGGGGAGTTTAAAGCCAAGAGGTGTTCTAGCACCTAGCAAAAAGTGCAGCGTTGCATGGGAATCATTTCAGCTGACTTTAAGTCCTAGAGAACTGGAAGCAGAGCAGTTGCATACAGATGGTACAAATAGCATACTGTCATGTCTCTGCTGTTCAGGGCACTCTGCTCCTGTTATCCAAAGTATTTCTAAATTCAATCCTAATTCAGATATGTGCATCTATTTTATTCGTTGTGCTGTTTGGAGGGGGAAAGGGCTGCTGTTCCTTTTCTATGTTCTAGGAAGTTCTATGTTCTAGGAACTCAGGGAAGAGCTGGGTTCAGGTTTCCTTCACGGCCTTGGGCAAAGATGAATTTTAATTACTTTCCCTCATCATCCTCCTGCTCAGAATATGCTGTCAATAAAAAAAAAAATTAAAAACTAAGTATGTGTTCACATGTAGCCTATGGGATGCAATATGCTTTGTTGTGTGCCATGATGAGTTTGAAAGAAATACTCTGTATATGGATGGGTTGGGTGGCAGAGGAAACAATTCCACATTCCTGTACCATCCACTAACGTTTAAGTTTTCCTTATGATATGTTTTATTTGTGCTTTGTTGAAACCAGAACTGTTGCTAGAAATTGAGAAGTTTTTACAAAACAATGTGAAACACGAGCTGGTTTTCTCTTGTTGGCAATGCGCTCCGGAGTTTCTTTTAAGATGTATGAGGCTTCACATGAGATGCTCAAGCTGACTGGTTGCTTTTTTCTTCTGCCCCTCTCCCTTTTGTAGCTATTTTTCCTCCTCGCATTTTGGCTTCTCGTCCAGGGCAGAAAAACTCTGCTGGTGTACTTGAGGACAGCTCCACAGAGAGAGAAGCAGAGGAAAGCATTACTTACACTACAGTTGACTGGAGAGAATTTATCTGCAATACTTGGCATTTGGAGCCCACACTCAGGTAACAAGCAGACTTACCTGTAATCTCTTTGTCTATGCATTTTATTTATGGGTACTGTCCTTCACACCACAAGTGTTTCCAAGCTGCTATGGATCAATTACATAGATGCTATAATAGTTTTATCTTTGGCTATTAGTGCTGGTCTGGAAGGTGAGATGCACATGAATTATAAATGCAGGTAGTTCCAGAAAGCTAGTTGTGATCTATACCTGAGACTGAATCCACCTACTATTGTTTTTCTTGGATCTATTTATTTATTTATTTTATTTTAAAGATTGATATCCTGGACTGGGAGGAAAATTGACCCCGTTGGTGTTGACTACATCCTCCAAAAACTGGGCTTCCACCACGCCAGGACTACCATCCCCAAGTGGCTGCAGCGTGGGGTGATGGATCCTTTGGACAAGGTTCTGTCCGTTCTGATAAAGAAACTCGGTACTGCACTACAGGACGAAAAGGAAAAGAAAGGAAAAGACAAAGAGGAGTACTGAACAATAATGTGACAACCACCATTCCGTTTGATTTTTATCAAAGTGTTTTATTACAAGGTTTATATATGGTTTAAAGAGAAACCTAACAGCATTTTGCTACTCTATTTAGAACTTACATTGTGAGTAACTGTTTACTGTGGTACTTGATACCATTCTGTATTGGAAGTATTGCATGGTTACGACCAATGTATATTCTGTGAAGGAACACCCGAACACTGGCAGTCGCTTCTCGGCACCCACTGGTTTATTCTGTGCAATATGATTCCTGCATCTTCAAAATATTGCAGATTTACTGTGAATTTTATTAAACTTCTTTTGCCATAACACAGCCCCTTTGTTGATGTGACTGGTAATTGAGTTGTCAATGTAGACTTGTGTAAATTTATATATATATATAACTTATGAAACTGTGATCGCCTTAGTGCTAAAAATCTTTAAGTTTATTACACTTGTAATAAAATTTAACTATTGTACAGGGTTTTGGTTTTTTTGTTCAACTTCTTTGATTAAAAAAGTGTTTTAAGTGTAACTTTGCATCCCGTCTCATTTAAGGCGGTTACCCCGCTGTCGACGAGAGCGCCTATCGCCTCGCCGCTCCCAACAGCCGCCTCCCCATTTCGGGCCGCGGCTGCGCGCTGTGGGCGCCGCCCTGCCCGCTGGGACGCGGAGCCGCTCCTCGCGCCGCAGCCGTTGAGCGCCAAAACGAGGCCCGGCCCTTCTTCCTCGCGCCTGGGCACGCGGCGGGCGGCCGTGAGGTGCTGCCTGCTCGCTGCTCGAGCTACCCTTGCGCCGGCCGTGGTGGTGAGGTCCGTGTGCCGGAGCTTCCCGGTCCGCAGGGTCTTTAGCGTCTGACACCGTTCCTGTTGAGCTCCGCCAGGTAGATCGGGGATGGCCGCCAGCAGCGACAGCGTGCGGAGGGCTGGGACGGCCGCCTGTGAGCCCGCGGAGGAGAAGGCTGTGCTGCTGCAGGCTCCCGCCCGGCTGCTGAGCCCCGCGGCTGTCAGGCACGGGCTCGCGCCTTCCCAGGGCCAGCACGGACCGGGCGCCCTGAAGACGAGAGAAAACCCAGGTATAGCTTTCAGCTCGTTCGTTGGGACTGGCTGTGTAAACGAGCTGTTAGTGCCTCTGAAGGAAACTTGTGTAGCTTTGGCGCTGCTGGGTTTCCTTGTCGGTGCGTTTTCTCTAGCGCCGAGAGCTGTCTACAAAACATTTCTTGTAGCCAAACCGTTGAAGAGAGCGTTCCGTTTTTCCTTTATGTTTAGTCCTTGTTCTCATTGCAGCGATGTCTTTGCCTCGCCCGGCCCCAGAGCTAGCAGTGGTGCAGGACGCGTGGCTGGCAGAGCTCGTTGCGGGGTACCAGAAGGGCGCAGTGAACCCAGTGTCAGCCCTGCACCGCTTTGCACAAAGGTACGGCATGCAGCTTGATTTCAAAGAGACCGGTGTGGCAGGTAAATGCTTCTTTCTTTATATATTCTTTATATGTTTGAGATTATTTCAATTTCTTGGGCTAGCATTGATGCCGCTAACATAAGTTATTTATTTATTTTTTAATGTTGGTTGCACTCCCCTCACATGAGCGTTTTTTTCCCTGGGAAGCGATTGCCTTTCTCATTCTCGTGGCTGCTTGCTGCCCTTTCGGAGCTGTTGTGCTTTGGTCAGAATCTGGTTCTAGCTTCCTGACTGAGCTTCCTCATGACTGCCGTGTTCCCAGTTTTGTGTGTTGTTTTTTCTTCCTGTAGAAGCAGTTGTTCTCCTTTGGGGTGCAGCGTTTGTTTGCTGCCCTGGAACTTTTTTTATTTTGTATTTTGTCCGGGGGGCAGAGTCAGGAAACCTGAGCATTCCTGCGATCCCTCTGTAAGAGAAGTTGTCCTTTTCCCTGGTGGTCTTTCCTCTTACATTCATTCCAGCTTGGGCTGCGTTCTGAGCAGGGCTGCATATAATGTTCTGAGCGAGTTTTCTGTGCAGTAGCCTGCTCACCTCAATGGTCTTGCATGATGTGGGCAAAACTTTTGCTCGTTTGTGTTAGGATTTATCAGCTGATGATTTGGAGGAGGGCCAGCCCTGTTTTTCATGAGGAATTCCCTTATTCTGCTGAAGAGCTGTAAGTTGAATCAGATGTAGTATGCTGTTGTGTTCCAGTTTCTGTCTGCGAGTCTAAATCTTTTCATTTAAAACTTACTACAAATAATTGTGTGTTGTGGCTAAATAGCAGTCTTTTTCCTTATTTCAGGTGTTTCAGTGTTCCCTCTATAAAGCAGAGGTTCTGTATTTGCAAGTTACCTGACAACTTTCCTGTTATTATTTTTTCTGTTGCTTTTTTTCACCCCGATATAGTTCTTTTTTAGTATTTATCCCTCTCATACCATGTGGTAGGTGTGCCTCTTTGTTACATTACCATAGGGCTTCTTCCTCATTATTTTAGTATTAAGATGAATATTACTTAACATGCATCTATTTCTGGGATTTTTGTCCCAACTCTATTTTGTTTTTCTTGTTCTCAAATCTTCAGAAAGGTGACAGGAGAGGTCTGGATAGGGGTAAGCTCTTTTCTCCCAGTCTTTACTGCTGTTATGGAGGTTTCTCACAGTTGCCCTAGTAGAAGTTTTCTATGAATGCAGGCTGGATGACTTAACAAGGTACCTCATCAGTATGGGAAAGCTAGCCATTTGAGAGATTGAAGGCTCTGCTCTGTAAATATATTTTGATCTGCTCTTTTATTAAGCTATTTTATCTTGCTCTCTGTAGGCATAAGATTACTTTTTTTAAATGCATGTCTTCTCTGAAATGCAAATAATTAATAAACTTCTTTGGTTGCATCCAATTTCTTCCCTTGCTGAGCATAGTTCTGTCACAGGTTGCCTTGCTTTAATTAAAGAGGGCTTTTGTTGCCCTGTCAGTCATTGTTTGTCCGATGAGCTGACAATGGTGGGTTGCTTGCCCTACTTACTGACACTTGGAACTGGTGTGGTGGTTTTGCCAGGCAATTTGGAAAATGTGGTGTTTTGTTAATACTTGTTAGAGCTGGAAGAGAGCTTTATGAGAAGTATAGTGAATGAATACTGTCAGGATACTTGTGGAGGTGAAAGGTATTTTGTTATAATCATCTTTCTGTCTTGTACTGATGTTTGAAATAAATCTAAGTGCATAAAGCTATGGAAAAGAATACGTTATTTAGTGTTACTAATCATGATTTTCTTTTTCTCCTTAAAAGGGCATGCCATAAGTTCTTATTTTGGCATTAGTGCTGTGTTGGATGGTGTTTACTACAAGACAGGATTGGGAAGAAGCAAGAAGGAGTCTAAGCAGAGTGCAGCTAAATTGGCTCTTGATGAGCTACTGAAGTTGGAGTATATGGTGGTACCAGCTTCTGGAAAGTCAAGTAAATATTCAAGCAGTACTTGAGCAGAACTTGAAAAGACTTGCTTAGAGCTTTTCTACCTAAAATCCCTGTGTAGCTTTGTGAAATGCTTTGGTGTCACAACCTCTGTCAGTTTTGAGTCCTTTTGCCAGTTATTTGTTGTTTAGTTTTGAAATTCTTTGTCTCCTCTGTACTATGAGTTGCATCAGAGTTGTATGCACAGAAGGGAGAATTGCAGAAGGAATTAATTCATCTGTTGCACTTGATTTACTAATTGCTTGATTACAGCAGTATCAAGTTGTTCCCTGAGTATGTTTGAATTTCTATAATTATGTTCTCGGATTTGTGTTACTACTTGCAAAAGAATGAAGTTACCATAATGTTTACCTTTATTTAAGGATTGTTGCTTAAATAGTTCCATTCTTATAAGGGCTTCAGAAAAAAATCTCCCATTCTTAAAGAATTAAAAGGTTAAATGTTCTGAAAATAGTGTTTGATCTGTGTTTTGAAATTTGTATTGTTGATGCCTATTGGAAGTTGTCTTGAATCCTCAGGTCCTCCCCGTATTCTGGTTGAGCCTGAAACTCCAGCAAGCTCTATTGATGTTTCAAGGATCAGTTTTGGTAAGGAGTTGTTTATCTGTGTGATCTGAATCTATAAAGAAAATATTTTGTTTTTGTTTAATGCTTTTAAAACGCTTTGTGGTCTGTATGAGGGTTCTGTTATTTTATACATGTTGTCTTCACAGAATGATGGAAGAATTAGTCACTTAAGTAGCACATGGACAAGTGCTGACAGACACAACTCAAGTGAATTTCATGAACTAAAATCTTGAATCAGGGATAGGAACGGATAAAGCCTTGCTGTCCTTCTTTGAAGTATCATGTCTGGTATATGATAAACTTTATCCATGTTCCTAGTTTACCATGAATAGTAAAACCATTAAGTGTTAGCAGTATTCTTGTCTTTCATTTATTCACATCCATCCTTGTAATTGTCAGAGGCACAAGTATATGTTGGTGCTAGTGCTTTTACCATGTCTGTAAATTTATTATCTGCTCAGTGCTTGATGCTGCCTGTTTTTCCCTCTGCACATTTGTGTCCTGCTGGCTTCTAATGTTCTGTTTAGAAGGACGACACCATATATATCAGAAATTTTTGCAGACGGTTGAAGGAGTATTTAACAGCCTGACTGCTGAAAATCCTGAGTACCAAAGCTGTGGAGGTTCACTGGCAGCCTTCATCATTGAGAAAGGCAAGTCAGTTTTGATGCAGGATACTGGGGCTTGAGCAGTCTAGCCTGTATTCCCTAGGAGCCTTGATTCAATGTGTTTCTGACCTTGCACGTAAACAGTAGCTGTTCTTTGACATACTCTTTATTGTTGGCTTCATCGTAAATATTCATTGTGTTTCAATGTGCTGTCTTAAAGAGGAATCGGACTAGAATCTCGATTGGAAAAGGCCTCTAAGATCATCCAATCTGAACGACCATCACCACCAGTATTTCCCACTAACCCATGTCCCTCAGTACAACATCTAAATGTTCCTTGAAACCTCTGGGAACGGTGATTCCACCACCTCCCTGGCCAGACTGTGCCAGGGATTGACAACTGAATAAGTTGAATAAGTATTTCCTAACATCCAACCCCCATCTTGCCAAAACCTCCTTTCAGGCAGTTGTAGAGAGCTATAAAGTCACCCCTGAGCCTCCTCTTCTCCAGACTAAATAATCCCAGCTCCCTCAGCTGCTCCTTCTAAGAGTTGTTCTCCAGAACTCTCACCATCTTTGTTTCCCTTCTCTGGACGCACTGCAGGACCTCAGTATCTTTCTTGTTGTAAGGGGCCCAAAACAATGCAGTACTCGAGGTGCGGCCTCACTAGTGCTGAGTACAGAGGTATGATTACTTCCCCGCTCCTGCTGGCAATGCTCTAATACGAGCCAGGATGCCATTGGCCAACTGGGCACACTGCTGGCTCATGTTCAGCTGAGTATTGACCAACACCCCCAGGTCCATTTCCTCTACGCAGTCTTCCTACTGCCCTGCTTCAAGCCTGTAGCATTGCCTGGGGTTGTTTTGGCCAAAGTGCAGGCCAGCACTTGGTCTTGTTGATCTTCATCCCATTTGCTTCAGCTCAGCAGCCCAGCCTGTCCAGATCATTCTATAGGACCTTCCTTTCCCCAGGCAGATAAACACTTCCTGGCAGCTTGGTGTCATCTGCAAACTTACCAAGGGTGCACTCAGTGCCCTCATCCAAGTAATCCATAAAGATATTGAACAGGACAGGCCCCAGTACTGACCCCTGAGGAGCACCATTCATGACTGGTTGCCAGCCGGATTGGTGCATTGGTGTAGATGCACTTGAGCTGAGCCCTTTGCCCTCCCCACCCCTGCAGTCCTACATTGTTCCCCTAGGCTCATCTCTGGCAGGTCTGGTTTTATCCCCTCTCCCCTTCCTATCTCATTTAAAGCCTTCTCTACGAGCCCTGCCAGCTCCTGGGCTGGGATTTGTTTCCCCCTTTGAGACAGGTGAGACCCATCTGCATGTATCAGGCCAGGAGCAGAGTAAATTGCCCCACGGTTAAAGGAAACCGATGTTCTTGCACCAGTAAAGCCATATAGAACAGTAATCCCTACTCTGTCTCAGTTGTTTGGTCTTTATTTTGGTACTTACTGTTTAATTTAACTTTGTGTTTTGACTGACTGACCATTGTGTTTTATTGCATGTGTGTTTTCTTCTTAGGTGGAGAGCATAAAGTCGTAGCTCTAGGAACAGGAGACTGTAATTACAGCAATGATTATTCACCTGAGGGAAGAGTGGTGCACGACAGCCATGCCATTGTTACTGCACGGCGTTCTCTTCTCCGGTGAGATTCTGCGTACAAGTTGTTACTGCTACTTTTGTAGCCAGTTCTTAGTTTTACTTTTTTGAGAGTAAATACAAATACATTTGCATTTATTTAGTGTGTCCCTTTGAGATTATTTTTGAGTCAGTGTAAATGAAATGTGAATGTTCACGTGTTTTTAAACAATTTAGTATCTCTTACGCCTGTTGTCACCGCTTCATTTTAGATATTTTTATCGACATCTTTTGCTGTTCTATAATGAAAATCCAGCACACAGAGAGCAATCCCTGTTTTGCACAGCACCTGACTCGAAGCTTCTTACCCTAAAGCGGAATATAAATATCTATCTCTATATGAGTCAGCTGCCAAAAGGATCTGCTCAGATAAAAACACAGTTGTAAGTACCCAGGTATTCTCAGAGGTATTGTAATGGAAAGTTAATTGGTTTCGGTGATCACCATGAGTGTGAAAAATGCGTTGTTGCATGTTTAAAATAGTGGGGAAGCCTCTGCTGAATTGTGATTTCAGAATGTTATTTTATTACGGATTATCTAGTTATCTATTAACCTCTACTCTGAGATGGTGTTAGTTTCCACATTGAGGAAGCAAATGTGGTGACAATGTCATCCTTTACACCACAGGGCTAGGCTGTAGTCTTGAATTGTGTATGCTATGGAAAGTGTACAGAGTTGTTCTGCTTCGTTGGAGGATGGGAAGAGGTAATGAGCAAGACTTGATGAGGCAAATAGACTCCTCTGCTTGCCTCCATTCTTTCTAGCTTTTGTTACGTTCTTGAAATTTTAATAGTTTTGAGATTTAACTGAAGCAGTCGATTTATCCAACTTGTTTTGAGCAGTATTACTTTGTTCTCTCAAGTAGTGGTATGGTGGTTTGCCTCTTTCAAACTTTTGCAGTCAAACTTCTTCACGTGTCCAAGGCAGCTCAATTCTTTCATACTGTGTTTTGGTGTTCAGAAAACAGTTTGCAGGCTGGAAGTCGCAGCCAGTTCATCCCCAGTCGTGCTGACTGGGGGAGCCTTTCCCACTAGAATTGCTGAAGGTTTTAGGTATTATTTTTTCTGTATCAAAGCCCGTTCTGAGAAAGCAGTAGTTAATGAAACTGGATGCAGTTTGCCAGCTACTTCATAGTGGTTGATTGATCACATATTGTTTTTTTTTTCTTTTTGTCTGGTCTGGTCAAAGAGACGAACTCTGAGAAATGCTTTCTTCTGATACAGCAGGTTGGCTTATGTATCAAGTGAGTTAATTTAAGGATAGGTTTTTAGAGGGAAGTTACTTACTTAGAAGTGATTGTGGAGAAAAAGCACTTTATAATAATTTTTGAGTACTTTCCTCACTGAGATTTCTTTTTTTTGTCTTACTTTAGATGTCTTAATCCACATTCTCTAACTGCTTGCCAAGCTGCTGAAGAACTGTGTCTCCATGTCGCTATAGAAGGCAAGGTTTATCTTTCTCTTTCTTGTCCTTCTAAAACTGTGAGAGTAATAAGTATGTCAGCTAGTGACAAGTTAACAAAATGGGAAGTGGTTGGCGTTCAGGGAGCGCTGCTGAGTTACTTCATTGAACCAGTGTATATCAACACTATTCTTGTAGGTAAGCCTGATAAACTTCAGTCTTTTATCTGTGTTTTCATCTTCAAGTTTGATTATATTTTATAATAAAATTAAAATGGTGAACTGAATGAAGTTGTTTGGTTTCCAAAGAACTGCAGAATGTTTTGTTTTCACTTACTTTGGAATTGTCCTAATGTAAAACTGTCTCATTTTTTTGTCATTGTGTTTTTATTTAGCTATTGTTTTATAATAGATAAAATGTTTAATACTGAGAAAGTACCACATACCTGAGATGTGATGAATGTGATGAATGCTGTGTTAGCTATTTGGTCACATGTGGTGACTTCAGGGTGACAGTGTACTCGGCTAGTGGTAGAAATGAGTAGTTGTGGAAAAACTTTCCTAATACAACTGAAAACACCAAAATGCTCAGTTTTGCCCCAGGGAAGCTTAACAGCTCTATGAGAGTGTCTTGGAGTCTTGATGGTTGGTTTTTTTTTTCCTTTTTTTTTTTTTAAACACTTGGTTTTCACTAGTTTCTATTGGTCATTGTAAATAGATGTCCTGTTCTGGAACAGAAATTATCAAGGTGATAATAAGTTCTCAGGGTTTTGTAGCATTCAAAGAGGCAGTACCGCTGTCAAGAGTACGCATTTCTTTGTGTGATGGAATTAGTAAGTATTATCTTCAAGATTTTAATCTCTGTGCACTTGTATTATGAGGCTTAGTACACAAGTCTCTGAACTCCCCAGACATTGAAGCTGTGGCACAGAACAACTGCCTGATGAGTGTAAGGAAGTTTGGGCACTCTTACTTAAAAGAAGTGATGCAAGAGCTTCTCAGGTTCACTCAAGTGTTGTTCAAAGTAAATAGTAATAAATCTATAATGTTAAATAAAAGAGTAACATATTATATGAATACTCCTTGAAGATGCTCAGGACCGAAGTGTGTTTATTTGGTAGATATTTTATGATTATTCCTTGAGAAGCAACAAAAATTAAGTTCGTTTAAGCAGTCAATGAAAGTGTGTAATGAAGATCTGCAGCTTGATAGTTTCTGGTGTAAAAGCCTGAGAACTTTTCTTGAGTAAGATATGTTTCAGTATGGACAAATATTGAGTAAATTCACTAGGGTGTTTACTAATCTAGAACATCAAAGTTCTGTTTTAATGGTGTCCCAGTGAAAAGTTACAGAGTAGTTACCACTTTGGAAAGGAGATGTCCAATGAAAATAACAGTCTTCTGAAAGAAAAAAAGACCTCAAGTTTTGCAAAACAAAAATACTGGAACTGATTTTTCAAGTGAAATCTTTTTGGAGGAAAAAAATGAATGTTCCAATGACCAATGGAAACAGATGGGTTCTTGGCTGCTTTATTGATTTATTTTTTGTTTGTTGATATAATTACATATGACTGGCTTTGTTTTTACTAGGAAATGGAAATTGCAGGAGTTTGAAGGGGTTAGAAATAGCTATAAGACAACGGATTGACGATGCGCTCACATCAAAGCTTCCAGTGCTTTACGTGGTCAACAGATCGTTTACTTACTTGGTGAACACCGTACAACCAATTCAAGTGAATGTGAAACAGAGGTCTCTTAGTTTGAATTGGATGTTGTCAGATGTGCAGCTGGAGGTTGTGGATGGGCTAAATGGAAAAGTCACTGAAAGGTCAGATTTCTTTTCTTTGTTCCTTACATTGAAAATGCTTAGCCTTGTCATTCTGTGCATTTGAATATTCAGCTTTTAATCTACACGTAAAGGCTACAGTATAATCCAATTGAGAGGGATTCTTGTGTTAAATGTATGCATCCTGTATTTAGACACAGTTTTAGAGATCTTTCAGTGACATACCAAAATATGAAATAATGTATCATGTGTTCTAGTGAATGCTTTACTTTTCAAAATATGTGCTACCAAACACTTCAGATGAATTTCAGTTTGAAAACTGTTCATGGTCATCTTATTTTATAATTCAGCTGCTGACTTGTGTCAGCTTTGCTCATTCAGAGCAGAAGCAACATTATGTGATTAAATTCGCAAAGCACTGGGGCAAAAAAACCCACCCTGTAACAATCAAAGCAATATGCCTGTAATGTATTTCTTACTGAGATTTACTGTGCTCTTTGTTATTTTACTTATAGTTCGCCATTCAAAAGTGGCTCTTCCATGGCAAGCCGCCTTTGTAAGGCAGCAATGCTGAGTCGTTTCAAGTGCCTTGCTGGGCGAGCAAAACGAACTGATCTGCTTCAAGTCGCTACGTACCATGAAGCTAAGGTAAGCTGCAAAAGGAGAAGAAATAAAGGAGGTCTCGTAATGGCTGCTCTCAAAACCAGTTCAGTTGGCTGCAGTGACTTTCTGTATTGCTTCCTAGATTTGCATGAGCAGCTGGATTCCATTATTGCCTTGTAATTTTTACCTGGGCACCTCTGAAATCGCTGTTTTCAAGTAAAATCAATCCACTGTATCAGTCTTGACACGCTTCCTATTAAAATCTTCTATACTTTGGCTCAGGATAGAAAGACTAAACATTTTTCTCACAGTGAGGCTAGTTTCATACTGGAAAATTCTTCTTTTTTTTTTTTTTTTTGAAAATCACAGCTTTATATTCAATTTGTAGGTAGAATATCTACATAGGTAGATAATTTTTCTACCTATGAATTGGTAGTATTCAATGAAGTATTTTTGTGGAAGAATTGAGAATTTCATATTAAACTTTTTGAAAGCTTTATTTTTCTTTTCAGAATATTCTGCAAGTGGGTTTTTTGCACATGTGCTGGTTTTTTTCTAATAAAGATTTTTTTTAAACTACTTAAAGCAGAATGGCTTGTTAATTGACTGCTTGTTCACATATACTTAGATTTGCATTGGACGACATTGACTTGTTTTCTGTCTTTAAAGATGTTATTGGATCTGAAGAGATGTTGCAAAACATACATATTGTATTTAACTGAGGAGTTCTCCCATTCCAATAAATGATTGAATGTACAAAAATAGTATGTTTTTAGATTCTATAATGTTTTCCATCCAGCATTGAACAGAACTATAAAATTTGTAGGCTTTGCTTTCAGCAAGGCTTGTTCTTATGCATATTATATGATGGCATTAAAGAATGCAGATCACTGTAACCATTATAGTTGAGATCTTTCAAGATTCTACCTTTTCTCTTTCAGGTCAAGTCTAATTTGTATCAGGAAGCTAAAAAGTTGCTGTACAGCTACTTAGAGCAACATGGTTATGGGTCCTGGATTGTGAAGTCTCCACATATTGAACAGTTCACTGAATGATTGCAAGATGGATTGTATGTGGAGTCCATTTTCTTTTGGTAAAATGAGATGCTAATTAGTAGAAAGTTTAGCTGTTGGTAAAATGTTTAACTGCTGGGTTCATGTTCACAGTGAGAAAATTGTTGAGCATATGTGTCCAACCTTCTAGTTTTATAATTGTGGCCCATTTTTTTTTTCTTGTTTAATAAAAAATGAAGCTTTGTTACTTGCATTTACTATGTTATGTATCCTACATGCAACACAAGAAAGTTGATTTTTTCACTCTGTGGCCCAGGTGAGATAAAAGGTTGGACACCCACTACATGTTGTAGAGCTTCCTACTGTCAACTTAATTACAGTTATTAAACTGACTGTAACAGTGAAGTTTTTTTTCACAGATAGGAGTATGTAGCATCATTGCATGTCTGTTTTGTTTTAACTTCCAGCATCACCTCATTCCCTCCCCATGCTATGGAGTCTCTTATGTGCTAAAGTTCCTGTTAGTTGACTGTGCCTCAAACTTTTCGTATGCCTTTTCATAACTATCTTTTTTGGGAGGAAATCAGTAAAAGTATGACTTCTTTAATAAATAGATAATTATTCCTGTGTGAATATTACTTTTGGAAAGCAGTATTGACTATCTGTGCTTTACCTGTATGTGTCTTCTGTTGGATATGATTTTTGTTTAGCATGGATTCATCACGTGGCTTATAATTCACTACATACTGTTTGTGGTCTTTGTACTTCAAAAAGTGAAACTGAATTATCAAGCTGTTACTCAGTTGTTTTGTGACAAGCAGTCTCTTCACTAGTGAGTTTAAATCGTCTTAAAGATTTCAAAGTAAATAAAAATAGTATGATGTAGAAGTCACCAGTAACAAGGTTCCTTCGGTTTTTGGAGCTCCCTTAACAGCAATTGTAGATTAGTTGGACACCTTCTCCCACAGAGTACGTAATTGGTGTACTTGTTTGTCTTTGCAAAATTGTCTCTGTATGGAATAGTCTGAAAAGTGTTGCTTATTGAGAGGGCTTTATTGTAAATTACCATAATATTACAGTGGCAATTTGGTAATGTTTGGGTGTTAACCATTATCGGTTTTTTTCAGACTGTTTTGTGTGTTGTGAAATACTCATATATTGATGCCAGATTCTGTGCTGTGTTTCTTGATTTTTGTATTTCATATAAGTTTGGGAAGCTGTTACGTCGAGTTTCTGTATATCAGTAATAGTTGAATTTTGGTTTCTTATTGTAAGATGATTATAAAACAAGACTTGACAGTAATTTTTCCTTGAATGGCTTTTTTAACTGGCAAGTTGAATCTTCACTGAAGACAACCTTACAGCAAAGTTGTTGTTTTTTTCATAATGCTAAAACTATTTTATGTATTCTTGACAGTCTGTTAGTGTTTTATGTACTTCCGGACAGTTTCTGTATATGGTTTTAGGCCTTTGGGACATGACTGAGGTGTTTAATGCTATTAAGCTAGAAGCTTAAATATGTACAAATAACTCCATTTTCTTTGTGTACTTGAGGCATTTTATTAATTGAACAGCAAACTAAAACTTCTGTGAAACTTAGTGTTTTTTCAAGGAGAGAAGTTTTTTTGTGAATGAGATCTGGTAAGGTGTGTTATGATAGCTGTATCCTTGAGGCATCACTTGATCACAACAGCTGGACTCAGTTTTTTTTATTTAGACTGTTTGTTAATGAATTAGGAGCAAGTGAACTATGCGTTCAGGTAGTAAATTGATGCATATACTGTTATCAGTTTTTCTCACCTACTTACATAGCTCCAAAGTACACTACACTTTTCCAAGGGCTTTTGAAACTATTTCTGTTAAGGAAAAACAGGTTCTGATATATCTAAGTATGTATCCAAACTCGTGAGAGGCAAGATTGCTGTTGCTGCTCCTGGCATCAGGCTGAATGGGCATTCCTGTCAGGCACATGCATGCAGAGCATGTGTATATACCCCCTATAGCCGGCACCAGTGCACAAAGTCTAGCAGGTGAGGGTCCTCTTACGGAGGCAGCACCACTGCCCTGTGGTTAAGAGCTCAGCTGCTGCTCTCTCTGGCTGAGCAGAAGGGAGATCATCTGATTAGAACATGTCTCTGGGCAGGATGGAATCCTTCAGCAACTAGGCTGAGACCATGTTTGTCCAGTAGCTGTTGGTTTCTGGACCTGGACATAAAAGCCTCTGAGGTTAGAGCCCTGGGCCAGTTTCTGTTTAATTATATAGCTGACTAGGACTCCCCTACTCCCATAGCTCTTGAGCCTAGAGCCTTGGTGGTGTTCTTACACCCTGAAGTGGCCTTAGGGCGCCACTCAGAACCCTCTTGCTCCCAAGCCTCCTTGCCTACTCACCAGCTCATTCTGTTTATTGCTGGTGATCATGGGGTTAGTTGCTCTGTATACACAATGGTACTCCTGACTACATTAGCACTCAGAGCCCTGTACATGTACATACAGGCAGAGTGGAGAGGAATGTGGTAGCAAGGAATTTTATGGGATAGGACAAGACCAACCCAGGCAGGTGTGCTGACTAGTGTACCATATACTTACATGACTGGCCCTTTGTATCTCCTCAACAATCAGTTCTGCACACTCATCTTCCCCAGGTCAGCTAAACACCTCTGCTTCCTTCTAAACATCCTCTTATTAAGTCCTGGGCAATCCTCAAATGCTCATGTCCTTCATCCCAGGAATGAGTCCCATCCCCTAGACCAGATGTGTCCAACCCACAGCCTGCTGTCTGTCCTGTGCCGTTATGGCACTGGGTCTTCCCCACTGAGGCCTGATCTGGCTCTGAGCATACTTCCCTCACATAGCAACAACCAAACTCAGGTGTGTTATTAGCACTGTTTTGGCTGAAATTAACACAAGGGTGGAGGGGGCACAGCACACTGCTTATTCAAGTTACAGCAAATAACTTAATGCATTTTGGTACTGGCTAAACACAGTCCTGTGGACAGTGAAGAATATGCATCCATCCATGCTTTCTGTTTTGGTGAAGGAATTTCAAAATAGGTTCAAGGTGGCTGAAAAAAGTAGCTTTTTTTCTGTATATTTGCAACTCCATTTTCAGTTGATGTAAATGCATTACCTGCAAATTTTCAAATGGAATGTATAGAGTTGCAATTGAATATTCAACTCAAAGATCATATCTCTTTACCAGATTTTTATAAGATCTGTCTTACCAGACAAAAATATCCCATGCTTTGCCATCACATCTTATTCGTGTCATTGCTTTTTGGCAGTACATACGTTTGTGAGCAAGTGTTTTCAAAGATGAAGTATAGGAAGAGTAAAATTTCATTTAAAAATCACTAATGAACACTTTGATAAGTTACTAAGAATTGCACCCACTTCTCTTGAATCAGGCATTTATGCAGCAGTTTCACAAAAATGAGGACGAATTATCCCACTAGCTTTATGGTTTTGTTTTAATTAAAAAAAAAAAAAAGTAAACAGTGAGGCTCAAGACAATTGCTCTTCATTCACTGTGGCCCAGGCAAGCCAGAACGTCGGACACCCATGTGTTAGAGAATGGATGAGCTTGGATGTGCAGCCAGGTGTTGCATGTAGGATAGAGCAATGCCAGACGTTGGCTCACACAGGAGACAGGTGGCTGGAGCAGCTCAGCAGAGAGGGATGTGGAGATGCTGGTGCTACCATGAGCCAGCGGTGTGTCCTGGCAGCCAAGGGGACAAACAGACCTGTGATGTGCATTAAGCACAGTATAGGCAGTCAGTTGAAAGAGGTGATTCTCCTGCAATATTTAGTATTGATGTGGCCTCACCTTGAATACTATGTGCAGTTCTAGGTTCCGTAATATTAGAAGGATGTTAAGGTCCTTGAAAGCATCCAGAGGATAGCAACAAAACTTGAAGGCATGTCCTATGAGGAGAGGCTGAGGACGCTGGGTTTGTCAGTCCTGGAGGAGGCTATGAGGCGAGCTCACTGTTCTCTGCAGCTCTCTGAGGAGAGAAAGCAGAGGGAGGTGCTGGGCTTTGCTCCTGGGTACCAATGGCAGGAGCAAAGATGTACTAGTGAGGTTCAGACTGAACATTAGGAAACATTTCTTTATTGTGAGAGTGATCAAACTCAGGAACAAGCTTCCTAGAGAGGAGTTCGTTGCCCCATCCCTGTCAGTGTTGAGATGTTTGGACAGTGCCTTCAATTATAGGCTTTAGTTTCTGCTTAGCCCAGAAGAGGTCAGGAAGTTGGACTAGGTTATCTTTGTAGTCCTCTTTCAACTGAACTAAACTATTGTGCTGTATATACTTTTTAGGAAATGTGCAGTCATGAAATATCAAAATAAAAGTAAGAATCTAGAAGGCATCATGAGTACAAGCATCTGCAACACAAACAGCTTTTCTTCTACCTACCTTAACCAGCTGTGTGTTTCAGCAGTCTTTGTAGTGAAGCAGATACTTTTCTGAAAAGGTAACTTGAACTTGGAAATGCTAGACAGGGGTCAGGCCAGTCAGAAAATGTAGTTTTGGAAATCCAAACAGAGTATGGCTACTGTACAGAAGTGATGTTACAGTCCCCAGAACTAACTCCAGTTACCAAAACTGCCATTTTCCAAGACTGTAAGTAACCTGCATCTCTCTTAACTGCAGCCTGACTCCAAAGCAGTTTGTGCAGACAAAAAAACAACGAAAACTTGTTTATAGTTTCATATTCCATGTGTTTCATTCCTAAAATTGTTGGTGATTCCATCTTCCTTATGATCGTGGGATAAGAATCTCTTCATGGTCCTTTTTTTTTTGTTGTTTCTGAAGAACTGGACTGTTAACTCCCTTACACTTACTGCTTAATACTTCTGTTTAGGGACTTAGAAGAGGTGTTGGTTATTCCTTTTCTGGTGTGTGACTGTATGGGTTAATCCCAAGATCGGTTCTACCAAATCATTAAAGTTTTCCCATGCTGAAATAAATGATAAAGAAAATCCTATTTAGTAACAGGTGTATACTCAGTAAAAACTGCTCCTGTACCTCCTTTGTGATCGCTGGAAACTAGGCATCTACACAGATAAATGTTCATAGTGTTTGTACTGGAACATGTTTGTCTGCCAAACCACACGTTATGTGTGAAGCTGCTAGCTCAGGGAGCTGCTTTTTGCTGTAGATTAGAGGTTTTAGATGCCATAGATTTAAGAGATTTAGAAGTTTATTAAGTAACCCAATGAAAAATATCAAATTAGAGATAATCTACAAATATATCAATATCAATGAGTTACAATCATATCATAGTATGTTCTTACAACTGTAAAAGAATTCATTTTAAATCATGTAAACTTGTGTATTTGCTATTGAACTGTAAATTGACTTCTGTTCTCTTCCTAATATTCAGGTTTCAGGCAAGCCTCCCTTACTCCCCAGCTTCCTACACTAAGTTTTTTTTTGGACGCAAACACAATGGAGTGTCCAACACTAAGTTTTTTTTGGACACAAACATAATGGAGAGTCCAGCAGGTGTTCAGGGTACACTTTGGATTTGGCTGTGCTGGTTAGTATCACTGCTAGTGGTCTCAGCCTTATTTGGATTAATTGCTTTGGTCACTTAGACTTAGGTGGCCTAGCAAGATTCTGCACACTGAAGTTTATCTGCAACTGTAGTACTCAGTAGTCAGTCAGTACTGTTCAGGTCACGCTCGCCCAGATGTTTTTAACACTAGTCTCTCTGATGCTATCTTATAGGCTCAATGCTTACTATTGTTCCTCTTTCCTTTGAAGGAGATTATTTTAATTTTTTTTATTTTTTTTTTTTTCTGCTTGCAAGAATTTATCCCATGAAAAGGAAAGTGTGTACAAAAATGTAGCATTCTGTAAATACTGACAAAGGAGAAAGAAATTTATAACAGTTATTTTCTGGTTTCTAGTCTGGCTGTATTTAGGTCTTACTGTTGCTACAGGCTGTCACTTGAAAAGCAACTGATTGAGAAGAGGGTGGGGCTGATCTCTTTGTGGCTAAGATGATTGACAGTATTTTACTTTTCAGAGTCATCGTGGGTGGGGGCAAAGCACTTCACTGTGGGAAGAGAAGTGGAGCAACAGATACCGATGCTGTGAGTATTTTCTCAGTTTTGGCAGAAAGCTAGCATTAGGCTTATTTTCTCTTCACAGCAGTCAAGAAAACTGCTGTGTTTTCCATTGTTAGTCTGTTTTTAAGTATGACTTGAAATACTCCATACCACACCCACCAGCAAAACACATCAAAGACTAAATGATAAAATGATAACTGTTGTAGTATGGCTTACTTTCATCAATTACAGTTTGCATTGCTAGCATTTAGTGGTGGTTTTGGGGTTGTAAAAGATGCTCTTCTTAGTTGTTTCCTTCTGCATAAATCTTAGAATGTCACGTGACTGACTCCATCTTCATTTGAAACACATTTCTGAGGTTCCACAAAAAGATTTTTGAGAATACTTAATGCAGTATGTGTTTGCTTGGATTTAAACATTAATTATCAATTTTATGTCAGTCATTGCTGGAAAGAACTGGCTATGTAAGTGTTCTGGGATGTTGGTACTTAAGTTACTTCTATATTTATTATTTCAGCTGCTTAATTGTTTCAGTTGTCTCTGGAGATTTTTGAGAACCACATATTTTCTTGCAGCATGGAGAAAAATAGTCCTGCAAAAAGTATATGAGACTGTGTAGCTAAGTAGAACAGGTAGTTTGGGATTTCTTTGGGTATTTTTTGGAGGGGCAAGTAGTTTGGTACTCTTGCATTTGTTTTTCCATGACATACCCTCTGCTGTATGCCAGCATAATCTCGTATTTTATATCAATTTTCAAAAACTGGGAAGACCTAGATTAGCTGCAAGTGTCTTGTTTTGAGTATAGTACCTGAACACTTGTATACTGGTAAATGTTGTTGACTTTGTAATTATAAATATTTTTTAAGCAGGTTAATGAGTTACCAGTGAAAGACAGTATCATTTAAAAAGGAAAACTCTAAACATGATTTTCATATGTTACTGAAATTTATTAAATGTCATCTAGAAGTGACTTTTAAAAATTCTTTCAGTAAATACTTGTCACTTTACTGACAATGTGAGAATCAATCAGTTTTCCAACATACATTTTGAGCCCGTAGGGCTTACAGAAAGGATCAAATATGATCTTAGAAACAGACGTCTTATCACCCGGACTAAGAGCATACAGTGGTCCCAGAATGGACAGCATATTAGTTAGCCACGGGATAAAATATATAAATTATTTGTAATTAAATAATTAAATAAATAATATAGCAGTAAAAATAAAAATGATTAGTTGCTTATTTTTGCATAGATCTCAGAAAGTCAGTCAGTTGTTGGAGAAAATCAGGAAAATTTTTCTTGTCGTTAGCTTCACAGATCTTGCATTCACCTTCTATGGGATTTAGATCCTGCAATACAGTAAGTTTTGTTAATTGGTGATAGCTCTCTTGCCATGTAGTTTTAGAATCCTGAATTTATGGCACAGTTTTCTGAACTACTACTTATCATCATTACCCTTCTAAAAACAGTGTAAGGTGACTTACATGATTTTGCATAGAAAACAAATCTCATACTTCTTAAAATGTTGACCTGTATAGTTAATTTGGCCCAACTGTTTTTAAGTCTTGGATTTTAATGCAAATAGATGTTGTCAAGTAGTTTGACATTACAGTGTTGTTGTACAAAATTCTTAAGCAACCACAACACAATAGCCGTAAGGCAAAAGAAAAGACAGATTCTGATGTTCTTTTTCATTATTGCTGAAACACATTTGCTTTTAACTAGCTGACCATAAAGATTACCTACCGTAAGTCTCTGGAGGTTCTTTTTGATATTTTGAAGAGCATTTTTAACTTCATTTTCAATTTCAGGCTCATCTTCAATTTCTTTCTTCAGAGTAACCATTTCTTCCAGGTAACACTGCAGAGTTTGCCGACTGCACTCCTAATACAGTAATCAAAATCAACACATATATAAATATATAGAGATATAGAGTATTTATATAAAATGTTTTTTGAAAAAGATCAAATTCTTTTTTTCTTAATTGCCCATTATTTTTTTCCTTGTATCCCTTTAAACAATATATAGTTCATTTTTTCCCACCAAGTCACATTATAAGATTCTACATGTGGCCCTAGTTCTGTGTTCATTCTTGCAGCTTTTGAAATGTAGATGATCTTTACAGGACATTTTAAATGATGGAATATCTCTTGAGAATATGAAACTGCTGTATTAGCTCTTAAACTGAGCCTTATTTCCAGTTGTTGTCTGGAAATCCTATCTTAAGAAAAGGATTACTAGTTAAGGCTCTATTTTACAGCAGCAATCGTCAATTAATGCACTTTGGTTCCTTTCTGTAATGCCTATATCTGGTCTTACAGTTGAATGTCTTGGAATCACAGCATTGCTTGGGTTGGAAGGGTCACAGAATCACAGAATGGCCAGGGTTGGAAGGGACCTCAAAGATCATGAAGCTCCAACCCCCTGCCGCATGCAGGGCCACCAACCTCCACATTTAATACCAGACTAGGCTGCCCAGGGCCCCATCCAACCTGGCCTTGAACACCTCCAGGGACAGGGCATCCACAGCCTCTCTGGGCAGCTGTTCCAGCACCTCACACTCTCTCTGTAAAGAACTTCCTTATAGACTATCTCGTTCCAAGCCTTTGCCCTTGGTAGGGCTGCCACCCTCTAAGTCATGCTGCCCAGGACAGCATCCTACCTGACCTTGAGTATGGGTACATCGCTTTACACATCACTCTTACAAGCTCTTTTAGGCACTTGGTGATAATATGCTATTAAATCAGCCTTACACATCTACATTTGAGCACTGGAGCTCTGAGATAGTTACATCTTGATCTTGCCAGCACAGAAGACAAATGACTCAGATAAGGAAGTGGTTCCAGAATCTGGTTTTAAATCTTTACTCAAACAAAATTTCTGTTGAGAATTCTGTTGGATTAAAAACTTAATTGGAGGCTCAAAGTTGTTAACTTGCATAAGTATCTTAACTACTTCCCAGTAACAAAGAAATTGATAATCTTGTTAGCTGCTTGTACACTAAATTAGAATATCTGTATAGATCAGCAACCTGTCAATGGTAAATAGACTGTGATAATGGTGTATTTAGAATGCTCCTGGACTCAGGTATGCAGTATTTTAGAAAAAAAAAGAAACCACAGTGACGGTATTGGCATGGAAATAAGTCTTACATATTTACTGAACACCATAAAATAAGAATTTACAGCTAAATATATCTAGGATGAGTTGGTTAAGTTTTACTTCTGAAAAGAGCTAGTTAGAGCATAATTAATTTCATTATTAATGAGATATGGGAGATATGTTAAAGAGAACCAGCTACTGTTGCTGCATCTGTTTTTGATAAAATATGGGCATTTTCCTAAGGATATTGCTGTATTTCAAAAGTTTCTAACTCTTTTTTCATTCTCTGAATTGTTCTGTTAGTGTTGATACAACAGTATTGCCTTCTGCAAATATTATACAACATACAATTGATTCATAGAACTCTTTTTGTGTGAATTGAACTGTGAAGTAAGCAAAATGAATACGGAGGATTAGTTTTATGTTTTGTATTGCACAGACCAAGAAAGTAATATCATTCATTATCTTGTTAATGTTTAAGAATATAAATCAAAGGCAGAAGTGTATTTTAGGAAACCATTCTACCCTCACACTGAATTCAAACACCTCAGATTTACTTTCTATATTGTCCCTTCTGATAAGTGAATCGTTTTGGTCTAAATCAATAATATATCATTTTAAAGTTGCCATATCTTAGATGATGATAGATATCTTAGATATCTGAAAACAGAAGGCTAAAGCTCACCTGGATCTCATTTGGTGTGTAGAGCTCGAGATGAATCTCCTGTAGAGAAGAGGGAGAAAAAGTTAATTTTTGAGGACAAACTGCATGGAAAAAAATAAGAAGAAAACATTAGCAGAAAAGAACTAATATAGGAAAACCATCACTTACGTTCTTGCTTTTTTCCAGTATTCCTAAATCTTTTATTAATGTTGGAAGAATTTCCATTTTTTCTGATGATAGCGATGCTCCATAAGCTGTAGTCACAAGCATTGCTACTGAAATACAGCTGAAGATCAGTACTTTGCACATCATGTCAGTGTCCCGATTATCTGTATGCTAGTATTCAAATTGTGATGTACAATGCGAGGTGATAAGTTGTCATTAAACTGTTTAGTATTTATACTCTTCTCTCTGGGGGGAAAAAGATGGGGGCGTCATGTAAAGAAGGTTTTTATTACACATTTTTTCATATGCTTTACCTGTATGGCAAGAATCATTACTTTTGTTTTTCCTCCCCGATGACACTTTGGAATTTTTTTTACTGCGAGAGGGATTTTACCTACATTCACTGGTGTAAGAGAAGCCCACACTCACTTTTGGCACTCACTCTCTCAGTGTGCTTTTTGCATGAAACACTTTTTCCCTCTTGGGCTGTCCCACTCCCTCATAGAATATGCCATACAGTATACTAGTGACACACCAAATGTTCTAAAGATGTGTAAGTTAACCACTGTGTCTACTGGTATATGTTTGTCCTTCTACAAATCCTGTGGCATCATTTAAGCACAGAAGAAAGACATACTCTCACTTTACTAATTGTTGTTTAAACAACAGGAAGAAAGCTGGCTTCCTGTCTGAAGGTGGTTTTACCTGTCATCGTTTGCAAAGACAGTTAAAAGCAGCTTAGGTGCATAGGTCAGTCTTTTATATGATCAACTTTAAAATGTGTATGGAAAAAAATCCATGAGGATGCTTTGTTTTGGGATGTTTAACCAAGTTTTCTGTTACTGGCATGTCTTAATGCTGTTCATTTTTCCTTGTGCATACCTTTTTCTTCTCTCCAGTTTAAAAATATTTACAGATTTTCATACTGATAGCCAAACCACTGCATTTTGTGGTGCATATTGCAGTACTGAAGTTGAGAGTCAGCAGTCGTTTCACCTTGGACTCTTGTTTAATATTGCTGTATTGTTTTTCTTCCTGGTTCAAAGGTCTGTTTGCTGATAATCTTGGAAATGCTGTGAGCAGTGTTTAAAAATCACAGTTTTCTTCATTTTGTGCACAGTTCTGAGCCACATACTCCCCCTGCTGCCCAGAAATCTCTGTCAAAAATGTTTTTTCTGCTCACTGCATTTTTCTGCTGAAGCCACATGGAAGAAATTCAGTTTCTGTACACTGTTGTGGGTCTACATGTTGTAGCATTCAGAATGAGGAAGTCTGGGCGGGTGACTGCTTCTTCATCCATTGCTATATGTGGAAACTAGATGTGGAAATCTGTTTTGTAGATTCTGACCATATAATATATATGTATGGGGCCGGGGGAGAACAATTCTGTTCAACCTCAGAATATGCTTTTGCTTGGGTTAGGATTAGTCCATTATTATAATTGTTTTTTATGAGTGTCTGTGTAACTGTCTGAAAACCATAAAACTGGTGTTAATCATCAGTGTGATCTCAGTACCTGTATCAGTGTGATCTCAGTACCTGGATAAATGAGTTTTCATTTCCTAGTTTTGAAATAAGCACAAACATTGAATGTGTACAGTCATATGGAAGTCTTAGTAGCTATTGTAGCTTACTGTTCATAGTAGGGGTGCAGTTTGCAACCTTTCCTGGCACCGTATCTTTTGTCTCATCTATTTATTCCTGATAGCAGTTAATTTCAGACAGGCTGCAGAGGCAAGCTACTGAGCAATAGGTTATGAGGTTTTTCTCTCTAAGGGTGCTTGTACAGTTCGGTCATTTTATTCAAGGATTTGAGGTTTTTCGTTTAACGTATTTTGTACAAAGCATTAAGAAATACCTCAATACTGAGCACAAGATACATTCTTATTGATAATGAAATTGGAATTACTGCTCACTACTTTCAGTGCTATTCGGTCTTTGCTGTTCTGTAATATTATAGAGACTTCTCATCTGTTTGTAAAGTAATCCCTGGAAATTCACTTGGAAGCAGTGAATTTGAGATTCTGAACTGAAGCCTCTCAGAATTAGTTTTTAGCATTGATTAGAAGTTGCTCCACAATATTTGTGGATCTAGAGAGAAGAATGTTCATGTCTTTCTTATAGAGGATTTTGTATACTTTTTGTAATACTTGTGCCTAATATAAAGGACTCATTTTTTTCTTCTGGAAACTAAAGTAAATGAAATAATGATCCCACTGACTAAATTTCTGGTATGCATTATACATGCCTTCAAAGTCTGGAAAAGTTTTTACATAGGATCTGATACTTCTCAGTTTTGGCTCTTATTCTTTTGTATATCTCTAAACTGAAAGCTTGCTTTTTTTTTTTTGATTTTTTTTTTTTTTCCCTGCAAACTTGATGACAGGTGAATTTTGGAGAGAACTTTTGGTTTCTTTGAGGTATTAGACATTTTGTTCATCAAGGTGCTTGCCTCCTTTCTCCATCACCAGAACAAAGTTGCATTCATCTAGAGTCATCATGTACCACATGTTTGGTATATTTTAGTTCATGTGCAGGAGTTTTTCAGACTCCTACTTCAGTAGCATGCTTTCACAAGATTACTGTCAATGAGAGTCATAGGAACCACAGTGAAGTTTTTATCTCTTGCAAAGTGTTAATTATCAACTTGTGATCACAGACTGTTGTTGACTTAACTCTTTAAATGTTTTCATGGCCCTTTAAAAAGAATTTTGAATAGTTGAGATTATATTCATGTTTACAGATCTCATACTTCTAAGCAATAATGACAAGAAGAATGCCTTTTTCATTAGGGAAACTCATGTAAACATGTTGAAGTAAAGGTTTGAATAAAGAATTGAGTGGTAGTTGTTCATCATTTGATTTTAAACCCTCAAAAAGAGCACCTTCTTTCCTTCTACAGCCTTTTGTCAGGTTTTCTCCTCAGTCAAGCCACGGTAGAGATTCATGACCTGGCATCCATTTAAGAAATGGATAGCTAATTCTATAAAAAGAACTCAATTGATAACAAAAGTGTAGAAGCTTAAAAAATAATAGAACTGAAGTGTATTTTAGTACACCTTGTAGAATGGAGCACTTCCTTCCAAAGTCCCCGTGATCCTAACGCTCAAAATCGCCAAGCTATTAAACAGGTGGATGCTGTATTTTCTGTTGAGCAACAATGACTGTAACAGTATCAGTTACAACTAGTAATCTGTCTGTCCTTGTTGCAGCATGTTTTTAGTAGGTACTAGAACAATTTTCAGATGAATACAAGGGATTTCAGAAAATACAGGAGGGAGTTGCTGGCTGTATTTATAAGGAAAGTTAAGAAAAGGCAGGAGAACCCATGAAATAATTTTCTTGAATTTCTTGATTCTTATAGGATTACAGTTTTCTGATTCACCAGTGCATGTGATAACATTTTCACTGGGACATAAAGGATGAAGGAAAGTATCCTTTGGATGGCTTGTAGAAGAAGAACAAATTAAGCAAGGAGTGAAATAGGAAATCAGAAGTTGCCATGTTGGATTAGAACAGTGGTTTTAGCTAGATTAATCTTGTTCCTGACAAGGGCAAGTACCTACTGTATCAGGCGCAAAGAAAAACACCCAAAGTGAATAATTCTTCAAGGAAAAAATGAAATAATGTTTCCTGCGAGAATGTCAACAACAAAAAAAGCTTTTGGCTTTACAAATTTAACAGATCTGAAAATAATTGATAATTGGGAATGTTTCCTCAAAACCTGTTTTAAAGTCATTTTTCATTGAAATGATCAACATCAGGATGGACCATAAATAGTTCTAATAGTTATAAACTAGCCTTTCCTTAAGGAAAGTAAATTACCAGATTTATTGTTGGTAGCAGTATGTTCTGAACATCCATTTCTATCGGTATATGAAATGCGGACAAAGATGATGGTGATTGAGGATCTCCAATGACTAGGAAAAAGCAAGAGCAACAACCAAAACAAAAGATGATGAGCTAGAGTCTGGTCATTGTCACCACAGTCCCTGGGCTGACAGGAAATATGTGAAGCTAAATAGGAGTGGAGTCTTGCACCTACAGAATACAACTGGCTGGGAACTGACTGTTTAGGGAGCTGCTTTGCCATAATCAAGGTGGGAGTTCTTGTGGACAAGTTGAACAAGTTAGCACTGTGTTTGTATCGTGTCTAGAGTTGCTGTGTAGAGTTTCTCTTCCCAGAGATGTTCAAAAGCCATCAGGCGGCTGGCTCTGGGTGACACTGCTTGAGCCAGTCGGCCTCCAGAAATCACTTCCAGCCTCAGCCATTCTGTGATGAAGATTAATGACATGCTGGACTGCATTAAAGAACTTAGTCAGGAAATTGAGGGAAGTGGCTGTCCCATGCTCCATGCTGTTCTCCTGTGGCTACATCTCAAGTCTGTGTTCAGGGCACCTAGAATAGAAGAGGCACTGATAAACTGAACAAAGTCTAGTGGCTCAGAGATACCACTATGATGGTTAAGAACCCATGATGTATGGGGAGTGGTTGAGGGAATTGAAGTTTCTGAGACTGAACGGAAAGTCATCCTCTCAGTCTCTAAAAGGAGATTATAGAGAGGATGGAGTGGGGCTCCTCTTGGGGACATGCTACAAAAAGACAGAAGGAACAATCACGGGTTGCAGGCAGAGGAATTCTGGACTCACAGTGGAAAAATACTCGAAAAGAGTGTTTGCACAGGAATTATGTGGTTATCTAGGTGATAATTTAGATAGTTATCTGTGGAAGTTGTGCGATCATGGGATCATCATAGAATCATATAATTGTTTGAATTGGAAAGGGCTATTAAAAGTTATCCAGTCCAACTTTCTTGCAATGAGTAGGGCACGTTCAGTTAGATGAAGTTGCTCAGAGCCCCATCCAGCCTGACCTTGAATGTCTCCAGGTATGGGACATCCACGACATATCTGGGCAACCTGTGTCAGTGCCTCACCACACTTACTGTAAAATACTTCTTCCTTATGATCAATTTAAATCTTCTCTCTTTTCATTTGAAACCATTTCATACTGTCCTGCATCACAGCAGCCCCTGCTGAATGGTCTGTCCCCTTCTTTATTATAATCTTCCTTTAGATACTGAAAGGCAACTATCATATCTCCCTGAGGACTTTTCTTCTGCAGGCTGAATAGCCCCAGCTCTCAGCCTGTCCTTGTAGGGCAAGTAGAATCATAGAATCATAGAATCACCAACTTTGGAAAAGACCTCCAGGATCATCCAGTCCAACTATCCACCTACCACCAATATCTCCCCACTAAACTATGTCTCTTAGTGTCGTATCTAAATGTGTATTGAACACCTCCAGCAACGGTGGCTCAACCAGTTCTCTGGCAGCCCATTCCAGTGCTTGAGCACTCTTTCTGAGAATTTTTTTCTAATATTCAACCTGAACCTCCTCTGGTGCAACATGAGGCCCTTCCCTCTAGTCATATCGCTGGTTACACAGGAGAAGAAGCCAGCCTCCTTCTTGCCACAACCTCCTTTCAGACTGTTGTAGAGAGCTTTTCATTCATTTGTTCCATTTAAAACTTCAAGCTGTTACAGAGCATGGTCTTACGCAACTTCAGGAGAAGGCTTTGCTGTGCCACAGTTTCCTAACCTTCTGGCAGGTACTCTGACACACAACACCATTTATCAAGCCTCTGGAAGTCTTGGCCTCTTTGTCATACAGATCTCTTGTCTGTGGTTACTGGAGAGGCATTTAGGCTCTTCTTTTGGCTTTCATAAATTAACAGTTGATGGTACTTACTAATGATCTCACTAATAGATTTTCCATGTATGCAGAACGGCCAATGTCAGTAGGTCTTCATGTGCAAAAATATCTATGGCAAAGATATTTAGAGCTGTTGGAGTTGCTAGAACTTTTTTAGAACAAGACTGTGAAATAACTAAGAAGTCAAGCAACAGAAAAGAGTAAATGTTGCCCATTCTTAACTTTTCTTATTTAATTGTTGGCCATAGTAAATATAATGCAGTTAGGGCATTGCAATAAGAAGAGTGGCAGGAAAAAAATCTTTTCAGAAATTAAACTTAGCAAGGTATGAACTTCAGAGCTGGTGTTTCCATTGTAAGGTACAATTTGGGGTGACTGCAAGACAGAAAATGAACTACTGTGATAGTTATAGTCTAATATGGTCTGGTAAGTTGATTAACAAAGGGTAACAGTTGGAAGTGTACCTAATGCAGATTAAGATGGTGTGCTGTATCTGCAGATGAAATTATTTAATTTTTGCAAGACTTCTTTGTGAACTTAAATGGATTCTTTCTATGTGCATATAATCTATGCTCAGTAATGTATATTCACAAGAATGATCAGTCCTGTTTGTTTTTTTCTCTTGGAGCCAAATGGATTTTTGTAAGAACAGTCTTCACAGTGAACATTGCCACAAGCAAAACTTAAGTCACCCATTTCCTTTTAGTTGAATGTATCCCAAACCTTCTGAAAGTGTTCCCAGTACACCCACAAAACAACACAAGTGTTAACCTCTACTAGTTTTGTTTCACACTTCTTTTTAAGTGAAAATCTACAGAGACTGATACGAATGCACTGCTGATTAGACAGTTCTGTGAATTTGGCTCACTGATTTTTTTGGCATATGTATGAAAAACTGAATAGGCCCTTCAGGCTCTTGTTCTTTGCAATTTCCAGATGAACTGTGTGTTCTGGATGCATATTAGTTCTCTATTTGAGACAAAGGAAAACCAAATGTGAGGTGTTATGAAGAAAGGAAATCAATTTGGAGCACTATTGTTGAATGGTGTCACTGTGTGTTAACTGTTACTGGTGTGATAGGAAGGAGCTACAGAGTGAAAGTGTCGCTTTTTGTGGAGAATTTTTTCTAAAGTTATTCTATAGTTACTCATTGTGATGTAAATCAACTCTTAAATTCCAAGGTGATGTTATAGATACATATAGTATATAACCTTTAGGCATAAGCACTGGTGACACATATGCTATTTGGCAACCAATAGAATAGTCTTGGTGGACTTAAGACAAGGAGAGTCCTTATTATGATGTTCCAGTTCATGTCTATTGCTTCTTGTTCTGTCACTGAGCACTACTGAAAATAGCATGGTTCTATCCTCCTGTGTAGTGAGAAGCAATTGATGTATGAGTCCCTTCTGAAGTTCTAAGAAGGGTAGGTGCACCTGAGCGCAAGAGGATGTTCAGAAGTATGGAACTACATGGTTACTTGCTCCTGCTTTACCTCTAACCTGTAAAATGTGCAAGCCCAGAGTGCTCTGTACATGCCATGTTTCTTCCTCCTTTTTTTGTTTGCTTGTTTTGGTGGGTTTTGTTTTTGAATGTAGTGCAGTAGTAGCTAAAGTA